AGATCCCTTGCTTCCTTGGCCATCAGGCGCTGCCCTGCAAGCGCGATCTCTGCCGCAGCTTGCATGCCACAGATGTGCACGATCCGCGGGAGTGCTCCAGCCGCTGCATAGACGCCGACAGAAGACTCTGGTAATCCAAAAGAGGCTGTTGGAGAGGCAACCACAAGGTCACTGTGGGAAGCGTGTCAACATCCTGCAAATCCCCAAGGACAAATACCTCAGAACTCACCTGTTGAGGCAAATCTCAAAACCGCCTCCAAGCGCATAACCATTTACAGCGGCGATAATTGGCTTCTTCCCAATTCTCCTGCTTAGCCCACAAAATCCGGACGGAGCAAACTTTCTCTCTTTAGGATGGGGCGGCGCGTGAGTGAAGCTTTCCTGCTCGATCAGGTCTTGACCTGAGCAGAAGGCTTTGCTGCCAACCCCTGTGATGACAGCCCCTCGCAGATGAGGCTCGTTGTCGAACCATTGAGCGATTAGTTCACCCTCCCAGTGACCCCGCAGGGGTATGGAATTCATTTGTCGTTCGCGTTGGATCGTGATCAACAGTACATGGGGTCTTGGATATGAGAGACTGAAGATTGAGCTCGAAGGGGGAGGAGCGTGGAATTTTGTCTCCATGTCGCAGGCAAGAGGAGCTTCCGTGGAAGACCCAAAATTACGGATCTCGGAAGCCGGTCTCGCCTTGCTAGTGAGAGCAAGATAGAACAAAGTAAACTTTGAGTTGAGATAGCCACGTCAAGCTAAGATGCACTTGCTCTGGTGTCTCAGTCGGTGTATAGACTTGCAGGACTCCTTGTCACGGTTCCGTTCGACTCGAGATCATCAGAGAGGAGAGGACCTCGGGAAAAGAAATACTTGTGTGCACAAGCGGGCGATGGGCCAACCGGCTTCGAGGCACTATCGCCGTGCCTTGGCTCTCCAATGAAACCGGTTGTCAGCCGAGGCGCGCAAATAGAAAGCCTCGCGGAAAGCCTGCACTGACTTGCGGCGTCACTATCGCTCACAGCCTTTCACTGTCGACTTCTAACCTACAATGTTATCAGTATCATCCTCAATAGACTGAGGGTATTGAGCGTTAGTTTCGAACGACCACTCAAGTAATGTCTGTGGCAATTCGAGTTGCACCTTCTGCGGCCTGCTGTGACACGACGTCTCCTCTAACAGTCCAATTCAAGGACGCGCCAACTTGTGAATGCCATTCGAACTGGCACATCACCATGGCAAGTGGTTTCATGCCTCGGCGCCGAGATTAGCCAAGGTAATCGCGGTGCCCAAGCAAAAGAAATCCGCGTTTGGAATGGCCACGTCAAGCTTTCGCTTGGGCCGGGAACCACGGCTAAGGGATGTGAACAACACGAAGGCAAAGCAGGGGTGTGCGTCGTTACAGACTTCAACGTTGTATGCACCAAATCCATCAGGCTTTAGGACAGGAGGATATCAACTACACAGTTTTTAACACGGTAGTGGTGGAGCCAGAGATTCCTCGAAAGTGTAGCCTTGCGTCTTGACACTCTTCATTGAGTTACTAACCTTGCTCGCGCTAGCATACTTGAAGCCGTTCAGTTCCCTAAGGGTTACAGGCCCGATGCTCTCATTGCCGTTGGCTGCTGAAGGGTCATCGACACAGCCAAGATGATGCACCTCTACACGTGCTTCCCGGAAGCCTACCTGCTTGACTTCGTGAATGCGCCTCTTGGTCGCGGACTCCTAGTAAATAACAAGCTTTTGCCGCTCATTGCGATGCCCATTGAAGCCCTCTGAATACCAGCACAGTGTCTTCCGCCGTACATGCTGCTTCGGGACTGGATGTACTGTGCCGTTCACCAGACTCCTGGACTACGATCTCCTATCACGCACGTGTGCTTCGGCGCTCCAATCCTAGCCTACGTCGGGCATACCAGGGTACCAATCTAATCTCTGATATCTTTTCCTGACAGGCGCTGAAATGCTCCGTGAAATACCTTCCGCAAGCTGTCAAGGATTCCAAGGATACCGAAGCACTCAGCACAAGATCCTGCTGGGGCCGACACTAGCGGTGGCCGGGATAGGCGTTGGAGACGCGAGTATGTATTTATGTCATGGATGAGCTAACCCATTTGAAGCCCGAATCGCGGTTACAAACACCAGCGGTGATGTTGTGGACAAGCCTACTATTCCCCGTGGGGTCGGTTTAAGCTGGTTCTCAGCCTGGAAGATGATGCGAAGTTCCAGAGGGAGCAGCTGGAGAGCCTGTCTGAAGATGGTCTGGAACAGTTGCTTCTCGGATGATTTGCGGAAAGCCTGGGATTAGTCACTTGTGTTTCAACGCCGGGCTCGTAGACCCAGTCTGACGCGGGAACATCCATTGTGAGGTTCACGGATAGAGTTGAGATGCGCTTCAGCTCTGAGCTTCATCGCGGAACTGGCTCCGAACCCGGGGAAACCAGCCGTGGCGGGGACCCCAACCCTGAATCCTGGAAAGCGTCAAAAAGGTTTGTTCAAACCTGCGCGCGGATGCTGACAAGATGCCCACCCAAACATCATGGCGACTTTACAAGCGTACTACTCGAGTTACAATCTCGCGGTCAGTCTAGCATCCCTGACCGTGGCCCGTCAAATGGATGTCTAACCTCCCCGCCAGATTATTTTCGCACTTTGTCTGGGGTCGTTGTCGTATGGCTACTGCTTCAGCATCATCTCCACCACAATTGGCCAAGTGAGTTTTGAGAGCACCGTGTGTCACGCTATGAGATTCGCTGACTGTGCATGATGACGACAGGCTGGCTTCTACAGCTACTTCGGACTATCTGCATCGGCAGAGGGTCCCAACCATGCGTATACCAACCGTATTCTGGGAGCCACAAGCGGCCTATTTTCGGCTGGTGCCTTTATGGGCTGCTGGACCATGGGCTGGATGTGTGATGCTTGTGGCCGGAAGCAGGCCCTACTGATCGCCACCACAATCTCGCTGGTAGGGTCGGCTTTGCAGGCTGGGTCGGCCGCCATTGGCATGTTTCTCTTCGCGAGGTGGCTGACTGGATACGGTGTGGGTAAGTACCTATTGAAGCTCGCCGCATGCGCTCAGGAGCTTGTCACATCCATTTGCAACGACGCTGACACCCTATGCTCAGGAAACTTGGTGACACTAATTCCCATCATGCAAGCGGAGATATCGCCTCCAGCCAGTCGAGGGTTCTTGGTTGGCCAGCACGGTAGGATTGCTTCGCTTGTCTACGCTAGAGTCTTCTTCTTAACCAAGCGCAGGCTTTGTTCTTGTGGCAGGTTACATGTTTGCCGGTTGGGTCGGCTACGGCTGCTATTTTTCGGCAAATTCAGATTTTCAATGGCGATTTCCACTGTCCGTCGTGTGCTTCTGGCCGTTGATGGTCCTGGCTGTCTTCCCTTGGATTCCCGAGTCCCCTCGATGGCGTAGGTCCTCTCTCTCAGTCTGCAGCGTTCGCGACATTTCTGACCTCTTTTGCTCTTAGTGATCCTCAAAGGCCGCCGAGACGAGGCGTGGGCCATTGTGGCAAAGCTTCACTACAATCCCGCCGATCCTGAAGAAGTCTATGCCCGCAAAGAGTTTTATCAAATGTGTCGTCAAGTGGACAACGACAGGCAGTACTTCGAGCACGAGACCATATGGGACCTTTTCCGCAAGCCCAGCTATCGCAAGAGAATGATCTGTGGTTTCTTCACCTTTTTCAGCAACGAGTCGTCTGGCATCCTGGTGATATACAGTAAGGATACATTGCCTGCGGCGTTGTTGAACATCTGGACTAAGAAAAGAAACAGACTACAGCGTCTTGATCTACCAGGGTCTGGGACAGACTGGGCACATGCCTCTCCTCTTGTCCGGGGTCTACGTGACCCTGGGCGCGCTCGGAAATGGGATCAATGCCATCTTGGTCGACCGGGTGGGGAGAAAGGCTCTCTTCATCACGGGACTGAGTGGCATGCTCGTTTCTCTGATTACTGAGACCATCTTGGTCCGCTACTACGCTGGCACGGATAATCATGGAGGACTGAGCGTCGCCCTCTTTTTCATTTTCTTGCATTTGATATTGTGAGTGACATCTGCCTCCGCCGGTGTAGGCCGTTTGGCTGATTCTTTGATGAAGCTACGGGTGCTGCATCGACGCCAACAGTTTCGTGTATGCCTCCGAGATCTTCCCAACCCACATTCGACCGCGAGGCATGGCTTGGTCGGTGGGCACCTTGTTCTTGACCACAATCCCCTACCTAGAGGCTGCCCCGACTGCCTTTGCGACGATTGGATATAGATATTACATCCTCTTCGTCGTTCTCACGACCATCAATATACCCATCATCTATTTCTACTTCCCCGAGGTCAGTACTCCAAGTCCCCAGACAACCTCTTTTGCATCTGGCCACTGACGTGGACTCCAGACCAAAGGACTATCGTTAGAGGAGATTAGCGAGATATTCGGGGATGATGTTGCCATTCACCTCACCTGCCAGGGAGAAGACGAGAAGGAAGAGATGGAGGCCCAGATTGAAGCACAGTTGAAAGAAGTCAAGCACGCTTGAAGGCCATACGCGAAGGACAGCATGGTGGGAAACACTTGGCAGATTAGTAGTCGCGACGGAGGTCTCCTCTCTAGGCCTCTTTTGGCGCTCCCACGCTGGCTGAAGAAAGTCAATTTAGGCTATAGTGGTAGCATAACCCCATTGAATGGCTAGAACGAACCGAGATCTGGGGGAAGGGGGAGCTGTTGCCCCACACAAGCTCTGCTGTCGACGCCCCCAGAACCCCGGCTCGTACTTGCAGGTGGAGTCGGACGGATGTTCTTCGACCGAATACATCCCCTCGTGCTGTCGTAAAGTCTTCATTAACTAGTTGCCTCACTCCTCCAACTCCTTTGACCGTCATCTTTCTAATGCTTCCTTGACTTCTCTTACGGCCTCAGGCCCGCCCCCTTTTTCCGCCGACACCACCCTACGGCCTAGCTTCCAGTCAAATACGCTGACCCTCCCAGAATTCTCTGCTCTTCATGGACGCGCCTTCGCCCATCACCGGCTCCCTTAAGCCCCCCCCTCGATTTGCATCCTCCTTCACTGGCAGTGTATGCAATGGAGGTGGCACGAGTCGCAGCTCGACGAGGCGCACTGGAGCACAGCTCGAGCGCAAGCGGAGGCAAGACCGGGAGTCCCAGCGAAACGCGCGTGAACGCACCAAGAAGTACATTGCCAGCCTGGAGGAGAGACTCGCCGAGCTGGAATCGCCAACATGCATCTCGGATCTTTCGAAGAAGAACGAAGAATTGCGGCAGAAAGTGGATTCCCTAGAGACCAAGTTACAAGCAGTTGTCCAGATTGCTACAAGAGTATCGGACACAAATTCTGGCGGAGACCATGCCGCAGAAGCACATCACTTGTTCTCAGCGACCCTTGCCCATCCACATGACGGCGGACGATCCAGCGCCAGCCCGGCCTCGACCTCACTGAAACCGACATGTCCACTGACTGGAGCGGTGTTGAGGGAGAAGGCAACCAGTGCAGGTCCTACCGTTCAACGTCAATCCGCGATTCTGGGTGTTGTAGAAGTTGGAAAACGTGCTCAGATTGACAATGCCTCGACCGCACCTGGCTGCCCCGATAACGGTGACGCCGAGCCCATGGTCGACTTCAACCATAATTACATGCAGGTGGGGGACATCGGACCCTCGTCACACACTTCTACGACACTCCCGCCGGCTACACATGGTCTAGTACTGGATTCCCGTGTCAGTCTCCTCAAAGTTCTCTGCTGATATGACCTGACCGTCCCCCAGACATCTGTGGGTTCCTTGACGACAGCGAATATCTGGGGACCCACCAGCAGCCTTGGGCAGCATAATCCAGGTGAGTCCACGCATGGAGGTTGCCTTTCCTGTTTTGCACGCATTATTCGCAGGAGTGGCAGCAACACTGACCAGGGGAAGATGGAACTCCGTCCTTGGATGCCTTCTATGTCCCTCCCGGACCGCTGTGGCCCGAAAAAGGATTTCCAACCCCTCAAAACTGTGCTGCCACCAATATCTGGGACGCGAAATTGATCAAGTGTATCAATGAGCATCAAAATCACCTGATGGAATTTTCCATGTCCATGCCAGAGGATCCAGAACTTCGCAGCATCCTAGATCCTAGGACGAGCCAAGGCACAGCAGATTCTCTCACTCACTTTTTAAACGCCCCGATCACTCAATGGAATTTCGAGCTTCCGGAAAAATTGGCCATGTTTTGGCTGAATTTCGTTCATCTGAAGGTGAGCCAGAATCGAATCCCCCTCGAACCCTCCCGGCCCGCCGCGGTTCAATTGCTTTATGTGTATATGGTATTGATGGTTCAACAGTACCGCATCTATCCGTCAGAAGAGACGTTCAACGAGATGCCGCCGTGGTTCCGTCCATGTCCTTTGCAGTGTCAAGTCAGCCACCCGATCTACATCGATGCTCTTCCCTGGCCCCATCTACGCGAAAAGCTCACATTCGAACACCGGTTATACCCTTTCCACCTGTTGACCCCTGTATTCTGTAGCAGCCTCAACATCAACTGGCCACACAACCAAGACATGACATATGTACATGAAGCATCAGGCAATCTCCGCCTGAGCCGCTCTTTCAAGAAACATATCAGGAAGCTGGAAAATTGGACCATGAAACCGGCCTTTTCGAAACAGTATCCAGAACTCACATGGGCGGTACAAGTAGACAACGCTCCGTGGCATGGATCCGCGCATGAAAATTGAAGCACTGTTTTCCATAGCATATATTAGCAGAGTCAGTAATTATCGTCCATGCTTGGAGACTCTGCGCCAACACTTCGCTCTCCGTCGCTGGGGGCTGTCCATGGCTCGAGCAGTATTTCCAGGGACTGGAGAGGATTCAACGACTGTAGAAGCTCACAGAGTGCCCTGTCTCAAAGGGCGCCCTGGACGCGTCAGGAACCTTTCCCCGTCTGACTCCCCGTCCTGGCAAAGTCTTGTGAGTGGCTGTGCGTCTGCAGACGGGAAAACGGACCGTGCGCTTGCCGAGCATCTCCTCGAGCGGCATTCTTGGGCGAGCAGCCCGAACGCGCCGTGGCTGTAAACTATTACCGACTTGTGCGTGGAGCCCCAAGTGTCTCTGGCACGCCTAGAGGAGACGACATTGCTAGTCCTCCAACAAGTTGAGCTCTTTTGTGGCCGTAGACGACACATATCCTGTGCTCATTCCATTACTGCCCATTCCATACTGCCCGTCCCATATTCTCTGAGCAAATCTCGGATCGTGCAGAGGTAGCATTGAAGGCTTTGCTCGACTTTCAGAATGCATTTTCCCGGGGTCGCTCTCGTTACCGGCGCAGCTTCAGGTAAAGACGGTACAATGCCTGTATAGTTTGTCCCAGACCTAAACAATTCTTCACAGGCATCGGTCGGGCCACAGCCAAACTTTTTGCAAAAGAAGGATGTCGTAGGATAGCCATTGGAGATATCCAGGCTCCAGCACTCAACAAAACCCGCGAGGAAATCCAGTCGGAATATAAGGACGCGGAGGTCGTCGCCATACCTACGGGTAAGTCTAGTAAGGATTAAATTCAGTCTGGTTGGTCGAGAAGCCGGTGCTTCAAGACGGCCAGAATGTGTACGTCTCTTGTTGAGCACCCAAGGTTGAACATCCCATGTTCGTTTCTAGATGTCACCTCGGAATCCTCCGTCAACTCTCTTGTTCAGTCTGTGGTCAATACCTTTGGCCGCATCGACTATGCCTGCAACGTGGCCGGCATACTCCTTCCTGGAATCACCACCGAGTACTCTTTGAGCCAATGGGACAAACAGTTCTCGGTCAATACACGGGGCATGTGGCTCTGTCAGCGAGCGCAGATCACGCAGATGTTGAAACAAGAGCCCTTGAAAGCACCAGACAGCCATTTTCCTGCCCGTGGAGCCATCGCCAACGTCGCATCGATGGCGGGGCTGCGCGTCTATGACAACTTGCCGGCATATTGTGCTAGCAAGCATGCCATTATCGGATTCACCAAGAGCGACGGCTTGCACTACGCAAAAAGTGGGATCAGGTTGAACGCTATTTGCCCTGGAGTGATCAAAACGCCGATGCTGGGAGAGGTCCCCGAAGAAGACGATACCAACTTGGACGAAATGGTCAGGGAGATGGCGCTGAAGCGGACCGGCATGCCGGAAGAAGTCGCCGAGTGTCTGGTTTGGATCACCAGCGGACGCGCCAGTTTCGTCACGGCGACAACCCTGGCCCCGAATGGAGGTACGTACTTGTTGAAGAAATCCACATTGGTGCGCGTGGTTTTTTCTTAGAGCGACATGGGCTGACCTACGAAAATTAGGAATGGTGGGTGGTTAGAGGTAGAGAAAATGAGGAGATCTATTGGGAGAACAACAGCGTGACTGGAGACTGGTGAATTTGAAATACCCAGTGTCGTAGTTTGGCTCGATGGGGCACACGAAAATAATGACCATGAGTGTCAGGACGCTGGAACAATCAAGGTCCTTTTGATCTCAAACCTTTCTCAATGACTTTCATTGTAACACCCGGCCAGTCCTTCTATAAAGGTCTACATACAAGGCTAAAGCTTTTAAACCTGGCTAGTAAGATTTGTAACCCTCCTCTGGATCCTCAAAATACCACGCATTGTCCATGCCTGGCAGTTCTTTGGTCGAAAAACCATTACCCAAATACTGAAATCTGTTATTGGTCAGATAGGTAAAGTCCCAGTCCTCGTACCGCACATCTTGGAGCATGTGGAACCAATGAATCCGTCCACCAGGGTGCAAGGCGACAATGGGCCCGTCCACGGTTCCGTTCTTGAACCAGCTGCGGCATGGGGTGGCCCACGCGGTCCGCTTCATGAACTCGGTGGTGTGGTTGTTGAAGTCTCGAATGGCCTCGGGCTTGGGACAAACGGACTTGATGTTTTGCGTTTGAATCTTTTTCATAAAGTTGATGAAATACTTGGTGTTATGCTCGATGATGGGCAGGACGGAGCCGTGTCCAACTGGCGAATTGGGGCCAAGAAACACTAAAGTCGTCGCGTTAGCATTTGTGACCGGAGTGTGCACTAGTAGCAAAAGAAGCGATAACGTGGCATAGCTTACTGAAGTAGTTTGGGAAGTTGCTCGTCGCCACCGAAAGATATGCCTCAGGTTTATGGGCCCAATGATCTGAGAGTACTGTTCCGTCTCTGCCGGTGACCTTGAACCTTGGGAAAAAACTGATATCAAAGCCAGTAGCGCAAATGAACGCGTCTACCTTGATAACCTCACCCGTTGTCAACTTCATACCATCGGGGACAATGGAGGCGATGTGGCCCGTGACGACGGTGACGTTGGGAGCATTCAACGCCTCGAGATAGCCGTTTCCGGGAGTTGGGCGACGACAGGCCACTCCAAAATCCGGTATCATTGCTTTGATCAGTCGTTCATTGTGGCCAAGCTTGGTTTGCATCTCTTTGATGGAGTAAAGGCGAGCTTCTTCCTGCTCGGGGCTGCCCATGATGACCTGTTTTGGAGGAAGACGTTCGATCAGCAATCAAGATTGTGAAAGTGCGGAAAATAAATGGCAGGGAGGGAGTCTCACGAGCTTGAAGCGATGGTTCAATTCGCTTTCAATGGACTTCCGATACTCCAGGTACTCTTTAGGGTTCTCTCGGAACTCTTTCTTCTGTTTTTCGGTGACTGGCCATACAGTGTCAGCTATAGACGAGCTCATCGATCGAACGTACCGCGATACTCACACGCAAAGTTGGCGCCGCCAGGACCTGCATGGTTCTGAGCAAATCCGGCTGTGATCCACGTCGGAGTGCGAATAAATGTGGTGAGGGATTTCACGACTGGCTCAGGTCAGCGCATTCTAAGCGGACGAAGGTGGCTATTCGAACTAACTTGGTTGAATGGTGGGAATGATCTGCACGCCAGAAGAGCCACACCCAAGGACGGCGACGTCTTTACCGTTGAGGTTGTGGCTGTCATCCCATGCGGCGCTGTGAATGAGGGCGCCTTTGAAAGACTTCAAGCCAGGGATATCCGGCCACTTCCAGTTGCTGGACATTCGTTGTCAGAAGGCGGCCCATCACCCTCCGAGAAAGGTCATACTCACTTCAAAATCCCACATCCGTTGACAAAAATGTGGCCCCAATCTTCTACTATCTCACCAGTCTGGAGATTTTTGACCTTGATCCTCCAGACGCCAGCATCCTCGTCCCACTTCGCATCCTGCACGTAGTGCTGGAGTTTGATGTACTTGTAGAGCTCGTATTTCTCCGCAACACCTTTGAAGTACTGTAGAATTTCATCCCAGGTTGAATAACTGAGGATCAAAGTCAGAGGCATGGTCTGTCCATCTGGGGGATCGGACGAATTTGCCTTACAAGTGCGACCACTCCGGGTTCGGCTCCCAGGTGAATTGATAATTGTGAGAAGGAATGTCGCAGGCGCAACCGGGGTATCTGTGAAGTGAGCGAGCCAGCACATCCGGGCTCTCGAGTGGCATACCTGTTCTCGAACCACGTGCCACCCACATCAGAGTTCTTTTCGTATATCATGAGCTCGTAGTTTTCCATGTGCAGTTCCATGTGCCGTGCCATGTTGAGGCCACTCGCACCACCGCCAACCATGACCACACGAATATGACGCGGGACGCCTAAGCGCTCCTCTGTCACTCGATAACCAGTATCCGTTTCTTCATAGAAGCCAGACAAATGCTGATGGCCATGATCCCCATTGGCGCCAATTGAACCCATCGCTGCCACTCAAGAATAGAATTGTTCTATTTGTGATCTAGATGTCCAAAGAGAAGAATGCTCGTCGCTTGTGGGGTTTCGATCGGCTGGGTAAACTCTCGAGCTGCAGATGACGGGCTGTATATCCACGGGGATCTTCTTAAACTCGAAGAAAAAGCGGCCAACGGAAAAAACGACTCCGCAATCTCACCACGTAACCGGTGCTGCAGGGAGGGATTGACTGTTGTCTACCGCAAAAAATCGCTTTCATAGGCCACAAGATCCTATCACGAGGGATCAAATCTGCTGGAGACGGTCTATGCCGAGATCTCATGATGTCGACTTGAGCATGCTAGCCAGGAAAATGGTCGGGGTAATGTAGCAGTCGGTCCGTATCCGTGAACGTCTTGATCCAGGTGCCAAGAATCGATGTTCGCCAGTTCGGCAACACGGTAGCCGGGGCATGTTACGGGTGGGGGTCGAGGCTCACTTGGGCCACAGTTGGGGGTTGTCGAAGGAAAACTTGCCAGGATCATGCAAACAATATTTGCTTGATGTGTAAAGTGTCCATTGAGGGAATCAATGCAACGCCATCATCCGGTGGCCAAGGTCCAAAAAATCAACTACACGTCGAACCAAGCGAGTACCGAATCATGGCTCCAAAAAGCAAGAAATCAAAATACAGCGAGCTTGGTATACCGACGAAAGAATGGGAAGAGGTCGGTGCGCCACCCAAAGCTGCCTCCAGGACTAAGGTCAACAGTTTTATGCGGCACATCACGATGACGTTCCAGTCCTTGTTGGATCCCCGAAGCACATGCGATGTATAATGGTGGAGCTCAAGCAGCGTGCGCAAAGCCAAGTTCCAGCCATCACCGAAGGCCTCGTGGTAGAGGATGTGCAGATGCCGACCTCAGACGGCAAGCACATCGCGCTGAGGTTATACCAGCCTACTTCTGGCGATCGGCCAAGACCATGCATATTTTAGTAGGCACATCAGCCATTTGCCCGAAGTTGGACGAGGCTGACTGCGCAGCGTGCATGGCGGCGGATGGACACTTGGCGATCTCGAAGGCGAGGACATAACGTGTCGGGCGATGTGCGTCAGAGCAGGCGTGGTTGTCATCAGCGTAGACTACAGACTGTATAGCACATCCGCAAAATGGTTCTGCTCGAATCCATGCTGACACGACCAAGGGCTCCCGAATACAAGTTTCCCCGGGGGATTGAAGATTGCTGGGAAGCACTAGAATGGGTACCACCAATCTCGGCATCTGCCAATTCTCGCCAGCTGACTGTGACAGACATTCAAGAACCACGAAGCTTTGGGCATCGACTCCACCAAGATCATCATGGGAGGGAGTAGTTCAGGTGGTCACACAGTATGCGCACGCTTTCTGTCGCTGAACAGAACGGCTTACTAAATCACTACTAGACCGCCGTCCTTTCTCATCGTGTCAAAGATGGCCGGTTCCCGATCAAAGGCTCCATCATGAGAATACCCTCCGTTTGCCATATAGATCAGTATCCTCCCCAGCTTGAACTCTACAGCCTGGAGGAGCTCAAGGATGCACCGCTACTATCTAAACGCTCGATGGAACTATTCTACGGCTACTTGGACCCGCCCGATACATCAGACCCGGAAGCATCTCCTCTTCTCAATTCATTGTTCAAAGGGCATCCGCCCACATATATGCAGGTAGCCGGAATGGACCCCCTGCGCGACGAAGGCTTAGCTTACGCGGATAAACTACGTGATGCTGGGTAAGCAGACTCATCTTGTCTCGAGGAGGTGCCATCCTGCTGACAACTGTAGCGTGCCGGTGAAGGTCGATGTTTACCCCGGGCTACCACACGCATTTGGGTATTTTCCAATGCTCTCTGCGGCTAAGAAGAACGGTGACGACTTGGTTGCTGGGATTGATTGGCTACTATCCAAAGCTTCATAGACTGAAAAGCATCGACGCCTGTTCAAAGCATTGCAAACTAGGTAGAGCTTAGAATAGGATCTCTCAACCATTAAGATGCCCACTGTTTTTGCAGTCCTCATCCAAGTAGCTAACTTTACAATGTCAATAGTATAGTGACACCTTCCCTGCCATTGGGGAGAAATCCACGCTCCAAGAAGCCGGTGTCGATTCAAGGCTACCCCACACAACTGAATGCTGCTCCATATACTCATCCGGCAAACTTCCGTGGCTATGTGCGTGATTATCTGCCGGGTCGCCGTCGTCTTATAAAAGGACGGGGCAGGGGCAAACGTTTACCTCGCACCTCAGCAAGGTCCATCGTCCTCGTCTCTTCGACCTCATTTTTGCTTAGAATGCCTCATTTCAATGCCAGGGTATGCGCCCCAACTAATTTGAAGGACAAGGTTTTCGTGATTTCTGGTACGCCCATCAGTATTTCCCAATTCTGCGGCAGTGCCGGGAAAATTAGCTCACGTTTTCTCCTCAGGAGGCTCAACCGGAATCGGTGCGGCGACCGTAGAGCTCATCGCCTCCCTCGGCGGGAAAGTCGTTTTTGGAGATGTCAACAGAGATGCGAGCGAGGCTCTGATAAGGAAACTCAAGAACCCGGACATCCACTTCCGCTTCTGCGACGTCCGTTCCTACGGGGATGTTGTGGCACTCTTTCGTGACACCCTGTCCCTGTTCGGTCGAGTGGACCACGCCGTTGCAAATGCTGGGGTGATTGAGCAAGGAAATTGCTTTGACAAGTCTCTTACCATTGACACCGTCAGGCAAGAACCTACCACCCTGGTATTGGATGTTAATCTCAAGGGCCTATTCTATTTCTCCCGCGTGGCTGCAGTATACATGGCTCACGAAAAGGGCGTGGAGGATGATAGGAGCCTGACGTTGCTGAGTTCAGCTGCCGGGTTTATCGAAAGTCGGAATTTATTCCTCTATCAAAGCAGCAAGCACGGAGTTTTGGGTCTACTACGGACGTGTAGATTGGCGTTCCCGGATGGCATGAAGGACGTCAGGGTGAACGCTCTGTGCCCTTCCTTTGTGAGGACCGCAATGACCAAGGATATTGCGAGCGCTTGGGACAAGGCAGGACTTCCCGCCAACGAGGTGGAGGATGTGGCTAATGCAATTGCTATGATGGCAGCCAGTGACAAGACTATCGCTCCACGCCTTCTTGAAGACCATGTCGGTGCTACTGGTGTTCCCCTGAGCCAAATGAAAAGCTACGGTGCGATGGAATGGGGTGCTGTAGAGAGTCGGGTTGGGCTGACAGGGAGAGCTTTTTATGTTGAAGGCGGAGTATGTTGGGATATCGAAGAAGGACTGGATAAGACCAGACCCCTCTGGCTAGGACAACAGCCCAACGACCAGATTGCTCAGGTGCAAAGTCTGATGCGAAAAATTGGGTATCGGGAGAGAAACTGACATGGGATCCGGTTGTTAGAATTTAGCCAGGAGCAATGTATGACAGATTGGGTACTGTCGATATGCCAACAGAGACTACAAGTCACTCTACTTTGACTGGCGGTTGTGTTCATCTATAAAGACCTCACTCGCCGTCAATCCGGCGTCGCAATCCGGGCCGTTGAGCCTGCAAAATCCATGTTTCGAACCCGGGAAGATGGAGAGCAACGTGTCATTGCAGCCCATATGCCATTTTATGCTTGCAAATAGGCTGTCATCGTACAAACAGTCATCAGTGCCTACAACGAATATCGCCGGGGGCAAATTCGTCCAGTCAGCCTGAAAGAGTGGAGATATCTCTGGGACCTGTCGATTTCTAACGTTGCTGAGCCAGGAGTTGGCAAAGTTGACCATGTCGACTGGGCTCAAAACCAGATTGTCCTTGAAGGCGCGGACAGAAGGTGTCTGGTCCATATCTACCGACAGTTAGGCACTACTTTTAAGAGGGAAAAATTCTCACTCTTACCAAAGCATCCGTAGTTGAATACAACAGCATCAAGCTGCGTCCGAACATCAATCCCCCTGCTGCGCAGCGCGAACACAGTAGTCATGGTGAGATGTGCCCCTGCGGACTCGCCTCCAATGAGGCGCAAGGGTCCCAGCTTTTCCTCAACTTCAGGAGTAAGTAGATATAACGTTGCATCCAAACAATCGTCCACCGGTGCTGGATAGGGATGCTTTGGTGCCAGGCGGTATTCACAACTGGCAACGGTGTATCCTGTGTTACATGCTATGCGGTACAACGTCTCGTCTTCGATGTCTGCAGAGCCGACGGTCCAACCTCCTCCGTGAATATGGAGATACACCCCTTTCGACCCTCCATTTGAGGCCGAGGCCGGCTTGAAGACGCGCAAGTAGACGCCTTGTGCCCCGGTAGAAGATGGGAAAGGAATGTTCACTGCAATGTCATCAAGACGCTTCCGAGCTGGCCAGCCACCACCACCGTATTTCATCTGGTCACGGAAGCGTTGCGCACCCTTCTCAGAATAGGGTTCTTCCAGCTGATACCAAGGGATCATCGTATTCCAGATTTCCCTTAGAGCGGCGTAGAACCCTTCATTTGCTTTCCTCTCTTCCGCCGTCCATTGATGGACGCGGATCTTTAGGTCATTCATGTTCAAACCAGGTCGCAGAGTCTGTGTTGCTTGAAATGCCGCTGATATCGAGAACAAAATGCAGGTGCGGGAGACCAAAGATTTTATGAGACAGCGCCGTTCCCCCCTCATATGGTCCAATCTAAACATCCTCCGTGCGCTCCCACAACTCCAGCCTCGGCCCAGAGCCGCTTTCCGTGTCTAGCAGTCCCATCTTCCGAGTCAGACAGAATGTCTCACAGTGAAGTTCATATACCTCTAGCCAACGACCTCGGGCGGTATCACGGCCAGGACCTAAACAGACAAAGCTTTTGGAAAGCTGAAAAGGCGTTTTCATTCTACACGACAGTGCTAGTCTTGCTCTACAAACAAGTCATAACACGGCCTTAACGTTTTATCATGGACCGATTTCACAAGCGCCCATACGTAAGCGCACGGCTACATCAGACAAACTACGTGGAAACGAATAGAAATACGGCTGTGGTTGCCTTTGGCACGGAGGAGTCCGGGGCGTGAAGTTATCTAATTGAATTGTTGTCTTTTTTAACCAGAGATCTGCCCTCTGCGTTCAAAGCCTTGGTCAGTGAGGTCTCTTCATGAGCGGTGCAGAACTTACCCATCTACCACTAGACCATGACCATACATATAGCTACTCAAATAAGAGACTAGGTACACGATCGAATTTCCAATCTCCTCCGGCTGCCCAAGCCTGTTGGCAGGGATTTTCTGTAGCAATGCTTTGCGATATTCATCAGTCAACGCTCCTCGGAGCAAAGGAGTCTCAATGAATCTGCAATTCTGTTAACAGAGGGAAACTCGCTCAGCAGGAGGCCCACTACCCGGGACAGATGGCATTGATGCGTATTCCATGGCTTGCGTACACCCGTGCATCCTGTAGGAATATGCTTGTCAGGTAAAGTACAAGTTACTGTCATTCAAGAGTGACACACCGTTTTGGTCAAGCCGACGACACCGTGCTTCGCGGCACAATAAGCAGTAACAGGACTCGCACCAGAAGCACCAATCAAACCCAGCACTGACGCGACGTTGACGATGACTCCTCTTGATTTCACAGGGTGGGAGCTGGGCCTGCCCCTTGTCAGCATCTCTTCATCTGGTGAGACAGTAAACCCAGCATACCCAGTCGGGCGGAGTTCCTGCTTGACCATCTGCTGGATCTCCGATCGTTGACAAAGCCACACGCCGTTCAGATTGACACTGATGAGACGTTGCCAGTCCGTCAAAGTGACGTCCTCGGTCTTTCCGAGAGGACCAGAAATGCCAGCATTATTGACTGCATAGTCGATGCGACCAAATGCAGCCACCGTTTTGTCGACAGCTTCCTTCACAGACTCTTCTTTGCTCACATCGAGCTCGATGAGCAGGACATCCACGTGTGAGGGCTGCGAGGTAAGTGCGGCCTTTGTCTCCTCCAGTTTATTCACGTCTAAGTCTCCCAAGGCGAAACTTTGGACCCCATGTTGAGCCATACATAGGGCCGTAGCCTGTCCGATACCTGGGCTTTGTCAGCTCCCACCGACTTCTGTTTTGGAGAGTCTAAGTACCGGAGCCCGCTCCAGTGATGAAGGCGGTACCTTGCAACAGACTCGACATATTTGCGGTGCAGGTGAGCTTTGCAGGCGGAAGGTTCGGGTATCGGTAGGACAATAAAACCAGTTCGCAGTTTCTGCATATTATAAGACATCAACGGATACGGGTCCGAAATGTCCGACTCCCGTACTTTTGGGGTAGACGGCAATCACAACCCGGGTTGACGAGGGTGCGCATTATGCATATAGGAGTGGTAGAGGTCCCATTGAACTTTATGGTAAAGCTTTGGGCATATGTGCACATATGCACACCCCAAGAGAACCCTTTCACTCCTTCCATGGCCCCTCGTCTCCCAACGACCCCTTTACAGCTCTCAAGGCAAGATCAGAGGTGTTTACATCCGTAACTAAACTCTATACCCTAATTTCCGTCTTAAACCCGGTCCATTGCTTTTGCGCCTCCTTGCACGCCTTCTCGTAGACATCGAGGCCGGCAAGGTAGTTCAGTTGCTCTCGTTTCTTTCCAGGAATATTGGCCCCCATATACCAAGAGTTTGTCAGGGGAAACAGCGTCTTCGAGTTCATTTCCTGGATGTCATCTGCCCACTTCTCGGCCGCCTCCGGCGTGGCCTCGATGGTATCTATCCCTTCTTTCTTCATCTTGGCCAGTGTCGACGCTACCCAATCTCCCTGGACCTCCACAATGGTTGTACCGTTTGCTAAGGCCGTGGGCGCTGTTCAGATTAGCTGTTTGCACCAAAGACATCATGAGGAATCAGAGCAGCCGACCTTGAGGACTGTAGACCATGAACATATTGGGAAAACCGGGGCATGTCATTCCCAATTGTGTCCGCACCCCATCTTTCCATCTCTCCTTCATATCGAGACCGTCCACGTCTCTAAGGCCCATACTCGTAAAGCTTCCGGTGATCGCGTCGTAGCCGGTGGCTAAAATAATGACATCAAATTTACGCAATTTGCCATCAGTCGTGACGATGCCCTCCTTGTCAAACCTTTCGATGGGTGTCTCCTTGAGGCTCACAACATGAACATTCGGCCTATCGACAGACTCATAGTAGTCTTGTTCCAAGCTGGGCCGCTTCGTCCCAATGGGATGGGGCGGTACTTCTGGCGCAAATATCTCCCGCTTTCTGGGGTCGGTGATTCGCGCTCTCACTTTCCTCTTCCAAAAATCATACATCAGGTCGTTTGCTTTTTGGTTCACAATATAATCGTTGAAGCCTCCGATGCTGAAATTGAAGCCACCGCGTGACCAGAGCTCCTCCCAGCGTGCTTCTCGTTCCTCGGGAGACACATCCAAGACACCTTTCCCATCGGCCCAGTAACCAAGGCCGGACTTGGAGTTGCGAGCAATGTTGAAAATATGAGGGTATATACCCCTGTTTGCATTTTGTTCTTCCGGCGTCAACTTACGTTGTTTCATCGGGAAGGCCATGTTCGGTGTGCGGACGTAGAGGGTTAGATTGGCCGCTTTCTTGGAGACTTCTTGTGTGATCTGAATTCCGGTGGCACCTATGGTCACATTAGAATATTCCATCTTGTGCTTAGTACGGTTGTAGTACCTTGACCCACGATGGCGACGTCCTTTCCTGCGAAGTCAAATTCGCCCTTGGGGAAATCTGCTGCATGCAAGAGCGTGCCTTTGTAGTCTTTGATGCCCGGGAAGTCTGGAAAATGCTTCTTGTACGACGAGCCCGCCGCCACAATCAAGTATTTGCATCTGACTGTGGTATTTTGAGCAGTCTTGACCACCCACTCTTTGGCGGGGACATCGAACTCGCTCGAAATCACTTCCCGTTCGAACGCAATATGATCGTAGAGGCTGAGGACAGAGGCTACGTAGTGGAAATACTCTCGCAACTCCTCGTGTCCGGGGAATCTTTCGCTCCAATTCCAACCCTTCCACACTTCATGCATACTGTACTGGTAGTATGGAACCTCGGAGTCCACCCGCGCTCCAGGGTATCTGTTGTAGTTCCATACGCCGCCGAGTTCCTTGCTAGCTTCAAGTAACTTGGTGTCGATTCCAGTTTGGCGAAGTTTGTACAGAGTATAAAGCCCACTGAAGCCTCCGCCAACAACCAAAGCCTCCACTTCAAGATTTTTGGCGGCGTGCCAATCACTGGGCTCAGCGATTGATCCCATTTTTTTGATTGGAAGAACAGTTTTGGAAACGTCAAGCGACAAAGGCTGGAGAGAAATCGAAGACCAGTGTAGATACAAGGCGCCAATGTATATCTGGTGCTTCTTCAGCCAAGTGCTCAAATTCCCCGGTTATGTATGGCTGTCATGACTCGTTGTGCTCTCGTGAGTGTCGGATGTATCCGGGACCACCTCGAACTATCATCTTTCCTCCGGCAAAGCAACTGCCGATTCGGTGCGATTCAGGAGGGATTCGGCTCTCTGACTCTGCCCTCGTGTCATTCCACTGATCCCCATTCCCCGCGCAGAATCCACATTTGATTTTAGAAAGGCTGGTCCCATGGCGTAAAGTGGGGAAGAACTTGTTAGTGAATTTTGCTTCACGGGTCTTTTTCTTGGGATATGGACACAAGCAAGATACCACCCCGACGACCTGGCTACATAGAAATTTATTCAGTTATAAACAATAGCTCATTCTGTTGACTCTATTGCCTTGATGGGCCTCGACACCTCTACTTCGGCGCAAGGAATTCCTCATTTCTTGACGATGGAGGCGTAGACCTTGTCAATGATCGGAGGCTGGGCTCGTCAACCCGCTCAGGCTTGAATACATCTCCATGCTTTCTCCCAGATGTCTTACTTGTTCACTTTCGAATTGAGCCATTGGAAGAGGTTGGCAGCCCCCGATCCAGCCCCCATTCCTCCATCGACCGCCAGCACTAGTGATTCTAAGTCTTGCCATTTTCTCTTTGGAATAGGATCCAACTTACCTTGACCGCTTATGAAAGATGCCTCGTCGGAGGCCAAAAAAAGTGTCGCATTTGCAACTTCAAGTGGTGTGCAGCCACGCGACAGTGGGATGCTGCTGAGAAGAAGTGCCTCGGCATCAGGCGCAGCACGGAATGCTGCAGTCATCGGTGTGATCATGTACCCTGGGGCGACACAGTTCACGCGGATATTCTCATGCCCATGGTCCAGAGCCAGGCATTTCGCCATGTTGATAATTCCTGCTTTTGCGGCGCCATACGACGAGTTGCCAGAATCCCCACCAAGACCTGACGCGCTCGCGGTGACGACGATGGATCCGCCGCCTCCCTTTCGCATCTGGGGGATGGTGACCCGAGCGAGATAGAACAATGCATTCAAGTCGACATTAATCATGTCTTGATAGTGCTTGACATCCATATCTTCGATCAGACTCAGCGGCGTGAATCGTCCGGCATTGTGAAATAGAACGTCCAGTCTGCCAAACCTCTCCAGGCAAGTCTTGACTGCCTTCTCACAGTCCTCTGGAACTCCCACGTCACATTTGGCATAAGTAGCATTCGAACCGAGTTTTTCCAAAACAGATCTCTCCTCGATATCTGTAACGAATACCTTGGCTCCTTCGTTCACAAACGATTGGCATGCCTCTAACCCAAGGCCCGAGGTTCCTCCCGTCACGAAAACAACCTTGCCAGTAAACCGTGAGCGCGACATGTCGATGATGCACTCGAATGAAACAGCTCGCGAAAGGGTCAATGTCTCTGCTTAATCGTCGATGTCGGTCAATCCCACCTCCAGCAAACAGAGGTTGGGTTCACGGCTGGAATACATTGGACTCATCTTGTACGCCTTTGGATCTCGGAAAGTTGCCGGCTTTCGTCCCATTTGTACGAGTCATGTAGGATGGCCCAATCATTAAACCCTTTATGATTGTTGGACTTCTCAATCAGTGAGGCCGTCGGTAAAAACCATAGCCCGCGGCGATCGGTAGATCTGCATGGCCAGGAAAATAGCCGACTGTAGCTGACTTGCACCCTCACATCGTCCTTTCAGCTTCGACGGACTTTTCGGAGCTTTGAAACCCTCGTTCAGAATCTGTGTGTACAGGACTTCTACTCAGCCGGTGGCAATATGGCACTAGACCCATGGCAATACGACATGCGGAGGAAACTGCACTTCTACGGCATTATGACCAGCTCGCCAAGGAAGGTACTACCGAACTAATAAGCCTTCGCATTCAGTTGAGGTTGTTCCTTGATTTCTGGAGGGGTACGAGCCCATATCGGAGAGGGTCCTAATTTTATTGGCGCGGTTCTGGATTTTCCGTCTTAACCAGGCTCAATGCAGTAAGGATGTTTCAAAAGCACGCCATGCTCGGCATCGATTCTTGTTGGAATGATAGAACTGCATTTGACTGCTCAGAGGTGTCGGTGTCCCTGTGCATCGGACATCCAAGTAGTGGCGCCTACTTCATATAGGAAGTTGCTTGGCTGCTTGCACTTGCAACGCATTCCGCATTACGAACGAAATGTTGAGCACAGCGGAAGTGGCGCAACATTGCTCGAAAGAGTCCTGCTGGGTCATAATCTCGGGGCATGTGTATGACCTGACTGGGTTCTTAGATGAGCACCCAGGCGGTGCGGTCGTCATCCTGAAATATGCTGGAAGAGTATGATAGAGAAACACAATACCAGACCTGTTCTCATTCGGTGGGTAGGACGCAACCATGGCTTATGAGCCCTTACATCCGCCAGGCACGATCGAGAGATACCTCAGCCAAGGTGAGTGCGTTACTTTTCCCATACCTGCAGAATTGCTGACTAAACTAGAGCAACATCGAGGGCCCGTAGCAGTTGAGGAGAAAGGCGACACTAAATTAACAAGAAAATTCAGGGAAGGAGGCCCAATTCCTCTGATGCTATGCATGAACCTCGACGACTTTGAGAAAGCTGCGCGTAAATCTATCTCAGCTCGCGCTTTTGTGTACTTTCATTCGGCCGCCGAGGACCTCGTCACATTCCAGAACAACAGGGCAGACTGGTCCAAAGTAGCCCTCCGACCGCGCACGCTCCACAATGTGGCCAAGATAGATATGAGCAGGAGAATTATGGGATGCAACAGTTCTCTGCCCTTTTTCATCGCCCCAGCCGCAATGGCTCGGCTGGCTCATCCGGACGGGGAATTTTGCCTTGCCAGAGCCGCAAAGCAATACGATATGCCATACTGCACCAGCACATACTCGTCAGTCTCTCACGAAGAGCTGGCCCAGTGTTTACAGCAAGGCACAACCGGAGCGTTGTTGTATCAACTGTACGTCGCCAAAGACCGGGCGCGGACCACAATGCTCATTCGAGAGGCTCGAAGGCTTGGATTCATGGCACTTTTGATCACCGTCGATACCGCCGTCGGAGGCAAGAGAGAAGAAGACGAACTTTTCCAAGCAAAAATGGCCTACGAGGCCGGGGACGAGAGTGTCCCGCGACCCACTTGTGCTAGTCCAGGCGAAGAGGCGCCTATACTTCGTGGAGCTCATTCCTCAACATTAAACTGGGATGACATTTCGTGGATCCGTCAAGAGTGGGAGGACACAGGGCCGATTTATCTAAAAGGTATTCAATGTGTTGAAGACGCTGAGAGAGCGATGAGCGCCCACGTGGACGGAATTTATCTTAGTAACCATGGGGGAAGACAACTGGACACCACCTCCAGTGCTCTGAAGACACTCTTGGAGATCAGGGCTTTCGCCCCTCAGGTGTTGGAAAAGTTGGAGGTGTACCTTGACGGTGGTGTTCGACGAGGCAGCGACGTGATAAAGGCTCTTTGCTTGGGTATCACTGCCGTAGGTGTGGGCAGGCCATTTATGTACGCACTCGGCAGCTACGGCACCGATGGCGTGATGAAAGCTGTACAAAGTAAGCTGCAGGAGCTCGACAATCGTAACCCTATCGAACTGACCTTGTACAGTCTTGAGTGACGAAGTGGAAAGTACCATGAGGCTCATGGGTGTGACGAGCTTAGCCCAGCTGAGCGCTGACCATGTCAATGCACGCATACTCGAGAATGAGTTGCCTGCAAAGCTGTCAGCGTTCCCCCACGCTCATAAGCTGTAACGAAATAGAAGCTCGACTTGAGGCCCCCCAAGCTCTGAAGACCACGACCCTAGGATCATGTCACAGAGAATTTTGAGCTACTGTGAGTTCACGTGGGACATACCAGGTTTGTTCGGAATGCAGTCCTTTCCAGGTGAATTTGATGCTCGGCTCGTCGAAGCGTATAGGGGTTGGGGTAGTCTCAGGCGTAACGTCTCGCAATATTATCGCTACATGGCTAATCCTGAAATGTTGGTCGTTAGCTTGCTGAATTGGTTTCTCGCAAGAATCTCGTGGATCCCTTCATCGTGGTGAAACTATCACCAGCTTATGTGTTGTTGTAGTCAAAATAATGTGCCTCCTGCCTCAGGGTGCCTAGGCTCGAGATATACCACATGTGCGGTTTCAGTGCTTCCCGAGGTGTAATCTTGGTAAGGCTAGCTACCAGAACCGTGGCCGTCCGGGCATGGCCTGGTGGCTACGTGGGGTTGGTCACTCGACCCCTGTTGAGAACGAATCACAGCGTCCCAGATTGACGATACCTGCCACCTCCGAAGGCGCAGCTCAGCCGTGGTGGATCCGGCGAACCTGTCGGGGGGATTCTGGGGTAATCGGCTTCTCGCTTTCCCCCGCTCTCCATCTTCTGGTTTTCCTCCTCAGTCAGAATTCTCTGCCTGCAAGATCGACCATCTGTTTTGGAGGACACTTCGCCGGGTTTGCAGACTGCTTTTATCATCGAAATCCGTGAAACGATCGACGTTGACCTTTTGTCCCTCAAATTGATATCCGCAACCCGGGATATCCATCAGTCTTGACGCGGCAGGTCGGCTATCATGTCCTCACCCAGGAACGCACCCGCGAGAGGGTCACACCACCAGCGCTCAAGAGCATCAATAGCTTGTATGACATGCCGTAAGAGGAAAGTCAAGGTGAGTCAGACCAGCGCTCCCGATGTGCTGGACACTGACAACTCTAGTGTAACGTCCAGTCAATGGAAAGCGGGCAGCCGTGCAGGCTATGCTGTACCATTGGAGCTCAATGCACCGTCAACTATGATGACAACCGGAAGATGTAGGACGACCATGCTCGTGCCGACAGACACTCGACTGACCACGGATAGAAACGCGTCCAAAAAACACGTCCGCCGCCTGGAGGAACGACTGGAGTTTCTCGAATCCACCATCCGCAACCTCCAGGGGTCGGGAGAAAGGAAGAACTCTGCGCAACCAGCGGCCATCGATGGCGAAGAGCTGTCTAGAGTGAGCTCTGCATCGAGCAGCGGCAATTCTACACCTGCCGTGGCCACCGACGACCAAGCTAATCAAGAAATCTCAAATGGTTGGTGTTCCTGTCGAAGGTGGTCGATTGAGACGGACCTAACACTGTAGACAGAGCTCAACAACAATAAGGATCTTGACGCATGTGCAATTTCAAAGACACCGACACTGGACGTACATCATGATTTGGAAAACGCGGTCTGCTCACTCCCAGAGCCCCAAGACGTATCGATGGATCAAGTTGAGTTGTGTGATTCGGATCTTATGTTCCACGACATCACTGGTGAGATTCATCACCGTCCAGACGGAGTAGACTGTTTCTGACCCTGAAAGTACCTGACATGGGCGACATTAACGTCAGTTACTGGCATCAGGATGTGTTCGAAAGACCCTCAAGCCTGATCGAGCAGATGCCAGGACATGTTCCCTTGGAGGGATTGCCCGGCGGCACCGTTCCTGAGCAGCATGTCGACATGTTTCCAGGGCATTGGCTTCACACAGCTCCAAGGGAGCCTTGTCTGACGCAAGCAAATCCCGTGGAGAATACTGCCGAGTTCAAGCAGACGTACCTCCAAAAATGGTGGAAGTTTCAGGACATGTCCATATATCTTGTGGACCCCAAACTTTACATGACTGCGTACGAGCGAGGTGTCCGATCTCAACACTATTCCGAGTTCTCGCTGAACGCACTGCTGGCGTGTTCAATGCGTCTCGACAAGTCCGAGTCAATTCGGAACTTGAGCCGCGCGTACGCCGAAAAGGCCAAGAGGGAGATTCCCCGGGAACTGGAGATTCCTACAATGTCTACCGTTCATGGGTTCTGCCTGCTGAGTGACTATGAGTGCACGAACGGCAGCGAAAATCTCGGCTGGATCTACGTCGGTATGTCAATTCCCCCCTCCCGCGTCGGTTGGTCGCCCTTTAATATGGAACAGGCATGGCATGTCGGCTCATTATTACCCTGGGACTACATCAAGATTGCTCTGAACTGACCAACTCTGGATTCCTCACCAAGGAAGATGCACTTGCTCGGCAGCGAATGACATATGGCGTCTTTGTCTACGAGCAGACTTGGAGCCTTTTCCTGGGCCGTCCTTCGTCTCTGAAAGCATCCCATATACAGCATCCGTTTCTGCCCTCTGGGTGCTCCTCATATCAAGCCCATTTACTCGCTGGCTGGGTCGACTTGTGTACCCTGATCCGAAAGGTGGTCAATACTTGTACTTGCATCAAACATCATTTTCAATCCTGTTTGCCAAAGTGCAAGCAATTGGAGGAAGCACTCCGATCGTGGGAACGAAATTTGCCTCCTGAACTGGCCTGGAGTGGCAAAGACCCCGTGTCGTGGCCGCCTTCCCTCTGCGCTTTATACATGCAATTCTGCAACATCCAGCTTCTGCTGCACCGAACGGTCAGTTCGTGCCAACGGGATTTCCGGATGCCAGACCTAGACGCATGGCCGTACAGCCGACAAGACTCGCGCAAGATCATGCACGAAAATGCGGTGAAGATAGCCCAAACATTGGAGGTGCGACGTCTCGCCTTCGAAGACTGGGGATTTGCCACGCTTATGCTCGACATCATCTTCACGGCGGCTAGCACTTTGATTACGTGCATGGCGTCCAATGGCAATCAAAAGAGTGCGCTGAGTGACCACAAGTGTCTAATAGGCGTCCTCGGGGTCTGTGAGGGCTTGCAAACCAACTACCCCGTGGTCAAACGCATGGTCAGCGTCCTCAATTCCATGTTGGAAAGCACAGGCCTCGAAAGTTTCATCTGGAGAGGACGCGTTGAATCGGATTCTGGTCGGAACGAGGCCAGCCCTTCCGAGTCCATATTGATAAAGGGACAGAGGGCACTCAGTTGTTCAAGTGGTAGCGCGGCACCGTTCGACCCGCTGCGTTGGTGTGATGCCAATGGGAACAGTGAGTCAGATCATGAAGCCACCGTCTTCGTCGAGCACCAAGCAAAACCGTCAAGCCAGCCGATAGCCGGACCTGCCACTACCCAGCAGCCCTCAGTGATTGGCGAACCTTCTGAAGAGAACCCTTGGTTCTTCCCTGAGCTGGATGGCAATGCGTCTACTTATCCAATTTCAGACATGGTGACATCTGCACAGCTGAACTGGAAGATGGTGACTTGAAACAAATTTCATTTTTGCAGCGGCGACGTACGTGTGGTTTCGATGCTACCATTCTCTGTACTGTTGGGTGTTGAGGCCCGCCCTGTGATAGTGGCCGGAGCACAAGCATTGCAGCTCGGACTGGGTTGATCTTGGATCCAGAGTTGGGTGCTGTATCACAACTCGACGACAGAAATCCTCGCCATTTGTACCAGGTTCTGGATATAGCTCGCTACTGTATCGATGAAAACGTGAGCATTATAGATGGAGTGCGCGTGGCCGAAAGAGAACATCCATCGTGAGTGCTCGAGATGTAATACCAAGTTCTCCGTTTTTCGGCGACGTCCTGAGGTCACATGGCTGCAACAGAAGGAGGCCAGTCGCCAGCATAAGTCCAGCTGGTCTACTATTTGGAAAATCGAATCTGACGAGTTGGTCCTAGGAGAATATTATAGCGGTTCACCAGGCATGCAAAATGTGACTACATCACCTGCGGGCGTCGCCTGACCAATGGCCCAAAGCTATCTAGAATACGCTACATTGTTGCACACTAAGAGTATTCATGTCCTCGTCCCAGAGAAGATACTAAGAGTGGTTTCTATGGACGGTGTCGACCTCTACGGGTCTCGATAACCTGTCCGTGTGAAACGCAGGCAAAGCCGGTGTTGGGGTTACATTGCGGACCTTATCAACAAGACTTGGAGAATATTAGGTCTGCCATCACAAATATATCGAACTTGCTGGGATTGATTCCAGGGCCGGCGACAAGGCGGATGCCTTTCTCGGTGCCAATCAATCTTTGACATCGGCAAGGGTGAAAGTGTCCCACTCTCTCCAGTCGATTGACCTCAGTCTCCACCAGAGATTCCAGATATTCCGATGATGAACGATGCTGTTATGACCTTCCGAGTTATTGTGATAGCTATTACAGGAGGCATTTTGGGACACCAGAAAACCAATATTCTTCTGAATTTCGTAGTTGTAGGACTGTTCAAATTCCGCATTCGGCATGACGCCAAACTTGGTACCATGTGTACTTCTCGCAAAGATCTCTTTCACGATGCGAGATGTATAGTCAGAGGCCACTTCGTTCATTTCGTGATGAACGGACGAATATGTGTTGGCGTTCGGCCCGTTGCAATAGAAAAAGTTGGGGAAATTGGTCGTCGCAACGCCATATATTGCGGATGGGTGAGCTTCCCACTGTCTTTGTAAGTCAACGCCTCCCTTCCCAATTATTATCTCATGCTGAAGATATTGGGCCAGATTGAAACCTGTAGCAAAGATGATGACATCAAACTCTCGTCGGAGCTCTTCACCGGTCTCACGGTCGATGGAAGCTATCCCAGTTTCGGTGAACGTAGTGAGGCTCTCTTTGACGACGGTGCAATTAGGCTTGATGAGAGAGGAGTAAAAGTTGTCGAGGAAGAGCGGCCTCTTGCAGAAAAAGTCGTAGTCTGGTCGAAGAAACGCTCTCAACTTTTCGTCTTTTACCTGCTCCTCTAGGAACGCGTGAGCTCTGTTGGTAAAGACTTTATTGAGGTACGAGCCCTGTGTAACCACGGAATAGCCAAAGATCCACTGTTGAAGCATGGCGAGGCTCCGCACAGTCTGTGCGAAGAAGGGAACATGTCTCATACTCCACATCCACGCCCTACGATATCGGTCAGCATATGTAGCGAGATTTGGACCGGTCAAGTCTTACGATGAACGTGGAAAGTCTTTTCTCGGAAGCACCATAGGCGGCGTTCGCATGTACACGGTTAGATGGGCGGCTTGATCAACGATCTCTGGGATGACCTGCCCGGCACTGGGACCACAACCTATCACTGCCACTCGCTTGCCGGCCAGACTGACCGTGTCATTCCATCGAGAGGTATGCCAGTAATCACCCTTGAAGGTCTGCAGACCTGGCGTCCTGCCAAATTTTGGTCGGTCGAAAGCCCCCACGGCATGGATCAAGACATCCGCTGTCCAATGTTCTATTGTTCCGTTTGTCTGGTTTTCAGCCTCGACCCTCCAGACAAACCGCGTCTCATCCCAGACACACTGTGTCACGAATGTTTGAAACTGAACGCATCGCTGTAACCCGAGATCATGCGCCATTCGTACGTAAAATCGAGCGATCTCATCCCGAGTAGCGTAAAAGTGAGTATACTCTAAACCGCGGTTAGAAGAGGATATTCATCAGTCACTAGTTGTGTGATCAGGCTAACCAGTGTTGATCATGAGTTTGTTCGTGTACTGCAGTGCGGGCACATCGCAAGCACAGCCAGGGTATTTATTCTTCTCCCACACTCCTCCGAAGTTCGTTTGTACGTCAAACATGACCATATCATCGAGTGCAACCGCTTTACGCTTGAGCAGAAGTGCTGCCTTGGTGATGCCTGATACACCAGCGCCAACAAGGATGACCTTCTTGTGACCCCTGCTCACAGCATGCTTTGCAGACTCGATGGACACTACGTCCACACCATTTAATTGGGCGTAGGAACCTTGCTGGACCGTTCCGGCCGTCTTGTCCTCGAGGGACTCTGCTGTTGGTGCTGCTGACATCTTGTCTAGATTTCAGCTAAGTATGAACGAGACGACAATCCTGAAAATATTACTTCTGGATCGTATTGAGATGGAGAGCATCCCACTGAGTGCATGCCGTAACTATTACAGATACCAGATCAAGGGACATTTTAGTTCTTCTGTGCAGTCCACGCAGTCTCGGCTGCATCCTACTGTTTCTCTAACTCCTGGTACCGGATTGATGGCCCAGTCGGAAAATATTGAGCCGCATATCGACAATGGCCGTTGTTACCAGACAGGACGTTTGAAATGGCCGGATGTCCTGGTCCCGCTTTGAACCCATTGCCGCCGTTTTAACGAGTTGGATGGTGGGCCTGGCACCTGGGGTGGACTCTAGAAAATGGCGGCTTTCATTCTCCGTCCCTTGGCTGCTTGGCATCGGGAAGAGCGTATTTCCATGGCCCGGACCATATCAAGACAAAATAGCTTCCTAGCCACAATGTGTCCGCCCGGGCAGTAGACAGTGGCCAAGAATAGACTGAATTTCGAGAGCCTACGGGACACGTTTGTTTGGCTTTATGGTGAAGATGGCGCTCCAGACTAATGGCATGAATGGTGCTGATCATACTCGTAACAATGCCGTCAGCGGCCACGCGAAAGACATCGACTACAACAAGGATGTGTCCTATGCAGCCGTTGTCATCGGTGCTGGATTTGGCGGGCTTCGCATGCTGCACGAGTTCCGCAGGCTTGGATTATCGACGAGGATAATTGAAGCCGGCACTGATGTTGGTGGGACCTGGTACTGGAATCGCTACCCAGGAGCACGAACGGACAGTGAGAGCTGGAGTTACATTATGAACTTCTCCCAAGAGCTCAGGACGGACTGGGTGTGGAAGGAGCGTTTCGCGCCCCAAGCAGAAGTGCTGAGCTATCTCCAACATGTTGCCGACCGGTTCGACATGCGGAAAGACATCGATTTTAAAACTCGTGTCAAGTCAGCCCATTATGATTCGGAAAAGAACATTTGGAATGTTACAACTGTGGGTGGTACTCAGTACACATGCCACTTCCTCATTACGGCCACTGGCCCTCTCTCGGCCACCAGAGATCCGCCGTTCCCCGGGCTCGATTCCTTCAATGGGGGGTGGTATCAGACATCCAACTGGCCTAAAGGAAAGGTCAACTTCAAGGGCAAGCGTGTGGCCGTGGTGGGCACAGGTGCCACGGGCGTTCAAGTAGTCCCGATAGTTGCGCATGCCGCAAGCTCGGTCACAGTATTCCAACGCACACCGAATTATGTCCTACCCGCTCGGAACGCCCCTTTGACAGATTCTCAGCTTGAGGAAATTAAGGATAACTACGACGCTGTCTGGGCCCAGGCTAGGGGCCAAGTATTTGGATTTGCGATGCCAACAATAGGCCGCATGATTGCGGATGTGAAGGATGACCACGAACATCAACAGATCCTCGAGGCTGGGTGGGAGTCAGGCGGGTTTCGTTACATCTTTGAGACCTTTGACGATCTCCTGCTGGACCAAAAGTCCAACGATGCGGCGTCGGAGTTCGTCCGCAGAAAGATCAGGACAATTGTCAAGGATCCAAAGACAGCAGACATGCTTTGTCCCCAATACCCCCTGCTGGCCAAGCGACCTCCTTTGGGTCACTTCTACTACGAGGCGTTCAACCGTCCAAATGTGAGCCTCGTCAGTGTGGCCGACGATCCTATTCAGGCGATTACCCCTAACGGCCTGCGCACTGGCGCCCAGGAGTTTGAATTTGATATCATTATTTTCGCCATCGGCTTCGATGCTGTCACCGGCGCGCTCAATCAGATCGATATTCGGGGCGAGAAGGATCGATCGTTGCGGAAAGAATGGGCCACACGGCTCGAAACTTGCCTGGGGATAGGCGTCCCTGGCTATCCTAACATGTTCATGATATCGGGCCCGCAGGCCCCATTCGCAAATATCCCTGTCATCATTGACAACACTGTGGACTGGATTGGCAAAGCAGTGACGTTCATGAAAGACCGTGGCTGCAATCGTATCGAGCCGACCCAGAAGGCCGTTGACGCTTGGTGTGACCATGTCAAGGCGACCTTTGAAGCGACCCTCCTGGCAACCGCATCTATGCAAGCCCGTTCTTGGTATATAGGTGCGAATGTGCCCGGGAAGCCTTTGAGCGTCCTCTTCTATTTCGGCGGTCTCGTTCAATACTTTGCTCATTGTCAAAAGGAGCTTGAGGACGGCTTTCCTAGCTTCGAAATGTCCAGAGCATGAGATGAAGCGGTGCGAAGTAAATCTGGGGCAATTCCAGAAGGGTACAGTGTTACACAAGATTGCGTATCATTCGCCGTAGGAACCAAAGTGGCACATCTTATGCAGCGAGAAGAATCGAGCAGTATATGAATCAAGAGAAAGTCAAGTCATCAACATGTTTTTCCACCATTTGTCGCAAGCTGAACCCGCAGAACTATGCGGTGGCGATCATCTCGAAATATCCTGCTGCCTATCAATCGGTTCGGATACCAAGACGCTTTCTTATATATTCCAAGACAATATCATCCGCCTCGCCCTCGAGTTTGGCGTCTGCAGCCAAACCGCCAAGTACAAACGTATGCACAGCACCTTCACCACAGTAGCTCGTGACATCAACTTCGTCTGCTCTACATTGCGCAATCCACATTTTTGAGTCTTCCTGGTACACTTCTGCACTACCGTAGGAACAAAGGTGCCCGGGAATCCCCTTCAGATTAGTGTTCAGGGCAAGGGATATGTCAGGATCTGCTGGATCGCGCCCGTCGCCGGCAAGTACTTGAGCCATCTGTTTGGTACCATTGCATGTGCCGTCACCATAGACAAAATCGACATCTGCATAGGCAGAGCTTGCGGTTTTTGAGAGCGAGGGATCAAGCCAAGCAGAAATCAAAATGGACGCGCCAGGCCGCGGAACTTCGCCATGGTCCCGCAAATAGACCAAAAGGGCGGCAACGAGGTTTCCTAAACATTGGAATCAAATCTACACTTTCTAGAGCAGCACACTTACCACCAGCAGAGTCACCGGCCAAGACGACCCTGCTTGGAGGTACTTTCTCTACCTCTCTAAGATGCTCGTAAGCAGCAACCGCTGCATCTCGCTGGGCTGGGTATGGTCGTTCGACAGACAATGCTGTTGCGGATTGGATCAGCGCGGAACAAAGCATCATAGCACCTGTGTAACTTACGGTACCGCAAGGAGACAATTGCCAGATGATATCCCATCTCTGCTGCTTTTCTTCGCCATCGTTGAAAGGTCACGTAATATTGCATTGGTTCTCCAATGGCATAACCTCCACCATGGAGATAGAGCACTACTGCATCGTATTGTTTCAACGCTCTGTTCGGGTTGACATCGACTTCATACGCGTGCCAACCTTTGCCGTCAAATCGTCTAGCAGATGCAAAGGCTGGTGGTGGTGTGGAATAGATGAACTGGTAATGCTTCAGGAAGAATATCTTGAGGAGGAGAGACTTGAGCGCAGTGACAAGGTTCGTGGGATGGGACAAGGGCCGCGTTGATAGTCGGCCGAGGATGAGAATCCCGGCGTGAAGTATGTACACGGCAAAGATACAACAAAACTTTGCAGGACGCTGACGGACATAAGCCCAGTTGAACGCTGTCATGGTGGCAGGCGAGTAAATCAGCTCTTGGATCCTCAGAAAGTTCACAAGAACGATGATGGAAGATTGTCACTTATGACCTTCGACCTACCACCCAAATTGGGCCCATCCCATTGAAAACGAGCAACGGAAAAAGAATTCCGTCTCTAAAAAAATCAGGGTTAGCTCAGCCCGTAGTTCACAGGTCGTGCTTTTCCCGTGCAAACAAATACAGTAACGCACCTGTAAATGGGCTGATAGTCTGCAGTGTTGCAATCTCCAGGATCTTGGCCATTAATCAGGACGACAGGATGAGTGAGGCTAATACTGTCACCAATGGCCACCATCGCCGGCCTGTTCGCATCGCCAATTGCAGCGGTGCAGCATCGGACCCAGGCTTCCAGAGGTATAGACAGGCCACCGCCGGGCCCATAGATGCTATTACGGGTAGGCAGCCATTGGGTCGAATGCGGTGTTGTGCTGACAGCTTCAAGGTGACTACCTGGCAGAGATGAATCTAGCACAAAATTCCCAGGCGTACCGTGCTGGCACCCATTCAGGCTGGGAGCCCACCGCCGAAGACGGTCTGATGCAGACCCTCTCCATAATTGCGGATAAACGAATCAAGGTTGTGATCAATGGGGGCGCACTCAATCCTGGCGGCCTGGCCAAGAATGTAGCCCGCGAGGCTGAAGCTAAAGATTTGAATCTGAAGATCGCCTTTGTCGAGGGGGACGACTTTTACGACCGCGTGGATGAGATTCTCAGCCCGGCATACCACCTCCAACACTTGGATTCCGAGAATTCGCACCTCTCTTTGGACAGCCATACGGACATTCTTAGACGAAAGAAGAGTATTGTATGCGCGAACGCCTATCTGGGGGCGCGCGGAATCATCAAGGCGCTCGAGCATGGCGCAGACATTGTTATTTGTGGCAGGGTCGCCGACGCATCACCGGTCATCGGCATAGCAGCTTGGTGGCATGGCTGGTCTTTGACAGATTTTGACCTCCTGGCTTCGGCTCTCATCGCTGGCCATTTCATCGAATGCTCTGCTTATCTGACGGGTGGGAACTTCTGCGATTTTGAGAGATACCCTCTGCAAGACTTGATTGACGTTGGATTGGGGATTGTTGAGGTATTCGGGGATGGCACTCTAATCCTCACCAAGCATGAAAGCCTGAAAGGCATCGTGAACGTGGACACGGCCACCAGCCAGCTCCTCTACGAACTGCAGGGCCTCCACTACCTCAACAGTGATGTTATTGCGGATCTGACAGGGATAGAAATCCTGCCAGCTGGAGACAATCGTGTGCTTGTAAGAGGGGTGACGGGCCTCCCGCCACCCTCAACTACGAAACTTGCCATCTTCTACGTCGGAGGATACCAGATCGAGATGACGGTGAATGCCACCGGCAGTAATGCTTTGGCAAAGTACAATTTGATGAGGGCACAGTTGGACTACGGCATGAAAGCCCGGGGTATTGACAAGAAGTTGGAAACTTATGAATTCCAAGTGTATGCGCTCCCAGAACAGGACGCCGACACACAAGAAAGAGGCACATCATACTGCAGGATATTTCTACAGGCGCCGGATCCAGTGATCCTGAAAGAATTCTCTTTGGTTTTTCGGTGGTTTGCGATGCAGCACTTCCATGGTATGCACTGCACCAGTAACATACGAAATCTCTCTCCTCCGCCGAAGGAGTTCCTTGTCTACTTCCCCGCCCTAGTACCGCAGACCGACATCAAAGAGCAAGCATTATTCGTTGATAGCAAAGGCAACATCGTGAACAAGTATGCAGCAGAGCCACTAGAGCAAACAAGTGTACTTGGACCCCGACCGAGTCACGAAACAGCGAACAGTATTGAGCTGGCATCATTCGGAGAGACTGTCCGGACTTCCCTGGACGCTGTGGTCCTGGGTCGATCCGGAGACAAAGGAGGAAATGTCAATCTTGGTTTATTTGTCCGTGAGAGGGACGAGTACGACTGGCTCTGCTCGTTCATGACCATAAAGCGCCTCGAGCAACTCATCGGTCAAGACTGGCGTCCTGAGTACTGGATCGAGCGTGTGGAGATGCCCAAGATCAGGGCCGTCCACTTTGTTGTCTATGGTATCCTCGGGTGTGGGGTCAGTTCATCTTCCAGGCTGGACTGTCTTGGGAAAGGTTTTGTTGACTGGATCAGAGCGCGGCATGTAGACATGCCTTGCCGTTTTGTCCACCGTTACCAGAATCCAGGTAGTAGCCGTGGACAAAACGGCATCCTCCCAGCCTAGCTTTGATCAATGTCCAGAGGAGTCTAGCATCGTTTTTGCGACGTCGGAATTGAGACCGTCTGGATCTCAGGCCTTACGCGGCTGTCCTAATCCTTCGCTGAGCCAAATGTTGCGCCCAGATATGAGCATAATCATAGCCAAGCTCCGCTTTCCGGGGCCCCGATTGACAAACCGGGGTAGTCGCACCTGCGACGCCGTCAGACGGCGAGGGCTTTTCCGCCACTCGAGATTGACTTCAAGCTGGTGAATATTTGGAACATCTAGGTGAACACGTTATTGCATCTGAATTTCCTCTGTTCCTCTCAATCCTCGCAGCTTCTGCCCTCGATCAGTCTGGACCGCTAACTGACATGTTCGTCCAAAACCCGAATTCCGTCATGGCCGTCCCCGACCTTTCCGAGCGCTTCGAGCAGAAGTCTCGCACCAAACCGTACCTCATTTTCCTAATTGTCATCATGGGCTTTGGCTCTGCCTCTTATGGCTATGCATCCTCGATCATCGCAACTACGTTGTCTCAGCCGTCATGGACTCTCGATATGGGGCTTGCAACCAAATCCAACGCGAATGCCTTGATCGGTGCGACCAACGGCATGTTCTATGCAGGCGGATTTTTTGGTTCCCTGGGTGCTGGATGGGTATCGGCAGAGTATGGTCGAAAGATGGCCGCTATTGTTGCATGCGCCATGATTATTGTGTTCAGTGCTTTGATCACGGCTTCACAAAACATCGGCATGTTTATTGCATTCCGATTCTTGACCGGCGTAGGGGCTGGTGCCATCATGGCTATCATCCCTGTCTGGGTGGCCGAGGTGTCTCCGCCCAAAGTTCGAGGCGCCCTGGTCGTAGTCCATGCGGTCATGGTGAACGTTGGCTATGTCGTTGCATCCTATGTGGGAGTGGGATTCTACCATTACAAAGGTGGAGACATTGAAAATGTCTGGCGAGGTCCAATGGGGTTGTCGCTATTTTTTCCAACGCTCTTCCTCTGTGGTGCTTATTGGCTACCAGAATCGCCCCGGTATCTGGTCTCGAAAAACCGGATGGACGAAGCATGGGCCGTCATTCACCGCCTGCACTCAGACGCCAAAGATCCTACGGACGAATTTGCCAGACGAGAGTTTGTGCAGATCAAAGCGCAAATGGAACTCGACAAGACGTTCACCCCACACACTATTCTCCGAAGCTTCGTTGATAGTTTCACAAAGCCGTCCCTCCGGACGCGCTCCATCCTCACCATCCTCATCGTCTTTGCTCAAATGAGCTCGGGGGCGGTGGTGATCAACAGTAAGTCCAGCAGCTATCCTACCAGCAGAACACACTGACACTGTGGCCAGACTACGGGGGTTTGATATATTCGAATCTTGGCTACGAGACAGCAACCGTCCTGCAATTTCAAGGTGGATATCAGGTCGCAGGTCTGGTGATGAACTGGGTCCCTATGCTTTACGTCGACCGCTTCAAACGTAGCACGCTACTGTCAATTGGGTTCGCCGGGTCTGCGATTGCTGTCATCATCGAGTGTGCTTTACAAGCGAAGTACCTCAATACGACTGACCGTGAAGGACTGGCTGGCTGCGTTACAGCACTCTATCTCAGCATTACTTTTTATGGTCTCTTTATTGAGGGCCCAGGATTTGCGTACGTCACCGAGATATGGCCTACTCAGCTTCGCGGTCAAGGTTTCGCTATGTCGATAGCTGTGTACAACCTCACCTGCATTCTCTGGCTCCAAGCTGCCCCCACCGCATTCGCCAACATTGGGTGGAAGTACTACATCATCTTCATAGTCATTGGTGCAATAGCAGCAGCAGCTATGCTATTATTTTTGCCAGACACGCTACACAAGCCCCTGGAAGAAATTGCTGCTTGCTTTGGAGACGTCGACGCCGTCGCCGTGAGGCAGACAGACCTGGACCACGAATCAACCTTGGAGCCTAAAGGAGGGGGTTTACATGTGGAGGGCGCAATTTCCAGTTCCAACGAATCAGTTACGGCCGAGAAATTAGCTTGATAGATTTATGTCGAGGTCTCAGGACAAGGTTGGCGATTGCACCCAGAAAGTGCCGAAGAGCACTCCGGTCGACACAGGCTGCAGCACCTACTACAAGTCCCTGTCAATAGCATACTGTGTGATCAATGCCGAATCTTTTGACAGTGTGTCCATTGTGAGCTTGCCAAGTCTGTAAGGTCTTCAATTAGATTCACAAATCTTTTCAAACTATAGTGTGGTACGAGGTGCACGCCTTCTTGGCCCCTCGTCGGCCAATCCGGACAGAAACGCGGTGCATGAATGACCTACCAGACCACTCTCCTAGACACAATCTTGCAAGTTGGAGCACATCTCGATATACGCATTCTTCGTCTGCGCAAAGTATATGACTCGGCACAGAGAGGTAACAGTGCCGTTTTCGCCGGCACGGATATGCCGACACCCGCTAAGCTCTCCCGTGCGGGCTCAACTCGGAATTGATCGATGCTGCGAAGCATTACACGATGCCTCAGCATCTAATCACTTTACTATGCAGGACGAGGCGACTACGAATAGCTCGGATCAGAGTAACGACTGGATCTGACTTGTCTCTTGATCTGTGCTGCCTAAAGACTCTGCCGAGTTTGTCTGTACAAGCAAGCCCGCCTGGGGCGCATTTTTCGGCTCCAACGAGAAGGATAGCAGCTTCGCATCCCAAAAAAACCAACTCCTTTGAGAAGACCTGCTCAGTTGAAAAGGGAAGGGATAGCGACGATGGGAGCACTAGACGGAACCATCGCAATCATCACTGGGGGAGCACGCGGAATGGGCGCATCACACGCCCGTGGTTTTGTCGCCGAAGGAGCCCGAGTCGTGATTGGAGACGTGCTTGAGAAGGAAGGAGAAGCACTCGCAGCTGAACTGGGAGGCTCTGTCCTCTTTGCGAAACTCGACGTGACCTCGGACGAGTCGTGGAAGGCCATCATCTCGCTGACCGAAGACAAATTCGGACCCGTGGACATTCTCATCAACAACGCCGGCGTCGTCTTGTGGAAACCTTGGGAGAAGATCAAAACTGCCGAGTTCAAAAGAGTGGTCGACATTGATTTGACGGGCCCATTCATCGGCACACGCGAGGTCATCCCATCCATGAGAAAAACAGGCAAGGGGGGGCTCATTATCAATGTTTCTTCTACTGCTGGGTTACAAGGCTTTGCATATACGTCCAGCTACGTCGCATCGAAGTGGGGTTTACGCGGCTTGACCAAAGCAGCTGCTTTGGAACTGGCAACAGATGGCATCCGGGTTGTGTCGGTACATCCCGGTGCGATAGAGACGCCAATGACCGCCCAAGTTACGGAAGAAATGTACTCTCAGCAGCCCATTCCACGCATGGGTACCACTGCCGAAGTCACAGCTTTGATGGTCTACCTCGCCGCTCATGCCACCTTTAGCACAGGCTCAGAATTTGTTATTGATGGTGGATCCGTGCTGGGACCGATCGTGAAAGTCCCAGTGGAAGCATAGACACAATTGGTGGTGAATCGGACAGTTGTTCCCTTTCTAGATGGAATCACTCAGCTGAAGTGGTCGATTTTCGTGAGTTCAGACGAGTATACTTAAGTCAAAGCCTTCAACGAGTGATATTTGTTCCTGACCATCGTGCATTTTGAAATTGAAACAAGCCGCTCCTTTGAATTGTGGAATCATCAGAACGCTTTCCACAATCATTTCGTCGTCCACGTCATCTGTTACCGTCTAATGACTCTTACCGTCACCAATTCCCAGGGGATGTACATCAACCATTTGTGGATGCGCGGGTTTGTCCTGCCTTTCCTTTTTCGCTTGCAGTCCAGCAAGGCTCAGACCGGTTTCGCACTCTTCGTCCGTTGTGTCAATAGCTTTGAGCAAGCAGTAGACTGTCATGGTTGTCCCAATCCCAACTGCCGCCGCACCCGTCCAGAAGGTGAAGCCTCCATTCCAGGCAAAAGCGCCGCAATAAACGGCGTGAAGCGCAAGCCCGCCGTAGAAGCCGCAAGGCCAGATACAACTGGCCAAAGCGAACCAGCGAGGAAACAGTGATCGAGGCCGTTTGTCCATCCAGATGGCATAAGAGGAGGCAAAATTTCCCGAAACAAACGTCACAAATGGAATGACCAAGATCATCCAGCACATGTCGTTCAAGAGTAACATAATCTCTGGAGGTCGATCCAGGCGGTAGGCGGCAATGCAGAAGAAGAGCGATGGTAGTGTTATGGGTGTACGCCGATATGCCGCCACTGATGGTCTGGGTTGCAACCATGGCATGAGAGCAGCCTGGGATGCGAGACATCTGCGCTGAGATCTCAGCTATGAAGAGACAGTAGAACACGCCCGTGAATTGCATCAGAGCTGCTCCGCCTTTGGAGTCGGATTCATGCTTTTTGTAGTGGGCGATGATCTCTTCTGGCGAGGCGCGTGGAGGAATGGGTGGTAGAAAGAGTCCCGTTATGAAGATGAAAAAAAGAAAGGCGATAGGACTACTCCACACGCAGATTTTACCATACGTCCTGGTCGAAGCCGTTGTGTAACGCCTCGTCGTATTGCAGGCCTTTTGCCATATACATTGAGCTCGTTCCAATTATCGGGACGCGGGTTATCGTTGTGTAGATCCAATACGTGCGAGTGTTGGGTACCCATCATGTAATAACGAAGGCAGCACAGCCTGGCCTGGTGGAGGAGCATGCTAACCTCTCTCTCCTTATATACACAACTATCCCAAGATGGAGCGGAGGGAGACTTTTGTCTAAGCAGCAGCGCACCAGCCCGCAACCGTGTCAATCATATTCCAAGCCAGGATGGCTACAACTTGTTCTCTTGCGCCCTCTTGAGTGATATGGCTGACGCCAAGATCAAGGTGTCGATGTCAGCGCCTTGCAGCGATTATCGTTCAGCGGAAGTCAGGGTACCGTGAGCTTTGAACCAGGTACGCAAGCGTACACAAGCTCTCCTCTACATGGCGAGAAAGCCGCTAGAAAGATGGCAAAGCATGCGGTATTCTGCCCAAGACGAGAGCAGACCTCTGTGTATGAAGAGACGATGCATCCCTGGTAGAATTGATGTTCGCGTTCGTTGGGGCTTGCAGGAAACACCCAAACTCAGCATTACGGGTCTAGAATGCCGATCAAGGACTCTATCGATAGTAGAGATTTTGACTCAGCGGTGGCCTCCAAACATTCGGCTATTTCTTTCCCGTACCGATTCTCCCGACGCATCTCGCCTGTGAGATGTGAGCAATCGAGATCTACTAGAACGTCAGGATATATTCAGAGCAGTCATCACTTGCGTCAATATTGCAAGAAGTACCCTTTCCTTGAACCCGATCAATATGTCGCCGGAATCGGAGATCCTCACGAAGCTGTACGGCGAAATCAAACTCTCGCTGACGGCGAGGACCGATTTGAGCATTCCAGAACAACGAGCCATTTTGGAACGTTTACATGAAGCTGCTTCGGAGCCTATCGATGTTATATACGAGAATTGCACTTGCCCAGGAACAACGAGGCCAGCGATCTGGTGCAAACCACTGTCGGCGGAGCCCTCGACGGTAATACTGTATCTTCACGGAGGTGCTGGCTATGCTGGCTCACCTTCGAGCCACAGAAAACTCGCGGGCCATTTGGCTAAAGCAGCTCGAGCGCATGCATTGGTTTTGGATTATCGCCTCGTGCCGGAGCATCCTTTCCCAGCCGCCCTGGATGATATTTCCCTTGCTTATCAGTGGCTCTTGGACACAAAATATAAACCGAGTCAGATCGTGTTTGCTGGCGATTCGGCGGGTGGAAACTTCGCCATATCATCTGTCTTGAAAGCCAAACAAGATGGCAAGCCTCTCCCTGCTGCTGTGGTTACATTTTCCCCCTGGGTCGATATGGAAGTGACGGGGCAATCACAACACTTCAATGCCGACAAGGACGTACTTACACCGCCTGGCGTCGGCCCGCTCATATGTCAAATGTATCTCGCCGGTGAATCGCCCAAGAATCCTCTCGCAAACGCTCTCTATGCCGACTTTGAAGCAATGCCCCCTATGCATATCTCAGTCGGAGAGTGGGAACTTCTCCTCAGCGACGCGACCCGGCTCGCTGACAGAGCAAAGGCTGCTGGTGTAGACGTCGTTTTAGAGATAGCTTCAGAGATGCAGCACGTCTATCATTTCATGGCTGGAAGCTCTCCTGATGCAGATGGGACTATCTTGAGAGTTGGGAAGTGGCTCCAAGACAAATTTGACCATTGACAAGTCAAGCACACAGCTTGCAGACTAGAGACCGAGTTGTCGGTTGGGATCTTGTTAGTCATTTGGAGATAGACCTGCCGTGACGTAGGGAGTGTAGATAACAGCTGCAAGCCTCTTCCCTGCTGTGCATTGGGGAGCAGTTTCTCAGGAACTGTATATCCCTGACTGACCATTCCGATGTAAAAGCTTGTGGTCGGTCTTTTAACCTGGTTTTCTGCGGCCAATAACTACCACTGTTGTAGATTGGGCTGGACATAGAGCACGGCACTTGAGCGCTTAGAAAAGGACCATTTCCTTCCAACAGTATAACCTGTCTTACGGTTGATGTATCAGGACCTGGGCCCGGTAAGTTGCTTTCGGAAAAGTAACAAGGCTGTCATTCGAATGCTTAGACAGTCCGGAGCTTTCATCGCTCCGGCCCAAGGATCTCCCCGCCAACATCGGCAATGGATTTCCCGAGGTCACGTGGGAACATGACCTGTGACCGGAGCGATTGTCGATGTCAGGCTCACAGGGTCTAACGCGTATTTAATAACCCCAGAATGCGATGTCGCTACACCTGTGATGAGGAAGCATTTCCACACTGCAAGCTGCCACAATGATTGAAGTCGGGGTCGTAAACAACGAAACACTGGCCGTTCCCACGGGGGAGATCAAAAAGCAAGCAAGAGAAAACCATGTTGCCCTTGAGTTTGATCCTGATTTCCTCAAAGCGAAGTATATTGCCGAGAAGGATAAAAGAATCAAGAATGGCGGCCTGGAGCAGTTCAAGCTGGTCCGAGACCATAAGAGCTTGCTCAAATTTGTCGACGACCCTTACGTGAAGCCAGGATTGACGCGCGAGCCTATTAAGCACCTTTACGACTTCGTAGTCATTGGTGGTGGATTTACCGGCGTCCAAGTCGGAGCATGTCTCGTGCAGCAGGGCGTGACGGATTTCTGCATCATCGAAAAGGGCGGGGATTATGGTGGAACATGGTGAGTTGATATCAATCTTGGCTTCTTGGTGGTACTGGACTGACCCTTTGTGATCTAGGTACTGGAACAGATACCCCGGAGCACAATGCGACATAGAGTCATATATCTACATGCCATTGTGCGAGGAGTTGAAGGTTATGCCCACGGAAAAGTATGCCCGCGGTCCAGAGCTTCAAAAACATGCCAGGACCATCGCGGACCATTTCGGGCTTCAGGAACACACGCTGTTCCAAACTATTGTTAAACGACTCGCCTGGGATGATGACGCTGCTGTGTGGATCGTCGAAACCAATAGAGGAGACCAGATTCAAGCGAAGTGGATCGTTCAAGCCCCGGGACCTCTTCACACTCCCAAGTTCCCAGGTGTTCCAGGTATCGAGCTCTTCAGGGGCAAAAGCTTCCACAGTTGCCGCTGGGACTATGAGTACTCCGGCGGCACACCTGAAAACCCAGAGTTGACCAAGCTCAAAGACAAGCGAGTCGGAATCATTGGGACCGGAGCCACAGCCATTCAAATTGTGCCCAACATTGCATCTTGGGTGAAAGAACTCTACGTCTTCCAGAGGACACCTTCCTCAGTAGACGTCCGAGGCAATAGACCAACCGATGCTGAGTGGGCGAAGACTCTCACTAAAGGTTGGCAAAAGTACCGTATGGAAAACTTTGCCACTCTTGTCTCGGGTGGCCATGCTGACGAGGACCTGGTTGCTGATGGCTGGACCGACATCCTTCGGTCACTGGCCGGGTTCTATGGCACCGGCAGCGATGCAGAAGACCCCGCTGCAGTGGCTGCGAAAATGCAGCTGGCTGATTTCAAAAAGATGGAGTCCATCCGTCATCGGGTGGACAGTCTTGTCAAAGACCCCAAAACGGCCGAGGCCCTCAAGCCGTGGTACAATCAGTTCTGCAAACGTCCTTGCTTCCACGATGAATATTTGCAGGCCTTCAACAATCCAAATGTCCACCTAGTGCATACAGATGGCAAAGGCGTTGATCGAATCACAGAAGAGGGCATCGTCGCAAACGGTGAGGAGACGAAACTCGACTGTATCATCTATGCCACGGGATTCGAATTCGCCGGTGACTTTTCCGGTCGCTTCGGCGTTGAGGTTGTGGGAAGAGGAGGTCAAACTTTGTCCCAGAAGTGGAAAGACGGGGCGTCAACCTTCCATGGCTGGTCAACTCACGGCTTCCCCAACATCATGACCCTGACACCGCTTCAATCTGGATCGATTCCGAATTTCACTCACAACGTGGTGTTCATGATGCCTCACCTGGAATATCTAATTCAACAGTGCAAGAAAAAGGGCATCAAGACAATGGAGCCCTCCATCGAAGCTGAAGAGGCGTGGGTCAAAGAGACTGTCGCGCTTGGGTCAGCACGCGGTGACTTCTTGAAAGAGTGCACTCCAGGTTATCTTAACGACGAAGGCGTTGTGAACGAGTCTACGCTTAGAAACCAGCCCTACGGAGGTGGTGCACCAAAATTCAATCAGCTACTCGGTGACTGGAGGAAGGCTGACAAGCTTCAGGGCATGATCATTACCTATGAGGACAAAGTTCGTGATGGATCTGAGCACCGTTGACTTCGGATCCCGAGGGCGATAGTAGCTTGACCTTGAACGATGCTCGTTGAAAGAGACTTTGCTGTCCGTACCTCGTATTCATGACTTTAAGACCCATAAACTTGATGAAACACACCAGGGGAAGCGGAGAGCCGTCCGGGCGGCAATTCGGCCCGTTGATATCAGAATGTAGAGCTGACTTTGTTTTCTTCACTTGCGCAATGTGCATATATCAACACGGTAACCCATCTCGTCAACGGATAAACACCACAACTTCCATGCTACACCAGAGCTACTCTCTACAGGTTTTGCCATCATGAGCAACGCCCAGTCCTCCAAGGCTCTTGCTCCCAGCCTTTTCAAAGGCCGTGTCGCGATTGTTACAGGTGCGGGATCGCCCTATGGCATCGGACGCTCCATCGTGCTGCTACTCGCCCAAGCAGGTGTAGATGTCGTGTATGCAACGGATCTGAACCTGGGAAACATTTCGTCCCTGCAAGAAGCTGTCAAGAAAATCAATCCGGCCTGCGTGGTCGAAGGACGTAAACACGATGTGGCGTCCGAGGAGAATACTCTGCAGATCTTGAAGGAGGTGGTCAAGAAGCATGGCAGGTTGGATTTGTACTTTGCGAATGCAGGCTTCGCAGACGTCCGGTAGGTTGCACGGAGCACAACAAGCTGTGGCCAGAACTTGTCACTGATGCAATACAGAAACATTAACGATTTGACAACAACCCAATACGAACGTGCAATGGGCGTGATGGCGACGTCCGTCTACTACGCCATCAAGTACGGTAGTCAAGCACTAGCTGTTACTTCGCCTTCCAAGCCAGTTTCAGGAGGCAGTATTGTGGTCACAGCGTCCGTAGCCGGCATCATGGGTCTATTCTCGGACGTTGCCTACTGTAAGTTGAAGAGAAACTCCCGGTAACGGGGATCTGTTATGACTAACAACTATACGTCTCTCAGCCACAGCAAAAGCCGCTGCTATAGGGCTAGTAACCCAGGGTGCGGTCCAACTTTCGGCGAGTAATATCCGGGTCAACGGTGTCGCACCTGGTGCAGTGCAGACCAGTCTCATCGTCAACGCGCCTCATGCTCAGGAGAAGACAGAATTCAATCTGGTCATGAGCGAAACGGAAGCGAAGCAGGAGTTTCAAAAGTACATCGACGTTTTGGGCGTGGAAGCCCAACAGCAATATTCCTACAATCGAGTGGCACAGCCAGATGAGATTGCTCACATAGCAGTCTTCTTGGCTTCCGACTTGTCTTTAGCTGTCAACGGTCACATCGTCGTGGCAGACAGTGGCAAGACGAAGGCCGCACTTGGAGAGTCTTATATCGGGCCGGTTCCTCCGGTGAAGCCGCTTGAGTTATCATGAATGGCATAATGGGCAAAAAGCAACATTAGTGCTACATCTGAAGACCTCCCGTCAGTCGCGATGGACACGTCAAATAAAATAGATGAAAAGAGTGGGCAGTGCCCACTTTATTTCATAGGGATTCAAAGCCTCTTTGCGTACATACGAAGCAAGAATACCACATCTATTCTCAAGCTTGCAGTAGCACTACTTCGCCCTCATTAACTGCCAACATGTTTCTACAAGCTCTGAGCTTCCCGGCACTGGAATACCCACTCTAGACGAAGATGTCAGATAACCGTGAATTCAGGTTGACCGAAATACTGGCTAACACATAAGCGAATCCGATGATGCCGATCAATTCGCTGACGGCACCACTAAACCGGCCTCATATTCCCGGTGCAAATTAGTCTAGGCGGCTTTTCTGGCTTCCCCTCGGGTATTTATTCAACCCGGTCTGACTAGATGAGGCCGGACGCGAAGAGAAACCACAACCGGTCGCCGAAAATTCCCAACATCAAAGGATCAGAGGGAACTCAGCTGCCTACTCCAACCTCAGATTCACTCGTTTATCGCGTTAAGAGCGGCCAATACCCGAAATAGATTGGAGTGGGACCATGCTGGAGTCCCCAGATTTGCCTACATGGTACCCGCACTGGAAAGGAAACCATGGCTGTGTATACCCTCAGTATATCTTTTTGTGCTGTTATTGGCCCCGACTACTCATCAAGCGTGGCCAGAATATCCCAGGTCTCGTTCCCGGGACGGCATGTGCACGGCTTCTATTGTACGGCCTCTGTATCGGAGAGATGATAAATTAGGTTGCAGATAGCCATCTACTGGGAGCTGGCACGTATAAGTCCACATCTTGTCTCTGCTCCGTTACCCCACAATCCTCCACTGCTGAACTTTGAGTGCGGAGGAGAATCATCTGCATCGCATTCAGACCGTTTCGCGCCCCTCCTTCGGAGTTCATTATCAGGATCAATCCGAACAACCAACTTCAATTCGCCGGAATGGATACTCCTTCAAAAGAAGCTGCAGCTGTTGAGCAGTCTTCCATCGTCCAGATCGAGGACGCAAAGGGCGACGGACGATCAAATGAGGAGGATATTTTGATCGTGACCACTGAAAACCCCTACGGTGAAATCAACTTTATTGGGACTTTCATCGCCATCGCGCTCTCTATCATCGGCGCATATGGTGGTTGGGTCATGCCTGCAACCTCTCTGTCAAACATCAACGCGGATATCGGTGCGTCGCTCGCTCGTGCTTCTGTGGTCTCCATCTTTGCAACTGCTCGTGAAGAGGTCGCTGACAAACCCATACCTGTAGGTCCGTCTGCCGATATCAACTGGGTGGCGCTCGTGTGGACGCTCTGTACTGGTATAGGCTTCACCCTTGTGGGCAGGCTTTCCGACATCTTTGGTCGACGGTACTTTTTCATCGCTTCCGCCGTTCTTGCAACCATCGGGTGCATCGTCGCCTCTCGGGCTCAGACAGTCAAACAGCTGATTGGAGCCAATGTTCTAATCGGCCTGGCAGCCGCTGCCCAGTCGTCTTTCAACTATGTGGTATCGGAGCTTGTTCCTGTAAAGCATCGGTTCTATGCCCTTTTCTTGATCTACTTCGCTGGTATCCCGATTATGGCATTTGGTCCGATTTGGGCACGGCTCTTTATCACACAGACTGGACAAAGCTGGAGATGGATTTACTATATGATGATTATTCTCAGTGGGTCTTCTCCTCCAACCGGTCATGATATCCACTGACGCACTAGACTTTGTCAATGTCGTGTTGTGGACGACGTTTTACCATCCACCAGACTTTGCCCATCTGCACCGAAACAAATCAAAGTTAGAAGAACTCAAAGAGATTGACATTGGCGGCATCTTCCTCTTCACTGTCGGCTTGCTTCTTTTTATCATGGGCTTGTCCTGGGGGGGTGTTCAATATGCTTGGACGTCGGCTCATGTTCTCTGCACAATTATCATCGGCGGTGTACTGGTGATCGCGTTTGTGTTCTACGGTACGTACCCTTCGAAAAACTGAAGACCAACTCTGACCATCGTCAATAGAACTCTACATGCCACTCAAACGTCCAATTGTACCAATGCACCTTTTCAAGAATCGAGATTACTCAGCGCTGATCGTTGTGACGACGGTGGGTGGCATGATGTATTTTTCCATCAGTGGTAAGGACTAGCTTCTATGATCCAAAGTCACCATGATGTCGACCTGACCAAGGTTCAGCTATCTATCCAGCGATGGTTTCCACCATTTTCACGTCGAACATCGTATATGGCGGTGTCCTCTCCACCAGTGTCACGGCCGGTACAATCCTCGGCCAACTGATCGGCACCGCAACAGCGGTTGTTGGCGGCCATATGAAGCTGAAACTAGTGGTGGCCTGTGTCCTTATGACGGCCTTCAACGGCGGTGTTGGAGGCGCAGAACAGAGTAAGGCTATTGCTACTACCTTGAGCTGTCTAGGTGCTATCATGGTTGGGATTCTCGAGGGTTATGCCTGTGGGCTCGTCACCATCGTTATCGACGACCAGAAGGAGCTCGGTGCCGCTGGGGGTATATTCGGCAGCGTACGAACCCTTGGATCAGTGGTGTCAAGTAAGCTCCCCTGTCATCTGTCTTCTGGTCACTTGCAGTTTCTGTGCTCCTTTCGGCCTCCGAAACTTGGAATTGCTCTAACTTTTCGTACAGCGGCTATATTCACTTCGATCGAGAACAATAAAGTCTCCCAGCATTTTGCCAACGATGTCGTCCCTGCTCTTATTCGAGCCGGGCTAACAGCCTCCTCGGCCGAGTCATTCGTCGGAGCATACACGGCTGGTGACGTCGCCGCACTTCAGAAAATCCCCGGCATCACAGACGCCATCATTGCTACCGGAACTGCAGCAATTAAGCAGGCTTATTCAAAGGCCTTTTCGATGGTCTTTCTAGCCAGTATTGCTTTCGGCGGATGTGCCATCATTGCAGCCTTGTTTGTGCCCAATGTGGACGACAGGATGACGCATGATGTGGTTCGCCGACTGGAAGCGAGTGGATTGGGAAGATTAGGAGGCAAGAAAAGCAGTAATGCTGCCGCAAACGATGCTGGGAGCAAGGCTTGATGTGTCTGAATTGGTAACAGAATGACCCAGCTTCGTACTTGCGCAACGTGCCGATGAAGAGTGAGCCAGTATAACATCTTGACTCTCGACACCACTACTATTTACAATTACAACAAGGGGACATTGACAATGATTTTGAGTTTTACTTTGCGATAGGATCGTATCTCTTCGTGCTGAACGCTTGGCACATAGACGACCTTGGGAATCACTACTAGAAAAACCCTTCCGTCCAACTATTTGCTCCACCCCTGTGATACACGATAAATCTCAACTCGAGAGCTTTGCTGCTTGTATCTCTATAACGGGCTGAATGGCTGAACGAAATGCCAATGGGACACGGCCGGCGTAATTTCACGCTACTCATCGTCCTGCCGGTACCGTATCGTTTGCTGGACATTTCATACAATCAAGCCTGATTCGATCTTGTTCAGTCTGATGTTCAGTTATCTCCGCTCCTTTGTCCACACAGTCTTCTGTCAAAGTTCTGGGATAGCTACGTTAGGCCGTTGTCTTGTGAAAAAGAACGGCCCCGAGCCTGCAGCCAAGTTTGGGGGCCTCTCTCTAGATGCATGACTGCCGCTCGGAAGTGAGATATCCGCAGGACTTAGGACCGGCTATCCGTCTATGCCGAGCCTTTTGATATCAATCTGGTGTCAGTCCAAGAAGGAACAACAGGATCCTGCGTTGCTGAGCTCTACAAAAAAGACTGTCCACATGTCCAAACAGCAAGATGGCCGAGAAGCAAGCAGTAGGCTCCATAAACTCGAGAGAGGGAGAAACACTCAAGTACACATACCCTCCAGAAACCAAGGCGGACCGTGAGTACCATGTGATCCAGATGTTAATATCCCACGGCTCACCTGGCTGCAGTGGACTATGCAGACCTCGTGGCATTGGACCTTTCTTTGTTTGACTCCCCTAGGGGGGTTGAACGGCTGGCCGATCAACTGAAGAACGCCGTCGAGAACACCGGTACGTAGAGTCTTGGCTGGCAGTACTACAGTAAGCCTGGACTGACTGGCTTTGCCTAGGGTTCTTTTATATCACCAACTTTGGACTCTCCCAGGCAGAGATCGACCACCAGTTTGCGATTGCCAAGGAGGTCTTTGATCTACCTCTGTCAGAAAAGCTCAAGTACGAAGCCAATCTGGAAATGGATGGCTACGTTGGCTATAGGCCTTCGGGAAATCGTGAACTTGTACCGGGAGTTTTTGACAACATTGAGGTATATGGCTTTGACCAGTTCAATTCCTATCGGAGGCGTCGAGAGCTACCTCCTGTCGTCGAACAGAACCTTTCCAGTATAGAAAAAGTATCGCGACATCTTCACATCGAAGTCGGGGGCAAGTTGCTGCGCTTGATCTCGATCGTGCTCGGGCTCCCGGAGGACTACTTTCTTTCGAGACATCGCTACGACCACAAAGGGGGTTGCAATTTGAGATACCTCAAGTATGGGGCGAGATCGGCCGAGGAAGTGGAGAAGCTTGGTGAGACGCCCTCCGTTCGTGGCCACACTGACTTCGGCACGTTGACGTTCCTTCTCCGGCAACCGGTGGCGGGGCTCCAGGTCAACACACCAGACGGGCAATGGAAGTATGTCAAAGCTCACCCGGCAAGTATTACCGTCAATGTTGCGGACATGATGGATTTTGTCACTGGGGGCTACCTCAGGAGCAGCGTCCACAGGGTGCTGTCACCGCCCGCGGATCAGGCACGCCTGGACAGAATAGGGGTGGTGTACTTCTTGCGATACGAAGACGACGTGGCGTTACGCCGAGTCGATAGTCCCATCCTGAAGGACTGGGGCTCCAGGTCTCGGCTGGGCGAGGCGAGTGGAATCACAGCCGGAGAATGGGTCAAGGCACGAACAAGTGACAACGCCAAAATGACGGCCATCTACCTCAATCACGAGCCCCAGGTCGCGGGTGGTATCAAGGTCAAGAACTACGCGTGAGTCAGTGTGGATGAAGTTTTTCTGTTAGCAGTTTATGTAGCACAGGACGATGAAAAGCCGGTCCGGGGGAAGAAGGAGTACCTATACCTCGAAAGATTGGATCCCTGTCTGATATGAGACGCCTCTGTGGGCCCCTTGTCATGTTTTTGGACTGCAGCTCTTCCTTGGACACCCTCGGCCACAGCTAGTCTATTCTTCAGTGAGCTGGCCCTCGGATGACCAGCTATGCCTTTTTGACCTGAGGAATGACTGGGTACTTTGATTTGCAGCTGTAGCATTACAATACCGAAAGCGGATTTTGGAGCCTGGAAGGATGATACATCACCGGCATAAGGGACATCCTCTCATACCACCGAGATTGTACCCAAGTAGCCTGTTCAATTCTCCCCAGGGGGCTGCTCGGAGAGCAACCGGTCCATTTTGGGAACATACCTGCATCACTGTTATCCTTCGCCTTTGCTTTGCCGTCGCACCTCATCCTCTCGCCTTATCTACTATTGGTCACACGAGAATCTTCAAGACCCGGCGCCCCAGTCTTCTACGGAGGCAGGAAGCTCATTCGAGTGGAAAATACGCCGATCACGGTGCACTATTCGGCTACTGGCAACCGAATGTTCGTCGCACGGGCTTTAGCATGAGCACGCCGATGATATGGCCAGGACCGTCGGCTTGACTGCTGCGTGCTTGAAATACACTACATACGGCTTCGGAGCAGCCTACTATTCGCGGCCACTGCGTCGCTGCATTCGAGACTCGCAAATACCCGCTCACTCATGCCGGCTCTCCAAACCTAGGGGTGGTATACAGCATGTACCTGTTGTCCTGTACCAACGATTGGCATATTCGCAGGTTGGTGTGACGGCCTTATCCGCCAAGAGATCTAATGATTCCCTGGTAATCGCTGACCATAGGTTTCCATCGGAAGATTGAAGGAAATCCGAACAAACTGTTATTCGTATTCTCCCCTTCGTTGTCTGATTTAATCTCTGTCACGTGAAGCATTTGCTACAGCCTACCACTAGAACATGTTGCTTTCTGCCTCAGGGCCTGTCGTCAACATGGTCCTATATACCACGGCGGCCAACAGCCCCCACAGCGTCCAAGATTACACTACCTCCGCATCATCCCATGGATTTTGGAAGTGTCAAAACATTGCTACTGCGGGTGCGAGGCCTAAGAGGTTTTCTCTTCATTGACAATTTCCTTGCGATGATAGACTCTTCGGGGAACATACCCCGTCAGGTACTTGTCGACATCAGTCAAACATACGGCTGCAATAACAGCGACAAGGCCAACCGCCAAGGCAGCATAGTAGACGTAGGCGTAGGCTGCAGCTTGGGCGTACGCCGAAGCAGACGTGACCGCCACGATGATGGCGAAGTTGATACCTTCGACGCTCTGGAAGGCCGATGCCGTCCCAGCGGCTATCGCGGCGTATAAATCGGGGAGTGAAGATTGAGGGAGACCAGCCTCTATCGCCGCTGGTGTGACGTATTCCGGAAGCATCTGGGACACTTTGCTGCTCAGGATCGCGATGTAAATGGCGGTGAAGATGGATCCAGCAATGTTCCGATTCGCACAGCAGACGGCTAAAACCAAGTCAGTAGGTGCTGTCGTATGAGCTCAAAGGAAGCTCACCAAAACCAACCCCCAGATCTTCGTCCGGCAGGATATACTGCACCATCAGGGTTGAGGCGATTTCCAACCATCCTGTGGTTAACGACGTGAAACACATCAGGGCGATTGCAGTAGTCAGGTTGTCAGGATTGCAGACTGAGACTGCTCCACTGAAAGCCGCCATCCAGCAAGCGCCAAAAATGACCTTCCACTTGACCTTCCTGTGCCAGGTGGTCAATGGAGACAGGATCAGAATGCCAACGAGATTGCTGAGACTGATGATGTTGGCAAGCCAGCCCGACTGCTGCCAGGTCAGGTTTGCCCCGTAGATATTACTGACTTCTGTGGGCCAGACGATGTTAAGCGCCGTATACGAGGTGCCAGAAGTAGCCGAGAGAATGGCGCAGCAGGTGAATCCCCGGAGATCCTTGTAGAGACGTAAGGGTATGATTGGATATTGCACGCCCGAATATGCTTCCCATAAGCAAAAGGCGACCATGGTGACGAAACCAGAGATTAGGAGGCCTAGGATCGTGGCAGATTGCCACGGGAGAGGTTGGCCTCCCCAGGCGACTCCAAGGAGGAACAGGCAAAGACCCGCAACAAGGAGGAAGAGCCCCACGAAATCGATGTTTTTGATCTCGTCCAATCGCCTGCGCTCCGAACTGTGAAGCATCTTGAACGTTGGAGGATGATAGAACAAGCCGAAACAGCAGAGGGACAGAGCTGTTTGCAAGGTCAGCACTGTCATTCACATGAGAAAGATGCGGTCATCTACCGTTCAGGATGATTCCGATGTAGTATATCCATCGCCAGGTAGAGACGTGCACAAGGCGGACGGAGAGGTACGCTGAAAAGTTCAGCGGAAGGATGCAGGCATTCATGATCATTGTGACCCAGAACTTGTACTTATTTGGGACAATTTCACCGAGGAGCAGGGGATACGATGCGGCGATGCCTGAGCCCAGTCCGAGGAGAACATTGGCGCCGATCAACTGGTTCATATTGTGTGCGGTCGCTGCGACAATGCCGCCAATCAAGCTGATCAAGTTTGCTCCGACTGCAAAATAACGTCGACCAAAGCGATCCGAGAGTCGCCCAAAGACGAGCAGACTGATAGGTTGGCAGAGACTCCAGACAATGGAGAACAGGCTGGAGTTGCCAGTGTTTTTCATGTCGGCACTAATGGTGGTCAAGACAGCTGCTGGGCCGATGAACATCCAGTAACTTCCGCAGACAAAACACGCGACGGAGAAGACAGTCCCAACAATGGGAGGGCTCCAAAAGTAGCGACTTGGGAGATCTGCCATGTCTGACGAGAGTGCGACCGAGCGTTCATGGTCGATGGCCTTCTGCTCCTCTACGGTGAGATGGCGTCCGCCGGCGCGTTGGTATTCAGCCTCTACATCCCCGGTCTTGGTCTCCTCCACGACATTTTCCTGTGCTTGACTGGGTTGCGCCATGGATTTCTGCTTGGGGCGTCCTGTTCCTGAGCAGTCACGGTTTGTAGATTGAACTGGTGACTTGCAACTCAGAAAGCAAAGAGGTTTTGACCCCGATAGTGTGAGCTTTCCAGGGACGCAGAAGTCAACGAAAGGGTAAGCCGAAGTCCTCCAAAAAAGGTTATCAGCAATTAGCAGATTGCCTCGCCGATTATCTCCCCGTGCGGTGAAGGATAATGGGCCCGATGACTGAGCTTCCGATCGAGGACGACCAAAGCTAGCGCGAACTTGCATTCTGGAGACGGGAATGTGTCCGGTGAGAAACTAGCAAATCACGGTAACCACTACCCGAGCGGGATTCGGAGGATATTTATGCTATCGAGCCAAGGAAGCCAGGGACCTCATCCAACAATCTTGACAAGTAGCAGATACGAACCAAGTCAGCAACAATGACTGAAAGCGAGGAACATATCTCAGACCATCTCACTGGGGACCGGGGAAATGTCGACGGGAATCTATATGCCTCGATGAATGGAGTACACGCTTCAGCCATCGAGAAAGCTCACCATAGCGTTGATCGAGGGCATAAGAAAGTCGTTGTTGTGGGGGCTGGGGTGGCCGGCATAACTCAAGCCGCCACCCTCCTCAAAAACGGCGCCGTCACACTCCCAGACCTACTCATTTTCGACGTGTTGGGCGGATTCGGCGGAGTTTGGGAGAAGAATAGGTACCCTGGGTGCGCATGTGATGTGCCAGCTTTGATGTATTCAAGCCGGATGATGATCAACACTGGTAAGGAGGTCGTGTATAACCCTCGCTATCCCTACTGATACGTGTGACAGAGTACACCCATACTTACGCGACACGGGACCAGATTCAGATGTTCTATGACCGCATGGCCCGTTCGTACAGCCTCGAAAAGTGTACTCAATTCAGGACCTTTGTTAAATCGTGCAGGTGGGACGACGACAAATTCATCTGGCATGTCGAGACCGAGAACCAAGGCACCAGAAATCTGGAACACTGGACGGCCGATGTTGTCGTCCATGCTATCGGAAACCTGGATCGGCCCAAGTTTGGAGGCATTCCTGGACTGGAGGACTTCGACGGTCCCTATTGGCACACGTCCGCTTGGAGAGACGATGTTGATCTAACGGGGAAAAAGGTGGCCGTGGTTGGGTGTGGTCCCAGCGCCGCTCAAATCATTCCAGAGATTGTGGACAAGGTGGAGCATTTGACAGTCTACATGCGGACGCCGCCAATGGTTTTGCCGAGAGAAGACTATCGACATTCTGAGTGCGTTTCCCCGACACCTTTGGTCACCCAAGCATGATGCGACTACTAACTTGCCGTAGTGCCTTTATGTGGTGCATGAGACACTTGCCCTTGTTCGCCATCGGCGTGCGCTTTTTGGAGATCTTGAAAGGGTACATCTTCGGACAACTTCTCGTGACCGAAGGCAGTTGGCTGAACGAGTCCTTCACCAACAAGGGCCTTGCCTTTCTCGAGCAACAAGTCCAAGATCGGAATCTGCGAGAGCTCCTGCGGCCGGACTTCAAATGTAAGACCCCTGCTGTGTCTCCGATGCTGATCGGGAGCTGACGTGGGCCATGGCGACAGTTCTCTGCAAGCGACCGCTTTTTTTAAACAGCTTTTATCCGTCCTTGATGAAACCAAACTGCACACTGGCGAGAGAAACGCTCGTTCGTTATATAAAGACCGGCGTCATATCCCGGGATCGAACGACAAATGAGGAACGCCGGCGGGACTTTGATGTTATTATCGTCGGCACAGGCTTCAACGTGTCGCAATTCCTCGACCACGAAGAAGTCACCGGTCGCCAGGGAATAGATCTTCAGGAACAATGGAAGGCCTTTCCCTCCAGTATTTACGGCGTCGCAACCTCAAATTTCCCAAACTTCTTCTACTGCAATGGACCAAATGCCAACACCTTCTCATCCAACATTCACGACATCAATGAACTGGCGTCCAAGTTTGTCTCCATGTGCGTCAAGGAGATATTCAGACGTGGAAAGGACGGTAGGAAATTTGCCATGATGCCAGAGTCCACATTCGAACGTGAATACAACGAGGAAATCCAACGTAAACTCAGCAACATTGTCATGCAGAATCCCAATTGTGGAAATTCTACCGTCAAGGACAAGAACAACCACAACACAGTTCTACATCATCGACATATATTGGTCATGAAATGGAGACTCCGCCACATCAACTGGAAAGAATGGGTCACTCTGGAAGCAACCACATCATGAGAGTACAAAACCACCCGGAGAACCATAAAAGCAAAATCTGTGACACATGCTCATCAGACGCACATGGTGTTTGTGTTTGGATTGGTCCCCATCTTCAATAGACATGCGTAGAATTACAGACACTTGAAAATAGCCCCAATGCTCACTTTGGCGAAAATAGAGCTCAAATAATTCATGCTATCATTTACCTCTCGATTTTTCTTAGGAGTAAGATTTTGGGCGCCTAGACGGGCCTATAAAAGGAGTGGCTGAGGCTAGTACAAGGTCTCGACTTGTAAAGACTGTCCGGCGGAGAACGCCGCCTAGGTGGCCTCTAGACCGTCTAACACTTCATCAATCCTTCGTGGTCAGACTGGCCACATTTCTCAATGCTTGATCAGCAATTAAATGTTTCTGCCTGAGTCCAGGATGACGCTTAAATCTCAACAGCCTCCCACCTCCTCTTCCCTCCATCCCTTGTGGAGGGGCCAGAAGTTATCATGCATGATATGGAGTTTTGATCAGATATAGCCGCTGTCCTCGCCGTTCGACTGTTTTACCGACGTATTGTTTATGATCGTGGTCCTAGCCATTCATTAATGTATTGTTCACATGCACTCAGTCAGCAGCTTGGTCGGCTTAGTGACAGTGACACAAATAAATTCAAAAAATGTTTCGAATCAAGGAGGCCATTTCCGGCCTGACTGTTAATCACAACAACAGCCATCCACCTGAGCCTGAATTCGATGAAGATATATCAGATGAATTGGCGGATCAAGTTACACCTCTGGCCAGCACCGCTGTAGCTACCGTACAAGATGCCATGCTTCTCCCGTCTGCGGCGTCTTGGTTACGAGACGAGGAAGGTGTTGGCTCAACAAGGCACAGCCGCGCTTCTTCAATTGTTTCGACACGGACAAAGTACTCTACCAATTCAATGCAGGAGGATGCGCGGAGTATCAATATCGATGTCGGTGGACAACGTTTCAGAATTAGCCGGGATGGCTCGACCATTACCAACGATGACCCTCCACCGTACGCACCGCCGGCCGAAATGATCCGCTTCTTCAACGCCGAAGACATGGCGGAAGGAGACATTGTACGACACCCTCAAAACATTGATGATTTTGATCCAGGTGCTAGAAGCGTCACCCCGCGGTCCAGTGTCGCCGCCCTCAACCTCGAACCTGGTATGAGGGCCAATATACTAGACCCTTTAGAATTTGACATGCTGTCTCCTCCGGTGGTCAGTGGCCAGCGTGGCCAGCGCTCATTGTCTGTAAGCCTGGTCGAGAACTCGGAGCAAGACGGAACCCCTCGTGCTCGCAGGCCATCTTACGACGACACGTCAGATACTCCCAGAAATAGGACAACATCTCGCCAGGCGGACCTGCCTCCTACAGGTAGTTCTATCATGCCTTCACGGAACCGTCGAAGAGGGCTCTTTAGCCGCCTGCCGCCTCTGGATACCTCCGGGAGCAATGGAGGTACAACAACCACAGCTGGGATCCAACGACAAGGACGGTCCCTGACCAGATCATCAGATGGTCTTGCTCAGGTCCGATCAGCGGGCGCTATACTATCGACTGGACCGGAGCTCCGCGCGCGGCCGCGATCACCAGACTATATCGGGAGGGGTGCCAATGCAAGGTTTCCCCTCCCACCTGGGACACAAACAATGCAAAGTTCGGGTCACATGCATGAGGATCATGATCCCGCTCCTCCTCCTCCTCCTCCGTCGCAGCAACTGTCAGTGATGGGGATCGGGGATAATGACGATCTCAGAGGCGGCAATGCCACACCAAGTCACACGCCCTTACCCATGGACACTGAGAATGACATCAGTCTTCACTATGCGAAGATGATGAGAAAACTCGACTACACGCATCGCAAAGTCTTGCACACCAAGGACAAGGAAATGGCCGAACTACGCGAGAGGCTGCACGAGAAGGATACCGTTCTGCGGCAACAACTGCGGGCCAAGGACTTTTTGATCGAAGATCTGCGGAAGAGACTGTCCAACCTGGAGGAGAACGTCGAGGGTATGCTCGAGAGAGCGAGAAACGAGGTCGAAGACGTCTGGGAATCGCGCTGGAAGGACCGCGATTTCCACCTCCGGGAGAGGATGCGCCGCATCGAGGAAGATGCCCAGACGACCGTGGAACGAGCTCGAGCCGATCATGCGTCGTCGTCTGGCGATGGCAACAGCGATAGTTCCCTCACGCCTAGTTGACCGAGTACCTCTCTCTGTGAAACTCATCGCTGGGCATACTGTGTGGAGCAATCCCTGCCCGGCCAGAGAGGAGGAGAAAGAACGAGTGGAACATGCCAAACAGAATCGAGACATCTACTGGCATGTCCTGTACAAAGCGAGCATTACCCGATCATGCGCGATTGCTCTTCCAATAACCATACCTTTCGAGAGGTCACCTAATCGGCGGAGCCCTACCCAGGTCCAATTGCACCGGCCCAAATAACGATCCACGGGCCGATGAAACCATGGAAACTGAAGTCATGAGGAATGAATTGACCCCATCCACCTCCTCCAACCGTATATTGGATCTGTCCGTGCTGCCAGAGGTATCAGAAAGTGTCCAGACACCTCAAAGATTCGAGGAACCATATGTCGCGGATGAATGGAAAGCGACACCAGTGACAAAACAAGAGCACGCCCACTTGAGGAGTGCAAGGGACGCGAGAGACAACCTCGGCGTGATCCGAGAGATGCTTGTTAGAGGGAGTTGTGTCAATCTGTCATGCAGTCTCTGGCTGCAGACTGAAATCGCGTCCCAAACTCACATCATCAGGGAGAACGGCCTGTTGACCGACAGATCCCACATGGCACCACGCTGATGACAGCACACCAGTACCTGCATACTTGAGAGTACAACATCCAGGAATTAGTCTCAAACTCTCCTTGGCATGGTTTGTGAGCTTTAATTCCTCACGACGCCGGATACGATGACCACATTGCGGGAAGGACGGGGGGGTTGACGATCGACCTGACCCCTGGTATCGAGGAAGCGGCATCCTGTACCGTTTACTCTCGAGTCGACAACAGTTGAGATTGCGATTCTGATCATCTTCCCATCTCCACCGTTATTGCTTAAGACTGGCACCTGGCTACCACGGATGAGAAGTGCATGTGCACCAAAACCGGTTTGCCAACACTTCGACAGGTCACTGTGGAACATCTCGCTACAGAGCCCAGGGCCACGGAACTCAAGGATCGACATGATATTGATGAATACATCGAAACGATCATTGACGCTCTTCGTAATGCCGTCGATGCCTCAACGCCATGGTCCGATTCATCACCGCACTAAGTGCCAGGCACTCAGCCATAGTGCTAAGACATTTCTGCCACGAAGTCCAGCGATTACGTCGTAGATGGCAACAGACGACACCCGAAGACCACTACGAAACCTGCCGGGAGGCGCGCAGCAGAAAAAAGAGACGACACATCCAGAAGATCTCATGGGATGAGGTGGCAGTTGTTGAGAACCCTCAAGTTCTCACACTGGACTACTTTGGTTGTTGCAATTTCGAGGAGCAAAAGAGATTGACGAATCTTTGCAAGGGGAAAATTGATAATAAGTACAGATCGTACACTACCCTGCTTTAGATCTCTTAGGAACTTTGGATGAGAATGGAGTCCTGAGTTAGGTACCTACCTACCTACCTAAGGTAGGTGACAGTACGCAGGAGATGCCCAGGCTTCAACGACAACATAACGTTGGTGTGTTTGGTGGGCTATTTAGAGCTTAGGGAGACGCCCAAAAACAGTTCAAACGACCCCTCCGGGGGGCCATGTTGTTAGATTGTTTCACCAACAGCAAGGTCGTACCTAGAACCAACACCCGTTCTTCCCAACATGATCACTCCGATGAATTCCCTTTCAAAGGAACTCTGCAAAGTGATTCGAATTCACGCGTTGAGATTGATTGTTATGAAGGACAATGCCAAAACTATTGGCCTAATTGTCCCTTGTCCGGAATTGCAAGCTAATTGGAAGGTATACCTCTCCAGAATTGAACGGGGTTCGATTGTGTCCTCCAGCTACCTGTCTCAACGATCAAGATGAATCGGCCTCCGGCGAGCCCCTTGATACTCTGTACCAAAAGAATGACCAGGTAACCCCGAAACCCCTTTTGCCCGCCCAAAAAAACCAAAGGTCAAGTGAGTCCCTGCGCACAATTACCAAGATTTTTTTGTTTGTTTCGTGTTGCCTTTAACCATACACACACACAGCACACAACACCAAGGCAAAGAACCATTTTTCCCGATTGCTAACTATCCACCCCCGGCAAGACCATAGAACCTGCACGGCAGCCCGCACCGAAGGATCGAGAGGTTGTAGTACCTCTAGTCTGGAGGGGGGTTATCGATTAGCCTCTCACAGGTGGCTTGCCAGGGTCTTGGAAAAAATCATACTTGCACCCAGTGGGCTGAACACCTGCTCTTCTGGGTAGGCCTCACGTCGCGTCTCTTCCTGCTGGAACAGCTCTTTGTCGGCCATGGCTGCCCAGATGGCACGCCAATCGTGCAGCGTGGGTAGATCCTTTCTGTCCACTTGGAGTGGTGTCACACCCTTGAGGTGACACGAAAGGCACACCTTGTACCAGTCGAGGGTCGGGGGCTTTTGGTGGAGGATGATGGGGACGTTGTCGCACCACATGGTGCAAGGTCGCAGGAGGGCCTCTTCACACTTCTCCGGCGTTGACACGTCCGGGACACCATTCGTGTAGGGCGCCTCGTCCTGGTGCCCACACTGATAGTACACCACCACACCAGGTCTCCACCATTGACACATGTTTGGTTGGGTAAGGAGGAGGGAATGAAGTGATGATGACTGAGGGAAGATTGTGAAACTTGGGGGGTTTTCGTTTGGATCTGTCTCGGCTCGTGTTGGAGAGAGATGGAAAGTGTGCAGATTGGGAAATCGGGGCTCGAGGAGTGAGACCAGTTGAGAATGGGCTCCTGCCTCCTCCTTTATGGGCAAAATACTTGCAGCTGAAAAATGCCCGGCCCCCCCGATCATCCCTTGCATGGCACGAGTAGGAGAAGGCTGCACATCTACCAAACTAAATTCCAGGGGCTTAACTTCGGATGCAGAGTCACGGCGCTCCCATTGCATATCAACAACCAATACAGGGCCAGCTGCGCGACCAGGTAGACATATGAAGGGGGCAATGATCCGAGGTTTGGAGGTGTTGGGACGAGATGATGTTCGCGTATCGATCGTTGTCGTCAGACCGGAGCTACTCTGTAAACACCAACATACCCTATGTAGCTAACCAGAGTAGGCAAAGGGTTTGTGGATCTCCCGATTCTTGAGGCTGGCTGGAGTCCACCGTTTTGATGCTTGTTGGGTGGGCTGTCATAAGGAGAGGCCGAGGACGAGAATCACAGTTAGAAACGGGCATTGGGGCTTTGACAGGTACTACTAGTCTGTGTGGACTGGAAGACGGTTTCGGCCACTCCACTCCCCTACATACATTGTTGGGCACATGCTGGCGACTGGTGACTACTGCCAGGCACGCCTGCGTTCCCCCAAATGACTCAAGCAGCCCTTCGCTGTGCCCCGGATCTGTACTTACTAGTTTTATTAGTTCCTTGAGTTCCGGTAGTTATTTCCACCCCACAGAATGAGTCTCTCTCTGTGGCTTAGAATCTTAATACGGAGTACTGGTCGATTCAATGAATTACTGAAACTTTATATTGCCAGCGCTCACTGTTTGGTTTCCTACCACCAGCAGCTTGCTCTTATTACAAGGGCGTATATCTGGAGGGACAATTTTGGCAGACCTTGGGAGGGAGATTGTCCAAGGAGTACCATTGTATGACGAGTAGATGCTATCTATCAGATTCAGACCTCTCGCGGGCATCTTCCTACAAGGGTTTGGCAACATCCTGCTCACGTCTGACCCTTTGCGTAGGTGACATTGGCTCCTCTTTGATCGTCCAGTCAAACACGTTATCACGCCCAAAACCTTCACGTCGAAAGAGGTCATCAAACAAGCTGCGCAGGTATTTTGTAGTCTGGCTTGCGCTTCTCGCCTAGCCCGCGGATATAGGTCAGGTATGTGGCAAATTCCACGGGCAGACCCTCGCACAGGACTGGGCGCCTTTATACCCTGCCAGGGAAGTGACCCTCGTAGAGAGTAAAATGCTATGTACGCCAGCGATTCAAGGTCGTCGCGCGGTGATGAATCTACCCGTCACAGAAGGTTCAAGTTAGCTTAGTCGCGTCGATCACTCTCAAAAAATAGGTACCGTGACGCGACAGAACTTACTTGACGTCCACATGGGCATTGATGCTGGCGTAGCGACAGATGCCGATCAAGCGAAACCGTGGACGTGCCGCTTCCTGAGAACTGGACGCGACCTGGACACCGGCTCTTCCCTCGGGACTCGGGGATTCAGCTTCTGAGTATTCCATCCGGCGGCCGGCGAGTCCGAAGACGATCATGTACACAATGTTGCCCCTCACACCGGTGCCCAAGACGAAGTTTTCTGGCTTGATATCACGATGGATACCTCCCTCCAGATGGAGAGTTTCCACCCGATAGAGAAGTTGACGCATGAGCATCAACGTGGTCTTCAGGGTGAATCTGTTGCCACACAATCGAAAAACATAACAGTTCGAGCACCGCCGCACGGAAATCATCCTTGATACCATAACAGAACACTCGGGGAAACACCGACATAATCTATCATCTCTTCGAAGATCCACTTCTCTTGCTCCAAGAACTTTGCTGCTGTGCGATGCTCGAGTTTGATGGCCACCCCTTCGCCTGTCTCAACATCGCGCCCTACGGGAATCCCCCCTCTATTTTGTTGGGCTGTCCTACTTACCGAGATATACCAGTCCAAACGCCCCCGGAAGATATTCGCTGACAAATTTGGTAGCGCCCACCCAGGCGGATCTCTCGCAGAAAGCGTTGAACAAATGGGTCGTTCGTTGCACGTATCAAGATCGGTTTTTCTGACAGCTGCAAGATCGCTTTGCTCGAATCAACAAACAGTTGGACTCTTCATATCATCTTTTTTATCCCGATCACAGAGTCCGTCCTCCATACTTTCCCCTCCAACTTATCACGGGGCATTGTCCTCAACGAATGTTCCATGTCGTGGAGGGGCTGCTAAAAATGCACTCTGCGACAGGAAGTTTGGTTAGCCAATCATGTTCTCAGCCACTCAACAACATGTATCCGATCAAGTCTGGTTGTCCAGTCATGTTCACTTCAGAGGTGCAGTCTGTGAGATTGTCGTTATCCAACAAAGCTAAGCCTTTTCCGTCTTTAGGAAATAGGTTGGTACAGTACAGAGTTAGCAGGCCGAATTCATCTTCTGCTAGACTTCTTGGAATTGAAAGCGGGCGAAAGAACTCCAAGACTCGAAAACTTTATTGTAAATTGTTATTGTTATTCATTTCGTCTCTCACAGTATCATGCTATCTGATTCCATCGCATCGAATTAGACGGAACAATCACCAAACGTAACGAAAGTGCTATCGTAGTCAGCGGGTGCAAAACATGGCTGAACTGTAACGGACTTGGGGGGACTTATATACTTACCAGGTTCTGCTTGTCCGTCAAGTCCTTGAAATCCGTATCGGCATGTACCCTTTCGCCGGCAGCAGCATCGCGAGCATCACGACGTTTGTTCTCGTAGAAACACGATACCATGTAGAGAGCGATGGTGATAAGAGAAAGGATGTACGAGCCCAGGATGGCACCGAAGCCCAGTGGGTACAAAGGTGCCTGGTTAGGCTTGAAGAATTGAGGGCCGATGATGTTCGAGACCGAGTAGGACACAAACATCATTGCATTCACCACCACCTTCTTGGAATGACCCTGGGAAAGAGATTAGCAAAAACGGTCGAGGGCCAGAGAGTTCCACCAAGATCATCAAGGACTCACAGCAGTGTTTGCTCCGACAAGACTCAGGCCCACGATGTAGGGGCCCAGGTAGAAAAAGGACATGAACAAAGCCGCCAATCTTGAGTGATAGGCCGTCAAGGGGAGTGTGTACAGGAACGTGGCGGAGATCAGGCCGACGATGATGCCGAACATCATGATGACGCCTCGGACATGGTATTTCGGTAGGTACTTGGCGGCAAGGAACACGGCTCCGTTACAAATGTAGCTGGAGGCGGTCTGGACAACGCCATTTGGAATGGTCAGGAGGGCAGAACGCTGTGAGCTGTATCCGAGGCCCTTCACGATTAGAGGTGAAAAATTCGTGAGACCTCCATTCGGAACACTGATCCAGATGTTGAACAAGAACATGAGCCAGACTCGGATGTCGAGGAATGCTTCAAAGAATTGTTCCTTCTTGAATGTTTTGTTCTCAATGCCTGGTCAGACGGTCAATACATCTGTGTATACCTTAGCACTGCATGCAAAATAGCTTACCCGTCTGATTCACTCGAACGCGATCAATGGCAATTGCCTTTTCCCTCTCATTCAAGAACTTTGCCTTGACAGGGTTGTCCGGGAGGAATATACCAACAACAAGGCCGTATGCAAACGTCATGGAACCGCATATCCAGAAGAAACTCTGCCAAATATGGAAATGAGTGGTCTTGATGAAACCGATACTGATGGAAAAAGGATATGGTCAGCACTATCCTGTATTGTCAATGCATGCTCACACAAGACTCACGCATAGCCGATCGGTCCTGTCAAACACGTCGAGAAACCAGTGTACATCAAGCCGTAACGAAGTGCTTGTTCCCTGAATACGGTCAATGTTTATAGCCTTCGCCTACAGGCCTTGAAAGAGATCACTCACGGTCGGGTATACCACATTGAAAGTATCAACATATTCGAAGGGACGATTGGCGCCTCCAGCAAGCCGAGTAGGAAGCGACATGCCATCAACTGGGAGAAACTGTTGACGAAGCCAGACCCTATCAACAGCACCCCCCAGAGCATCATGGCAATAGAAACCGTCTTCGCGATGGGAAGCTTCTGCAGGATGGATGCTGAGGGAAAGCACCAGACAAGATAACCGAACTGAGAAGGGGGCCGTCAGTGGAACCGAAATCGCATCTCAACCTAGGGGATCATGGACAGTGTATGATGAGGCGGTGCTAGCAAAATACACTCGATCTTCATTCGCACTCATCACCCGTGTGTCGTATGCAATCAAGTATGCAGCTCGAACTTACATAAAATATCGAACCGATCCATGAGTATTGATCCCCATGAAGGTCCAAGTCTTTTTGCAGGCCATAAAGCGCAGCTGTACCATGGCTGACTTTGTCCATGGCAGGCAGGACAACGTTGAACCACAATATTGGAATGAGGCGCAAATCGAGCTTCCATCGTAAGCGGCGAGCTTCCCTTTCCGTGTAGCCATCTCCTCCTTGGAAGATGTCGGCAAACTCGGCACCGACGTCTTCTTTGGCCAAATCGTGATGAATGTGTTTGTCTTGGACGTTGTAAACCTCGCCCACCTTGTTGCTATCCACAGTATCGGACGGTTGTATGGTCGACATAGTCGAGTCGATCTTGTCCGTCATGGCTACTGAAATGATACAAGTAGTAGTGTAAATGTACAACTAATCGGCATCTCGCCCGCGCAACATGAATCATGGTGGTCTTATATCAAATACATAATCGTCATGGTGAATGGGATCATGTCGATAGCATATTCAAGCAGGGGAGGTTGGATTTCGTCGTCTCTCGGACTTTCGCAAAATGAGACCCGACAGGCTCGGTAGGCCTGGATGTGCCGGCGCCATTAGTTCAGAGGAGGCTTCTGATCTTCGAAAAGAAATGTGGGGGGTGGCCATCTGCTGATAAGAAGGGGACGGTGGCCCTGAGAGAGGAGATGCCCATGTAGATAGCCACGGTTGAAACGGAACGAAGATAAAGGAAAATCAGAAATGAAAGATAGCTAGGATACTAAGTAGTCGTCGTGAAGTGATTCACATGTGCACACTTTTGTCCTTTGAACGTAGGTAATAGATAGCCTGAGGTTGGGCATACTTCTGAATGATAGAAACACGTACAGCTACTAGGCGCAAACAACCAACCCCAGGTAAAGACTGTGCTTCCAGGCACAGCTAGGCGTAGGCTCTGGAAGTTGCACGCCTGCAGGCTCCGCTGTCAGGGGGGATCCAACGCCTAAGGCTGTGAATCTTAGGCGTCGAAAGTGCCTTTTCCAAGGGCTCCGCGAGGGCTCCGCGAGGGCTCCGCGAAATCGGCCAATGACGCCCAGGTATGTCCACCCCGCCTTTGTCGTTCCCACTAGGGCCTGTCTTCTCCGCGTCATCACCAATGATGGACAATTTCATTATCAAACTAGCTCCACGAGCGCAGCGGGAAGAGAGAACGGCGAGACTCAATATAATGGCAGCATCCATAGCATCGCACTTTTGACTCTCCGACAATCTCGAGCGCTGACTACCACTTCCCCCTATGCCGATCTTGGTCGTGGATCTCTATCAGCGTGATTATGGCCCCTTCGGAATCGTATCTGATCCCAGGAGATCGCGACTATCGCTCCGATGGAACGTCTCTATACCCTGCCAAACGGCAAAGGATCCTGGCTTGCAAGCGTTGCAGGCATCGTAAACAGAGGGTACGTTGTCTCCCGCCATCATGAGACATGTGCTTTAAGCACGAAAGGCGTGAACACGCGAGGTGCCGTCCCACTCGGATAAGACGTGCGAGGTGGTCATTGATCGTTTCCTTGCAGAATCGCACTCGGTGGTGTGCGAGCATTTCCCGTCCCCTGTCCCTAACAATCTTTCGTGATGTTCTTCAGATACTAAGTAATTCTGTCAGTGTGACGGAGACGGAGAGAATCCATGCTCCAACTGCACAAATGCCAACGCCGAATGCTTTCCCACGGAGCCCACGCTCACTCGAGCGCGATACAAAGCCGATTATGTCCAATCTCTAGAGAGACGCCTGGGCCAGCTCGAACGCCTTCTCCCGCATGAAACTCCATCTCAAGAGGACCGGAGCGCAAATGAGATCACCACTGTTCTTCCTCAGGGAGAAGCCTCTCGGCCCGTGGGAAGCAGCAATTCTTCCAACTTAAGGGTAGAGAAGAGTGTATCTCCGACACAAACCCATCAGTCTCACAATACTCACATGTCGACTTCAGGTACTTCGGCATCTCCGTCGACGAATGCCTTCCAATCGCTTACCAGTGTTCCACATCCTCTTCCTCGGCGGGAGAGCAATATCATAGGCCTCGTGGCCAGTCTACCGTCCGCTCATCTTCAACAACAACAACAAGAAGTGTCTTCATCCATCACTCTCGAGCATTACCTGAACCAGTTGGCGGTGTGGCCAGACGGAAGTATCCCTTCAGAAATCGAGGAGCACCTCATCAGCGTGTACTTTGACAAATGTAACCGACGATGGCCGTTTATGGTGTGGACTACTTTCTATTCGTGGCATACTCGCTGGAAGAACAGATCGCGAGAAGGACCGTATCATGACGAATGGCAGGGGTTCTTCGTGAACATGTTGTTTGCTGTCGCCTTACTCCTCGACCCGAAGAATCCGCTGATCGTTTCACACACCTCCCAGACGTTCTACGAACAAGCAGTCAACAACTACCTTCCAGCGGTCTTGAGACAGCCTAACCACTTGCTTCACGCTCAAGCGTACCTCATGATGTCCTGCCACGCTTTGTTCTCACCATCAGCGGAGCAGATCTCGCTCATGATATCATCGGCGGTCCGATATTGCATCGTGGCCCGATTTCACCTGGTTGAGTCAGAGCCAGAACCCACGGATGCCGCCGCCAGGTTGGAGATACAAATGAGGAGGAGAGTGTTTTGGGTTGCATACGGTCTCGACAGGCTGGCGTGTGGTGTCTTGCGTCTGCCATTCTCAATATCTGACGACAATATAACCGTGCCGCTTTTCGACGATGTGGACGATGCCGGGCTTTTACAATCTCCCCGGATCCCTCAAGACCCGAAAACGTCAGTTTCCTCGGCCTTACACCGAGAGAAATGCTTCCAGATTCAATCCGAGATCCTGAATGTCACCATGCGGGCCGATTTTTCAAAGAACTTTGACTCACTGTCTGACTGGAGATCTTATATCCTGTCAAAATTGGAGCACTGGAGAGCCCAATTGCCACAAGCCGCCGATACTGACACAACAAGCCCCACCGACGAGCGATGGATCTTGATAGTGTACAACCACTGTCTTCTCTATCTCTTCATCCCCTCGAAATGGAACGTCCGTGGACCGGCCGGTGACTGGTCGGTCAGAGCCAGCACTCAGACAATATTGATATTCCGCAAATTTCAGGGCTACCGAACCGTCCCTCATCCTATGCTTGGAGTGAGTTCTCACCGGTGCCGCAGAGAGCCACCTTTTTCGGATCACAATCGGTGTCCATTGCTAACGCGCACTCACATAGTTGATCAGCCAGTTTTCCATCGGCATCACCCTCCTGTATTGCCTCTGGGCGACTCCTCCAAAGTTCCGTGCCGAACCTTACAACTCCAAGAACGTGTTTGAGGCTGTAAGAGCCTGCTCTAACAACCTGGCCATCATAACCGAGAGGTGGGAGAGCACGAAAGACCTCGCAGACATATTCGAGCTCCTCGCGACGGAGATTCCTTTGGCCGAGACAATGTCGCACAACGGCGAACGCGCAGTCAGCCGCGTCAGCCACGAAGCCGCCGAAGAGATTCATTCGAAGCTGCCTCATGTGAAACAGTTGGTGCTCAATCGGGAGATAATCCGCATGATAGAAGAGATGGCAACTGAAGACTTCCCACGTGATGACGAAGATGCAGTAGCGGTGGGATCATCATACCCGGGCGTGACGGACAATCTTTCCATCAGTGGTGGGCCAGCCGGAACTGGGCAGACGTTGTTCACAAATGGGCTCCCTTTGTATCAGTTCCCGAGTCAATACCTTTCCAACGACAGTTTTGTCGACAGTTTCTCTCCCGGACAAGCGCTGGAGTTCCCTGGTAGCTTGTCCGGGTTTGATGTTTTTTGAAAGAGAAGAAGAAGGAAACAAAGCCCACGATTTAACATGCGATCTCTGCCAGTTTCTCCGTCTTCGCCTGGACACGCTTCGAATCTCCTAGAACGTGATCTGCTGCGTCTCTACCATTGGAAGACGGTTAGGAATCGTACAGCAGCAAGAGATGCCAAAATACCTTGCTGGCAAGCAGGCCGACTAGCGTGTGACCTGCAGGGCCCAAGCCTTCAAAAACAATTCTATATGGAACACGCCCTGCTCACGCTTCTTGTGTAGTGTCTCCCCCATGATGGTCTCGTCGAATTCCGGGTGACCTCAGAGAGGGATGATCTTGTCGGGAAGATACATTCCCTGCACCGAGCAACGAGGGGTCGAGTCTCAAGCGCGCACTCCAACAGGACATTCAACTACAATGTCCTGACGTGAGGACTGCAGATTCTGTGTTGTCGGCGAACAAAAATTTCGCCAAAAGGACAGCCTGGCAACAACAAAAGAGGTCCTCGACATTCGAACCGAACGTCAGTCTTCGCGCGACTCACCAGTTGCTCTTTGCCAAAGAGGGATGTCCCACAAGACTCAGGTCTGCCGGCACCATGGATCCTTCCCAGCCAGGAATATTGATAGCCACAGGGACGTCAAGGGGTCCCGCGATGATATGGTGTCCGAAACAACGGCAATAGTCTCGAAACGTCGTTTCGTAATGGCCAATTAGATGTCCTCGACGAGCTTGTTGATCCGTGGATCATAGAGGGATGCGGAATGTTCTGACGACACGCAAGAAGTAAGCAAGCTGGTGGAGCGATGCGCATGACTATCAGAGACTCAGTCACAAGCATCTTCATGTACTCTGAACTTTGAACCCTTACAAAATATAATTTACATGTTCGCTTCCGTACCGGAAGCGGACGGACCTTTACGGAGTACAAATTACAGCGGAGACTCGGAATTACTCCCTAGTGTTCCAGAACCTCAGCCGCAGTGATGATATTCGACTTGAACATCGAAGATTTATTGAATAACCCCTAGAAGAGTCAGCATAGGAGCAGAGTTAGTTCTTGTACACGAATTCTATCTGCAATTGCTACCTAGATACGTGTACCATTATCATATTCATGCTCATGCTTTGCCTCGCCTCATGAAGCCTTCTCCGCAACTCAGAAGATCCTTCCTGGTAAAAAGCCTCAACTCCAAAGACAAAGATGCTGATTGGCTCCTTCCACTTTCCAGTCATTTTAGAGTAATAACTGCGTCAACAACCAACCTTCCAAACTTCAGTTTCTTTTCTCCCTTTTATTCTTTGCAGTCCCTTCGCAATCATTCCCTCTCCCCTCTTATTCTCTGTTGTTCCTCAATCTCGTGGCTGAAGGAGGAAAATCCCCGCTGTTGACTCAGGAACCTCACAAAACCGTCCCATTTCCTATGGATCATTCCTTGCTGTATCACTAGCTTGCCTTCCACATCATGTATCGTTGCGCCACCGGGAAGCTCTCCCTGAGAGCTGCCCAAGCTTCAAAGTCATACGCTACCTCTTCCGCCTCCCGCTCCCTTGCCGGAACCCGCCAGAATGCGTTGATCGCTGGAAGAAAGCCTTTGGCCGTAGTGCCTCGGAGCTCACTGCAGCGCAGGAGTTATGCCATGACGGCCGAGGACACCAACAAAGGCGTCGTATGTCGCACTCGTGTCCAAGACTGGAGTTTATGTGCATGAGCTAATATCTTTTGGCAGGACCCGAACGATTCTTTCCTCCAGGGAAACACTGCCAACTACATCGACGAGATGTACATGGCGTGGAAAGAAGATCCCTCCTCTGTGCATGTCTCATGGCAAGCGTATTTCCACAACATGGAAGAAGGAAAGATGCCCATTTCTCGAGCCTTCCAGCCCCCTCCGGGTCTACTATCACAAGCCGAAGGGGCAGCGAGCATTGCGCCGAGCGCAGTTGCCGCAGGGGGAGAAGACATTAGCAAACATCTCAAGGTCCAATTGCTGGTCCGAGCATACCAAGCGAGAGGTCATCATAAGGCGAAGACTGATCCTTTGGGTATCCGTGGTGAAGCCGAGGCCTTTGGCTACCGCCGGCCTAAGGAGCTGGAGCTCGACCACTACGGATTCACTGAGGCAGACCTGGACCAAGAATTCAGTCTGGGACCGGGTATTCTCCCGCGTTTCGCTACTGAAACAAAACAGAAGATGAAGCTCCGCGACATCATCGCAGCCTGCGAAAAGACCTACTGTGGTTCGTATGGCGTCGAATACATCCACATCCCAGACCGCGAGCAATGCGACTGGATCAGGAACAGAATCGAAGTTCCCACCCCATTCCGGTACTCTGTCGACGACAAGCGACGTATTCTCGACCGTTTGATCTGGAGTTCCAGCTTTGAGACCTTTTTGGCCACAAAATACCCCAACGACAAGCGTTTCGGCCTCGAAGGTTGCGAATCTCTGGTCCCCGGGATGAAGGCCATGATTGACCGAAGTGTCGATTATGGCATCAAGGACATCGTCATTGGCATGCCTCACAGAGGAAGATTGAATGTCTTGAGCAACGTGGTCCGTAAACCCAACGAGTCGATATTTAGTGAATTCTCAGGAACCACCGAAGCTAGTGACGAAGGTTCCGGCGACGTCAAATACCACTTGGGTATGAATTTCGAACGGCCTACGCCTTCCGGCAAGCGAGTGCAGCTTTCCCTTGTGGCTAACCCATCGCATCTGGAAGCCGAAGATCCGGTGGTGTTGGGGAAGACCCGTGCTATCCAGCATTACAACGACGACGAAACCAAACACCAAACAGCCATGGGCGTACTGCTACATGGCGATGCTGCCTTTGCTGCCCAGGGTGTTGTGTACGAGACCCTCGGTTTCTATGCACTGCCCGCCTACTCTACCGGTGGTACTATCCACATCATCGTCAATAACCAAATCGGTTTCACGACGGACCCTCGTTTTGCTCGATCTACTCCTTACTGTTCCGACATTGCCAAGGCAATCGACGCTCCAGTCTTCCATGTCAACGGTGATGATGTTGAAGCCGTTAACTTCGTCTGCCAACTCGCCGCAGACTGGCGCGCTGATTTCAAAAAGGATTGTGTTATTGACATCGTCTGCTACCGAAAGCAGGGTCACAACGAAACTGACCAGCCGTCCTTCACTCAGCCACTTATGTACAAGCGAATTGAGTCCATTAAGCCTGTTCTCGATAAGTACGTCGCGAAGTTGTTAGAGGAAGGCACCTTCACCAAAGAGGACATTGAAGAGCACAAGAAGTGGGTGTGGGGAATGCTCAATGACAGCTTCGACCGCAGTAAGGATTATCAACCCACTGGCAAGGAATGGTTGACCTCAGCCTGGAACGGGTTCAAGTCACCCAAAGAACTTGCCACTGAAGTTCTGCCTCACCCACCAACTGGTGTTCCGTCAGATATCCTCAAGGAGATCGGCGGCAAGATCGGCTCTGCTCCCGAGGGCTTCAATGTTCATCGTAACCTGAAGCGTATCCTCGGCGGCAGAAAGAAGGCGGTCGAGGATGGCAAGGGCATCGATTGGGCTACGGCCGAGGCTCTTGCTTTTGGCACTCTTTGTTTGGAAGGTCACCATGTTCGCGTGTCCGGTCAAGATGTTGAACGTGGTACCTTCTCTCAGCGTCATGCGGTGCTCCACGACCAGGAAAACGAACAGACCTGGACTCCCCTTAACAACTTGGCCAAGGAGCAAGGCGCCTTCTCCATCTCGAACTCGTCTCTCAGTGAGTTTGGTGTGCTCGGGTTTGAATATGGCTATTCTCTATCCTCGCCGAACGCGCTTGTGATGTGGGAGGCTCAGTTCGGCGACTTTGCCAACAATGCCCAGTGTGTTGTTGATCAGTTCATCGCATCTGGCGAAGTGAAGTGGCTGCAGCGATCTGGTCTCGTCTGCTCCCTGCCTCATGGTTACGATGGACAGGGACCCGAGCACTCATCGGGTCGTATGGAACGATACCTCCAACTTTGCAACGAGGAGCCCCGGGTGTTCCCATCATCTGACAAGCTGGACAGGCAGCACCAAGACTGCAACATGCAGGTTGCGTACATGACCTCGCCCGCCAATTATTTCCATATTCTCCGTCGACAGATGAACCGACAATTCAGAAAACGTAAGTCTCTTTCATTCCATCTAGATCACAAGTATCAGCTAACGATGTCTAGCGTTGATCATTTTCTTCTCGAAATCGCTTCTGCGTCATCCTATTGCACGATCCGACCTCGAAGACTTCACTGGCGAATCTCATTTCCAGTGGATCATCCCCGATCCAGAACACGGTAAAGGCATCGCCGAGCCTGACGAGATCGACCGCGTCGTCATCTGTACCGGTCAGGTCTATGCTGCGCTGTCTAAGCATCGTGCCGACAAGGGCATCAAGAACACTGCCATTACTCGCATTGAACAACTCAATCCCTTCCCTTGGCAACAACTCAAGGAAAATCTTGACACCTACAAGAACGCGAAGACCATTGTGTGGTGTCAAGAAGAACCCCTCAACGCTGGTGCTTGGAGTTTCGTCCAACCCCGTATTGAGACTCTACTCAATCAGACGGAACACCACAACAGAAGACATGTCATGTATGCTGGGCGCGATCCTAGTGCGTCTGTCGCCACAGGTCTCAAGGCTAGTCACGTCAAGGAAGAACAAGCATTGCTCGAGGAGGCGTTCCAAGTCACGCAGGACAAGCTGAAGGGCGAGTGACTGGCCGGACATACCATGAGTGATGGCGTGACAGGTGCGACTGTTGTCCTATGAACACGTCTCGACCTTCTCAATGAAGCAGAAGAATTCTTGAGGGAATGATGAGGGCGGTCAGAAAGAAAGGCATCGAAAAGCTCGTATGTTGTACTACGGCAAGCTGCTGGGGACATCATCATTCACATGATATGCATGGGTGGAAGTCAGAATGATGGTCAGCATACGGTCGATCAGTCATGTTCCAAATGCAATTAGCTCTTGTGAGTCAGTGTTACCTAATACTACTCGCTCAGTGTTTGAGATGGGTGGCTGTTGATGGTGATGATGAGATGGTGGAGGCAGTGGTACCCAGTATCCCTTACTACTGAAATAGTGTTTGTCCCGTTATATCGATATTCCTGAGCATTCAGCTTGAGAATCAAAGAAGAATAATGAAGTACGAAAGCACTGCTGTACATGTACCCCGTACGTGGATACTTGTCCTTTCTTTTTTTTCCGGAACTACTCCGTACATACCTTACTACTCCGCCGTACTTTTGTGAGAGACTTCAGTGACTTCATCGCGCCTGACTTTCGCCCCACGCATTTCACCTGCGCTCAACGAGTTCCGCAATATCTCAACACACTACTCATTCGCCCTCAACAACACTTTATCACAGTGATTGTCTTGCCTCTCTTTTTGAATCTTGACATTAACAGCGATACTTTTCCGTCTTCACATCTATTGCTTCACCTATCATTTTCAGCTCAGTGTGTTTGACATCTGTTTGACACTGCTTTTATCATATCACCCTCAACTCCGGGTCTCCCCAGAAGCAATGCATCAAATCACGCTTTGCAGTTCCAAGTGATACCGTTCTCTTATCCAGCTTTTGAGCTGCGAATTCCCACGGAACCCCCTATACGAAGCTTCCTGCCCAAGGAAAAGCACTCGGAGCGTGTTTGCAGGCATGGACGGAGCAACAGAGAAGCCTGTCAAGAATGTCCGCAGAAGCAAGAAGAAGCGAGGAAATGAAAAGCTGATACCATGGCTATATGACCTGGTCCTCTGGGTAATGTCGGTCTTGATCGAACTGTTCTTCCGCGAAGTACATCCACGCGGAGCATGGAAGGTGCCACGCACTGGTCCCGTCATTCTCGTGGCCGCTCCACATGCCAATCAGGTAAGGGCCCTGACCCCCAGACAGGAACAATCACTAAGTGGTGCCAGTTTGTCGATTCCCTGGTCCTCATGAGAATCCTCAAGACCGAAGCGAGAAGAAGGATATCATATTTGATCGCAGAAAAGTCCACACATCGGAAATTCATTGGAACATTGTCCAAGGCCATCGGTGCAATACCAGTCGGACGTGCGTTGGACAAAGTCAAGACTGCTAAGGGCAAGGTCTTCCTGCCAGACCCAGACAATGATCCTACCCTGGTCCGGGGGATTGGCACCGACTTCCAGAATGGTCAGTTCGAAGTCGGCGGTCTGATTGTCCTGCCCAAAGTGCGCGGCCAAACACCTAGTACAGAGATTGCCGAGATCCTTTCCGCCACCGAACTACGATTGAAGAAACCCTTCAAAACGCAAGAAGCCTTGGAGTCCATCACAAGACCTGCCTCAAACGAAGAACCCTCTCCCGGTTGTTCATTCAAGGTTGCGCCCTTCGTTGACCAGACAAAGGTCTACAATGCTGTCTTTCAGGAACTCGATGCTGGTGGCTGCATAGGAATCTTTCCGGAGGGAGGTAGCCACGATCGGCCAGATCTTCTACCTCTGAAAGCAGGTGTTGCGATCATGGCTCTGGGGGCAGAAGCAAATCATCCAGGATGTGGTGTAAAGATCATTCCCATTGGCATGAATTATTTCCACGCACATAAATTCCGGTCTCGAGCAGTGATTGAGTTTGGTCATCCCATCGAGGTACACCCTGATCAAGTTGCAGCATACAAAAGTGGTGATCGCAGAAATGCAGTGGGGTCCCTCCTTGAAACAGTATACCAAGGTCTTTTAGCCGTTACGCAGGCCTGCCCAGACTACGACACCCTGATGCTTGTACAGGCAGCGAGACGATTGTACAACCCCTGGGGCAAGAAACTTCCTTTGCCTCTGGTGGTTGAGCTCAACAGACGCCTTGTCAAGGGTTACACCAAATACCAAGATGACCCCAGGGTGGTGTCTGTCAAGAAGGATGTGCTCAACTACAACCGCCAACTTCGTGCTCTCGGGATCCGAGACCATCAGGTCGAATGGGGCAACGCAGCCAAACGTCCGTGGTGGCTTGTGTTTGGGACGCTAAGCTACAGACTCGGCGAGCTATTGGTGCTTGGTGTCGGTACTCTTCCTGGCCTGGCCATGTTCTGGCCTGTCTTTGTTACCACCAAAGTCATCTCGGTCAAAAAGTCTCGAGAAGCACTTGCTGCATCGACAGTCAAGTTGCAAGGTCGAGATGTCATCACCACCTGGAAACTTCTTGTCGCCATGGCTTTTGCACCGGCGTTATATGCCTATTACACCATTATTGTCTCCCTGTGGCTGGTATACAATCGAAGAGGTGGCTATTACACCTACCAAGTGCCGCGGTGGATGGTGGCTCGGACATATGTGCCAGACTTTGTCCCCATGTGGCTCTTTGCAATCTCCTTCCTGATCCTCTGTATCGGCATCACTTTTGCGGCGTTGCGAATTGGAGAGATTGGTATGGATGTGGTCAAATCTCTTCCGCCACTCTTCATTGCTCTCAACCCTCGTTCCTCGAGTCGAATTGCGCGACTCAGAGTGACCAGAGCAGCATTGTCCGTCAAGGTCACTGACCTCATCAACACGCTCGGGCCCGAAGTTTTCCCTGATTTCGACGCTGAACGTATCGTCGCTGATCCCTATAGGGAAGGTGCATATCAGTCCAGTTACAAGAAGATGCCAGAGGAACCTCAGATGCTGGACGGCGGCGAGCCCTCGACCCCAACATCTGGCGCGTTCGAGGCGGTTCCCGAATCCCCTGGCCACCGATCGTTCAGCTCTTTGCTACCCTCGAATGAATCTTTTGGCAACATCGGTGGATTTGGCTTCTTCGCCTCGCGTCCTGCCACCCCGAAGAGCCGAAGTCGAAGCAGTTCTGCCGGCGGAGCCCTCACGTCGGCCAGCATGCCACTAAAGGCTCTGAGCACGCTGAACACCGGTGAGAGTTTCGAGGAGGTCAGCAAACGCATCCGGGGTGCGATGCGTGAAAGAGGCAGAAAGCGGGAAAGCGAGGGCGTCGACACGGGGACCGAAAGTAGCTGGGACATGGCCTCGGAAGAAGGGGAGGAGGAGCCGAAGAAGGAGAAATGATGACCACGACCCGAGCTGTCACTGGTTCGTCCCGCTCGGTCTTTCGAGCATGATGTTGACGCCGACATGTTTTTATGATGACGAGTGACTTGGGGAACTGCATTTTCAAAAGGGGGAGAGCGTGCACAGCAAACTCATTCCGCATAACTTACTTGCTTGTATGCCTTTTACGTCAACGTGGCGAGCATCATACGTAGACTATGAGAGAAGTCTATCAATGTAGTTCTTGATGCATCAATCCATCAATTTAGCTACGTCACACCGGAATCGGAAACTTAGGCTGCTTTGGGTCCCGTACCTTTGTGTGTTCCGAGATAGTCCGTACCCATGGCAGCAAACTCGCAGTCTCGAGGGTTGTAGAATTCGAGCAAGCCAGGGGGGGGACGTTGGAGCAGAAGTGCAGCAGAGTCACCCACGGAGGTGGAAGTAGGGAGTACAGGTATCCGTACCTAGGCAGGAGAACATCACTCGCAGGAGGCCGGGGGGGTTACCCGAAGTGAATCGTTGGAATTTCGTTCAAGGTTATTATATTCATGTTACGGAGTGCACACGGCGTTGGGTTTTTGACAAACCCAGCCTTCCGGTGTCCCGCCCATCCAGATCCCCCAAGCCCCCCGACATGGCGTGGACCAGTCAAACAACTCCAGGGAGGTAGCAATCAAATCCTCCGACGTGATCGACTCTGTTTCTTTTCTTCGTGGCGACGCGGTTTTCAGTTTCCCCACCACAACAACAAGAATCATTGACGGTGGTTTTGGACAAGTCACAACCAGAAAAAAGTTCAAATCCCTGTATGTACGCGGCCATGGAGCCGAACCGAGCCGAGGGTCTGCAGACGAGTTGAATTCAACACGGCGGCCGACGAGGCCGGGCCACCGGGGGGTCCGGCGCTCCACTGTTGGGGTGGTGGCCCCTACTCACGACCAGTTCAATGAGGCTCTCCAGCTCAGGAGGCGATTCGATGAGTGGCTGGAATGATTCTGTCGGGTAATCTGGCGGGAGGAGGCGTGTGGGAGTGGTGAAGCTCATGGCACAATATCTAACGGGGTCAACGATAATGGTTAGAGCAACAACACAAACGCGGACACACAGGGGGAATGATGAATGAAAACCCACCGGTCCACATGGCACAAAATCAAGTAAATGTGCAACTCTTTCATTCTTGCGTCGGCGGAATGGGCAGTGAAGCCTAGATCGTGCGCCATCTGGATGGCTCGGTCGATGGCCATTCGAATGCGATCCGTTGCGCCGACATGTGAGGAGATGTATGTGCTGTTAAAACAGTGTGCGTATCGTGTCGAGCGCGGGCGCGTGCCTGTAAGCTTATTAGTGAACCAATTCGACACCTCGGAAAAAGTGGTTGCCGTCATGAGATGGCCCATATGGCACAAAACCAGCAACGAGCGTATCAAAGAGCAATGCCAGAATAGTCACAGGCATGGGATACGACATGGACATTGCTTATGTTGTCACTTATTGTAATGGTGTCAGTGACTGTTCCTGGTTGTTGAGTTGGTGTCTGTACCTTTGTGGGCTGTCCTGGCTGGTGATCGCGGACGGTGCTAATGCTGTCAGTTGTTGTGATAGGGTCATTGGAAGTTTCTGACTGTCGAACCGTCGTAGCTGCGTCTATGGACAATGCTGGAGGGCGACTGCGAGACGGGAGGTTACTCTGGGTGCTGATCGGAGAGCGGTTTGCCGAGCGCAGGGGAGCCTGCAGGCCGGGGGCGCTGTGTCTGTGTCCTTCTGTTAGGTGCTCCATGGCCCTGGACTGCCATAGAATTGCTAGATCTTCCCGTACCGACAGTGTGATACGAATAGACAGAGTGGATGCTGCCAGATCTCTCTTGGACATCTTGGGGTGGGGATTGCGGCGTGTCATCTAGGACACTTTGGGGGTGGTGGTGATGAAGGTCTGGTCCTGTGTTCTAGTTGGCCTAACGATGGAAAATTGTGTCAGTGAAACATCAGCCGGTGACGCGACAGTTATGTGAGAACAGTCATGGTGCCTCATACCTGTCGAGACATCAAAAACTACACCGGTGACCGACCTCGCGACATGACCGCGCAGGGATATGGAGGTTGACGTTGCTGCCTGCCAGACGCAGAACATTGGTCGCAAGCAGTAGGGTCGGTGGCGAAATGAAATACATTCACCACGGACAATCGTAGAGGCAATCAAACAAAACGATACCTGGAGAATCAGATGGTGGATAAGACACTCTCAGCTTGGCTGGATGTCAGAGATGAGAGCGTCGTAGGAATGATGCGGTGAAACAAGAGAAACATAAAGGAAAAAAAGCACCAGGAGGAACACACTGGTTCGCACCAGTGAGTTATAATAGATGGCCTGAGCGAGGAGTATGTGCGTCTCTCTTTCACTGCTGCGTCGTTGTACTGTGAGCGCCTTGAGAGGCGACAATTGGCTTCAAGGACAAGAAATGCTGCCCAAAGAATGAGGTGAACAGGAAGGGCGATCGAGGAGGGGTGAAATCCAGACCAATTGCTGTAAACGCCCACCTCCTCGGTGCATGCATGCATGCATGAATGATGGCCATGAATCTTTCCTACGTGGTCTGTCTCGTGTAAATCGCACCCTGCGCAGATACGCGTTCCGTCTTGACCTGACCGGCCCATCACTAGATACAGCAAAAGAGGACTGAATAAAGTTCAAGCCGACAGCAATGAGCCCCAAATCTATGAGCCTCTAACAGATGGACAGAGGACAGAAGAGAATTTGTGCCAGATCTTCTCGCAGCTAGGACTCCCCTGTGATCTCCTCGCCGTCCAGACCGCTGTGGCTTAATTACAGTGATTATTTGATGCCAGTACGGAGTACGTGGTAGACCAGTAGCCAATAATCTATATCACTTTGCTAGTCGACCCTTTGCTGTGGTCTACATTCACCTACCTACTCCGTAATACTGGAGATCATGTACTCCGTACAGTAAGTATACTCCGTACTCCCATCTCCGCATAAACGCAAGAGACTTTATCTAGGTATCCGTATACGGAGTACGAATGACAACGTTGAACATACACTTCTTACTCCGTAAATTTCATGCGCCAATACGGAGTACGGAGTAGATGGGACTCCATAAAATGGATTTCAAGGTAATTTCTGTGCTCCGTAAAATGGCACACGACTGAGTAAACTTTTTGAGACAACTTGCTATCAACTTGTCCTCAAGATGATGGTGTACCAGGTAGTGTTTCTTGCGCACGTCATTTCACACTAGTCCCTCCTTTTTTCTTTTCAAGAAGGAATGTCTTATGGACAATGAAGTTTGTCGGTTACCATGTTCGTGATTGTTCACACTTGTCATCCACGAGGACGACATGGCGAAGACGGGGTCAAAATCACAATTTCTAGTGCACCGGGAGACCAATTCCTATGTTGTAGATTCATCTCTTTGCTCATTCGGTGATGTACTGTATACACAACTTCTAACAATACTGGGTTGGATACGTTTCTAGCTTTGGATAATTTCCCCCTTCGCCATCAGCAAAGTGGTGCCTTGAACTAAAGACACTATCAATAACAGGTGCCGAGAAGAGTTGATAGCAATGCTGATTGTTCCGCTCCTTCAAAGGCTCATCGCCTTCTTTTATCCTCAGGTGCAAGTGATATTCGTAATACATCGTCCTCTTCGACGATTCCATGAAAGAGATCCCACCGTTGACTCCCCCACCTCCGCCGATTTGATTTCTGATACTCCATGCAGTCTAGAATCTCCTTTGACCAATATCGGCCGTATTTGTTTCTCTCATTGCTTGTGTGATGCGGTGCGATCCACCGGGGTAACAGCATCGCTCAAGCACCTGTTCTTGTCGGCTAGGCTAGGGTCAAGCAGAAGTGCAGGACAAAGAACGGCATGCCTTGACAACCTTTGTGGATGCAGATGTGTACCATCGTCGTACTTGCCCTGCCATTTCTCCTCTTGCATTGTCGGCTTCTTCATGCGTCGGACTCTCCTGAACGGGTCGGAAAATTTCCAAGGCTCGTCGTGATTGAGTACCAGAATGCGAGCTATCGGTTGGGTACCGAGTCGCGGGAGTTCGCATGGTAACCTGGTCTGGATTGTAATGCACCATTTGGCTCCGAGTATACCTCAGATGAGGCAGGGAACGTTCGATCGCGGCGCGCAATTCGGTTTCAGTCGCGGGGTTGAGTGCACGAGCGGGAGGTGCTGATGACATGGGAACTCGTCGGGCCATAGGTGAAGCTGGTGAAGTAGGAAGTGGACCGTATATACGTGAGGTCTCCTCGATCGTGACTTGGTGCGCCACATCGGCTGCAATGTTGGCGAAGTCATCCGCTCGCTCACATGCCTTATTAATTTCACTGACTACCTCTTGAATTTCGTTGAGCCTGTTCAAGGGGTGGGATCCCAAGTACCTAGACCCAACGCCATGACCACTCGTTCGAGCACCGAATTGGCCTCTGACATAGGTACCATCGTCAGCTAACGCTAGTGAGCCAGGTACGTTGGACGTGAAAAGTCCAGAAGGCAGCGGCGCGGCCTGTTGGGTTGCAGCGTCAATTAGCGGCTCAATCATTCGGGCCATGCCTACGGATTCCATAGTGTCACTCAAGGCTTCAGCCCAGGCCGTGGCTGATTCGTTGGACTGCCTCAGACTCAACGGAATGGGGGCGACTGAAGGAATGGTCGTGATCACGGGGTCATCGTCATGTCCAGCATCGTCCAGATCATGGTCGGGGCGAGGCCGTATACGTCGAAACACGCGTCTGAGGAAGGGCCCTTGTTCAAGTCTGTACTGCGTTGCTTCACGAGAGCCAAATGAAGCCAAGCCTGGAGGAGTGTGAACCGGTTCTGGCGGGGACTGCTTGGGCATATTTGGGTATGCTGGTCCGTCCAACGCGGGGGCAATAACAGACTCTGAGGATGACGAGTAGTCTTTTGGTCTTTCAGATTCATGCATTCCTGACATCAAATTTTCTTCAGTTTGAGGGTATGTGTACTGCGAGTAAGTCTGTATGGTAGGCGAATCGGGCCGCGGAACACAGGGTGCTTGGCTGGTCTGAGACATCTGCACTGGATGAATCGAGTGGTATGACTGGTCTGAATGGATGAGCTTTGAACTTCTTTCAGGACCTGCGCTCAGCCGTGCCAGCGACTGAGACGTCCTAGCAGAGCCGACGCTGGATACCTCAACGATGGGCACTAGCTGCGGTGCCGGCCATCGACTGTGTGAGGTTGCACCGTCGCCGCTTTCGGAACTGCGAAGTGCCCGCCGTTTGGGAGTATCTGGAAGTGTAGCAAGAAGAGAGCTTAGGTCTTCGACAGAGCCATCATCATCACTATTCGTTCCTAGCGTTGGGGAGACACGTTCTGCGTTGTATATGCCGTCATTACCAAGATCGCTGTCGGGGGATGGCGCTTGTTCTCTTATCTGCCGACGAATGGATGGCGACGATTTGATCCGGCGTATTGTCTTTGGAGGGCTGTTATCAACATGGCCTTGTTGAGACTGGGAGGAACGGGGTTCTTCGCGAGGCGGAGTTGCAGGTTCCGTACTGGCCGTAGCAGCCGCACCTTCAGACGCCTGCTCCATGGTGAAGATGGTTGGTAAGAGGTAGGGATTTCTAAGCTTAACAGAGTGGATTCTATGTGACCGTGGGATGAGGAATAAAGAAAGACAGTAGTGATATCTGCAAGGAGGTAAGTTCGAATGTGTGGATGAAGAGGTATGGAAGAAAGTCAGGTCCCAAAGAGAAGACAGTGAGGTTGCAACAAGACAGAGTCAGGTCCCAAGGGAAAGACAGAGTCAGGTCCCAAGGGAAAGACAGAGTCAGGTCCCAAGGGAAAGACAGAGTCGGGTTGCAAAGAGAAGAATGAGAGTCGGGTTGCAAAGAGAAGAGAGAGTCGGGGTGAAGAGAGAAGAGAGAAGAAAGAGTCGGATTGAAGAGGGAAAAATGAACTTGGGGTCGTAGACAGTGCCAGAGGGAAAGAACCATGGAATGAACTTGGGAAGACGTAGTGGTACTTCACTTACAAGATGCAGGCGCTGCTGACGCTTTCGCTCGCAATTGAAGTCCATGTCTAGATTTGCCTAGACTTATCTCTATACGGTCATTCTCGTTCTCCTGAGTGTGTCCAACGGTGAACTATGACGAATAATACATGATGTGTTTTTTTGAAGTCCAAATCAATACCCAATTGTTGATACAAGTCTGATGCATTATATGGATTAGTAGCCTCCCACAACGCCCGTCTATTCCCTCCAAGATTGCCGGTTTTGTGACTTCGGGGTAAAAGTCGTTCGATCGTAGAATTATCGTAATGGTCGTCAAGAAATTGGTACATTTCCACTAGAGATGGCGTTTTCAGAGCTAGACACGTCCTTTTGACTCTGTCGTTGTTGAAGGTCTTTGCGCAGGCCTTTGATGATGCCCTCGAGCCGACGTCGTTCTTCCTGCTCGGCCTGGCACCAAAGTTAGACGTGGGCTTTTCAAATTCGACCCATGGACGGTGTTGAGAACTTACCTTGATCGTCTTCAGATTCTCGGCGCGGGTTTCACGCATCATCTTCTTGAACTCGTTCTTCAAGACCATGGTCGATGTAGTCTCGGTGGGCAAGCCGGCCTTTGCACCCAACCATTTGACCTTTTCTTCGTTCAATTGAGATTCCAAAGTCTCGCATCGCTGTTGGAACGCGTCGACTTGTTCCTCGAGACGTTCACGTTCCTTCTCATCCTCAATGCTCTGCTTTGTCATGATCTCGTATTCTTCCAGCGTTGCCTTGAGCTCTTGCTGGAGGGTATTGACCTTGTTCTGGAGTTCAGCGCTACCGACGCCCTTGGTCTCATGCTGGTTCTTGAGGAAATCAAGCTGGTTCTCCAGGTCTCGGTTGTGTGCATTCAGACTGTCAATCTCCTTCTGGATGGCCGGATTCATCGACACATCAGCAGCTCGCTGAGCACGTGTTCCGTACGCCCCGTCCAACTCGGCCTTTACCATGGTCAGTTCTGTCTGTGCCCGCACCACTTCCGACTCCAGCTCCTTGATTTCGTCCCGAGACTTCGCGAGGTCCGTCTCTGCTGCTGCTTTGGCGGTTTCGAGAAGACTGATTTTCTGGAGAAAGGGGGCAGCAGCATCCTCTGCCTGGCGGTCACTGGCGCCTCGCTGTTGTTCCAAAAGCATGCTTTCCTGCTTAGCCATGTCCAGCTGCTCCAAAAGAAGATTGATTTGCTCCTGGAAACGTCTGGAGTCCTCCTCGTTTGTAGCGTGGGTCTGCTTGTGTTGTTCGATCTCGTCCATCAAGTTGTGGATCGTGGCGTCACGCTGACTATCCGACTTGTTGTTCAGCTCTCGCTGCTGCTGAATCTGTCGTGTGAGAATCGCCTTTTGTTCCAGCAATGTCTCGACGCGCGAGTTCAGTCGGTCGATGATCGAGAAGGAAAATGCCAATTGAGACGGCAGGTCCTTTCCTCTCGGTTCATCTTGCGGTATAATGGGGCTCTGGCTGACCGAATTCGTTCGCTGGAGCATGTCGTGAAGACGCATGTTAACATCTTCAAGCTGCTCTTGGTGATTCAAGGCCGAGTCTTGGTCCGTGTCCTTAGACTGTGCCTGCACTGCTTCCATGGCATCGAGGCCTTGGGATAGATAGCCCAAATGGGCTTGGATCTGAGCGCCGATACGACCGGCCAGATCACCGTCGGTCGGCTGTGGAGGCGGATCAAAGTGCGCCTGTGTCCCGGACTGATTGATCATGGTATGTAGTCGGCTGTTGACTTCTTGGAGACGAGCTGCAATGTCTTCAATGGGGTCTTTGCTTCCTCGTTTGCTTCTGCCCAAGCCGTGTGATGCCGAACCAAATTCGGTGACATAGTCGGGCACTTGGTACAAGCTACGTTCGTCAAAATCCTCGATTCCTGGCACCCCGGACATTCTCCCATTTGGCTGGCTCGTCATACTCTCCGGGCTTCTCGGCAACTCGGACTGGCGGAGGTTCTTCTTAAGACCCTTGTGTGTCATCTGTAGGATTCCCGCTGTATGTTGAAGGATTCTCATTTGCACCCGCTCTAGCTCCCTCTCCTGTTGCGACAGCTCCTGTGTGAGGTCCTGGACCTTCTTGTTGCTCGCGGCATATTCGTCGTCTGCCCGACTCACCATCTCCGCACCACTGGTCCTGTGGTTCCCAAGGAAGCTGCGCCTCTTGTTTTTGGGAGAACCGCCTCTCGAGTCGTGCTTGTCGCGAACCGAGTACAGGCGATTGAGTGATTGTGCCGCATCCCGCAGTTTCGTTTCCAGAGCCAGTCTCCTCTTTGTCGTGTCGACCTTGCTTCTCAGAGAGGCCCGTTCTCTCTTCAACTGATCCATCTCTTCGAACGAGAGCACTTCGAAATCGCGACTATCGCTCATTGCAGTCTCGGCGAGCAGGTGCATGGCGACGGGGTCGTTGATGTTGAGGAGAGTGGAGTTGCGCGACTGCTTCGGCATCGGCTGTGCGACGTGTTAGCATGGGCATCTTGAATAGACAGACACGAGGGTAAATACCGGCGCGAAACGGGGAGTCGGCTGCTCGTCGGTAAAGGGACCACGCAGAGCGCCCGACATGAAGCTCTGTGTATTTCCAATTGCCGGAGAATCATCTATTGGCCCCGGACCGCTGTACACTGAGCTCGGTACATATCGACTCTGGCCATCGTCGAGGCTCTCGACTGCGGACTGTCGCAGTCCCAAGGCGTAGGCCTGCATGACGGGCGCAGCTGTGGTGGGTTCCAAGACTCCAAAGTCTCCAGGCGTCGGGATATATCAGACTCTTCGAATGGTTATTATATAATATGAAGGGCGGCAGAGGTTCAGGCAGGGGACGGCTCGAAGACGCCAGTCAAGACTGGGCATGCTGAATATGGGGTTTGCGGCGTCAAGGGTTCAAGGCTCTCATGGTTTGGTCGTTGACGTCTATTCGGATACACTTCAGCGGAAAGGACAATCAGGGTAAATAAAGACTCGCCCATTCGTGTTTGTCGATTTACAGTCTTTTCGTCGAGATGGAAGAACGGCGGTCTGAAAGGCTCGTACGAGTAGAAGACCTGTAGTCAGGAGAATTCCAGGGGACGGGAGTCAAGAAGGAAATCAGCTGGAGACGCGTTCAACCCTTGGGCGCTATTTACTTAGCGTAGCGGTTCAATAGGCGGGCGGAAATGACCCAATAGCCCCGTACAGTACTCCGTATTTCGTACTGGTACTGTAGGTCCCTCGGTATTATTCCACGAGTTTGGGTACGAGGCTGGGTGCCTTAAGTGGTTCCCTGCGAAGCCTGGGTACTTGGTCCTTTCGGTCGGCGAAGGTGTAATGTTTTGGGTATCAGTAGTAGTGTGATGGCTTGCCAGTCCACACCCACGGTGCATAGACCAAGTGTTGTGGACTGTCGAGCCAATAGCAGCGAAAGTAGGAGCCAATTCTGTATTGATGGTCCGTACTGTACTCCGTACGGAGTAGATAATTACCAACGTATGTAAGGGATGCGAGGAATGTGGCTGATAATCATGACTGTACAGTACAATACGAGATCCTGTACGAGGTTAGCTAATCTCCAAAGAGTACGGAGTACACAGCTACCCAGTAGAGTAAGGAGCACCACCAGAACTCGTGGCCGACGACAACTCTCTGCTATGATCAACAGCGCCTAGGTACAGTACAGCAGTCAGTCCCCTCATCAAGTCATGCAAACGTCCAACCGTATCCTAAAAATGCTTTGCCAAACGCCCACATCGCCATGCAGCCCTGAAGCCCCTTTCGGAAAAGTCTGTGAAAGCTTTGCCACACTCAACACTCACCACTCCAGCCCGTCCATCGCTGCTCTGGATCTTTCCAAGGATTCCACGACCGGAACCAAAACCGCCCTCTCGTTCGCCAATGTAGCCTTGTACCTCGTCCGAGAGTAAAACACGGGACAGTCCTTGCTGTCACAGCGAACCTCTTCCTCACCACTGCCGCCCGAACACGATCGACAAACCTTGTTCATTTGCATCACGTTCCTCTCCGCCCTCATCAGTCTCGACCGCATATCCAGTAAACTCCTCGGAGATTGTCGCAAGCAATTCCCGCACAGCGGACCATGTTTGTCTTTGCCGGAATTGTCAAGAGTCGATCGACAAACCAAGCACGTCGAAGCCTTCATGTACGATTCCAACGTGGTCTTTTTGTTGGTCACTCCAAACTCTCCCCCGGCCTCAACCCTCCTGATACGTTGATACTTGGGCATCTCGTCGTACCACTGTCGGACGTTGGCGCCCACGAGATTAAAGATGCGTTCGAGTGGCGGGATGATGTTCCTGGAAATGTAATACTCGGCGTCCAACTCCGAATGTACGTCGTTGAGCAGCACCTCAGGAGCCACGCACCTGTCAATAAGTCGGGCACCCGGGCCTCCAGTCACAACCACGTACGGAACCCGTTCGCCATACTGAGGTTCAAGTCTAGGATCCTCGACCATCTTGCGAGCACTGATCAACGCGCCCGGCGGAGGCGGCCCTTTGTCGCTGTACGTCCCGAGCTTGACTTCTCGGGCAAAACAGAAATCTTGAATCGACACACTCCCACGCATGATCTTGGCGCATTGTGCCTGGAAGAACTTCTTGACTTGACTCAAATCCGATGTGCGGAAAAGCATCTTAAGTGCAGTCTCTTCGATCTTCTGTTCGGCCGGTGTCCCATCTCGACGGACAGTCTCGATTCCCTTGGCGTCAAAGTCCGGAACAGTCTGAGATCGGCTTTCATATTTGAACCCGACATATCGTTTCTTCGCCAGCAGCACACAAGGATGGTACACCTTTTCGAACTTCAGCTTGATGGGCCGCGGGTTCATCTTCGTAATCGTGTCGGCAATCTCCTCGCCAATGTCAAAGGCTTGCTCTCGGGTTCGACCTTTCAGGTACACGAAAAGGCTGTCGGTGTCGCCATAGACCACCTCGGCACCCCATCGTTCCACCGAGTGGATCAAGGCAATGGCCTTTTCCAAAGTCTCTCGGCCAGTCTGTACAATGCTGTCCGCGATTTCTGAGCAAGGCATCCGACCCGAGAAAGACGCAGACGTGTAACCGTAAGTGACGTTGGCAATCAGCTTGAGTGCGAGCTGTCGATTGTTCAAAAGACGTTGCAAAGTCTTGTCATCCTTGTCGACCTTCATCCCGCTCTTGACCATGACTCTGGTTTCGAGAATCTCGCCGAGCATCTTGGCCAAGAGTGATTTGCGGATTTCGGGTTTGGCGTACATGATGCCGTTCGGGGCAATGTTGACATGATCTTTCAAAAGCTCCAGCAACCTCGGCTCACGGTGATAATCCGTGAAGCCCATCTTGTTTGTTCCGCGCCAGCTGACAACTCGACCCAGAAATGTCGAGTAACAGTAGTTGTACGCAATCATCACGCTCGGATACAAGGATTGGAAATCCAGCACCAGCAATGGGCTGGTGTAGAAGTTGCTCTGAGGCTCCATGACCAACGGCAAACATTCCAGAGCATTCTGTCCTCCCACCTGTCTTCTGCCGGGCGATACCAACATCAAGTTCTCTGGCTTCGCAATACGAAACATGAGAGATTCGACTTTGAATTGAGAACCCCGAGAGATGACAGAAAACCAGTCGACTCCCAACAGCCGTGCTTGTTCGCTCGTCCTCGGTACAAGTTCGTTGGCTTCAAGGATTTTGATGTCAATCTCGACGCGACTGGAAAAATAGTCTACGACTCTGGCCAAATCACGGGGGTTCTTGCTCCGGTACCACTTGGTGAGATCCGCGAAACTGTAGTGTGGTATTCTCTGATGGAGCAAATGATATACCACGTTTTCCATCGTATACTGAAGCAAATTCAGCTCACCACGCATGGCTCTCCAGATGTTGATAGTATGGCGACCGGTCACACGAATGGTTGATGTGTGATTGAAACCCCATTTGTCGTCGTCTTTGCCAAATCTGCCGTGAGATTGAGCCTTCATCCGAGACAGCTCATCACAATAGTTCAGATCGTATTTGACCCGCGCTCTTTCAATCAGATAGCCCCAAGAACTATTGTGGACTTCGTACCCTGTCAGAATATCTGGGTCGTAAGAGCGCACGATATCCACAAATCTGGTCAGCAGGTCAAGCTCGGTTGCCTCCTCTTCCACATCAAACGTTACATTGCGTCCAACCTTTTTAGCTTTTTGAGGTTCATCAGCGACAGTTATGATACCCTTGTGGATGCCATCCCTGCCGCCTCTGCTCTCCATCTCTTCGTCGTCGGTTTGTACACACCAAAAAATACACGCAATGGCGTCTTCGTCTGGATTTGGAGCGAGCATGCCCCGGGTGTTGACGTGCACTTCAAGGGCCATAATGCTCATGTATTGTGTTTCGTGTTGAACGCTCGTGCTAGGCTGATTTTGTGAATACTTGAATCCATGGCGGTTCCTTTGAGTTGGGCCATCGATCTGCGAGAGGTGTTGTTTCGAACTTGATCGCACAGCAAAGGTTTCATCAGACTTTGCAAGGAGTTCTTCCTCCAGCCATGCCAGTACATCCGCCTTCCCCGGAGGTGCATCTGCGATAACCCATTCACGGATCCTACAGCGTTTCCGTCTCTGATTATCCCGGATTTGCTCGGCTGACAAGTCTAGGAGCATCCGAGGTTGTCGCCCAAAATTTGGCGCAGATGTACCAGTCCGATCAAAGTCCGGAAGGTATGGTATAGTGTCACCTCCGAGTTTGAATTCTCGTCCGGCGTACTGTCTTGGTTGCTGCGGGACGTCATCCTCGACGCTATAATATGCCCCCTGGTAGATGACGTCGGGAAGTCCTACTTGCGACATGGTCGTCTTGACCTCGTCAAATTTCGGTGGGCGTGGTTGATATGTCAGGAGAAAACTATTCTTATTCGGTCTACGCAAGCCACTTGGTTCCAGACTAAATGGTTGAGCTGATTTGCTGCTTCTGCCTGTAGTGTGAGGGACGACCGTCTGCTTCGATGAAATCGGCATATCTTGGGCTGGATTTGTTGGCATGACAGCAGAGTTGTGCTGTCCATCTGAATTGGATTGGGGCGACTTTTGAGAGATATTACTTTTCTGGCTCACACGAAGAATTGTGTCTGGATCATGTGGGTTCTTGACAGCTGGAAAGTCCAATGTTGACTGTTGCGAGAGATTCGGCAAGTTTGCGGATTCTTGTGACGAGCCCTTCGACATGGAGGTTTGCTGACCGCTTGCCGGTAAGATGTTGTCTGTACCTTGCAGAGAGAGGTGCGTCTGAGCTGCAGATGGCGCCCGTCTTTTGCTATCATCGAGAGCGTTAATAGCAAAATCAGGATCTTCCTCAGAGCCAGAGAAACTGATATCTGGCAAGAGGTTCTCTTCGTCGACCAGCTGTTTCCTTCTCTTCCTCGGTTGAAATGTGGGTGCCCCGGCAAACCTAGCTCGCTTTTGATTCTTTGAAGGTGGAGGCTGCTGTGGTAGACGTTCCCCTGGAAAGTCGAAGACATCCTCACTCAGGAAAGCTGTATCCCCCGCTGGACGAATCCCGTATTGTTCATATTCCGCAGAGCTTATCGGCGAAGACACTTGGTCATGAGGAACACCGTTGTTGTTGGATGTACTAACAGTCGAGGATGATCCAAGATCAAGGTGTCCATTTTCTGTTGAGACCGCTTCCAGACTGGGAGTGGAACCATTTGCCTCTGCAACATCTTCTGCGCGTGATTCATCAACAAACACCTCATCGGCACGACTGTGGTCATCAGGATCCGGGATTTCCTGCTTAATGTGAGTTGTGATGGAACGATTAAGCTTGCCGGGGTACAAGTCTTCCACGCTTTCGAGGGCGGTCTGTACATCATATTCCATGGCCATAGGTTTAACAAACGTGTCAAAGGACACAGTTCTCTTATCACTGTTCTCGCGTTCTTCTACGACCAGGTGTCCCAGCTTCTCGCGGTATTCCTCTTCGTGGATCCAGCCTCCCGGGGATGAATTTCTTGGGTCTGCCGACATGGAAATCAACACCTCGGCGGGGAAAGGGCTGCTCCTGGGATCTTTCAGGCCCATCCTAAGCTTTCTCCGTCGGGTTTCATCCTTCCAAAGTCCCGCCATGCTTTGTACCAACTTCGCGTCGGCTGGAATTGGGTTCGATCGTTCGATGAAGTCGTGGTGGATCGGCCGGGCTTCGACGTTTCTTCGATTCAAGATGTTCTCGACATGGACATCGACCTCCAAGGCGCAGTGGCTTTGTTTTGCGAGCACACTGTCCGACACGTTCTCCCGCGGGATCGAATGGTCGTGCCACTGGTGGAAGGCGTTGGTCATGTCGAAGTAGTTTGGAATGGGTGCACGGAACTTGACTTTGTCGCACTCGATGTAGCCGCAACCGTATAGATTGTAGTCGCACATCCACTGAGCCAGGTATTGCATATGACTTTCGTAGGGTTGTAGCACTCTCTTCATGACTGCGCCCTCACGCAGCAAGTCGGCCAATCTTGTCATGTGCAGTGGGTTGAGCAAGTAGATTTTGAGGTAGTACTTGTAGCCGACATGGTAGCCGTAGAAGGGCACACCCTTGACCAGCGAGATATGCGCGACATATCGATGTTTTCCCTCGTAGATGTTCTTGCGATAACTGACGGCCAAGGCATGATCGATTGAGAGTTGCAGGGTGCGAATGGCCAGGTCGACATCCTGTCGGGCCAGGCTCCCAGTGTACTCGATGTATGTGTATTGAAGGGCGCCATGAATGTGCATCAAGACCTTTTGACCTGTTTCCGTCGCGCCGAAGACGCGAATGACAGAGATCCGTGGGCGATCTCTTGGGTTTGCGGCGGCGACATCTTGAGGGAGGGGAGGATCGAAGTGGCCGATTGGGACAGCTTGGTAGTGGTCTAGACAATTGAGGCGAACTCGAAAGGTGTCCATGGATGGACTTCAAAGATCATATTGGCGAGGAATGCAATGTTGTTGAGTTATACTCGAAACGCTGTGTATTGATACTTTGTTTTTCTTGAAGGCATTGAATTGTTGTTTTGGTTTGTTGACTGCGTTGCGCGACGCGGGTCGGAGATACAAGTCGCAGTTCGTAATGACATCAACTGTCAGAGCCTTGACCTCGCTGCCACCCCAGAGACAACAAAACCAAATTGTCGATTGCACTTATGAGAATATCGTTATCACTGAATAGAATGTGATAAATCAACGAAAGCGTATCTATTCAAACGTTCTCCTAGTCGACACCACCTATGAAATCAATCGTTTCAATATGCCATTGGCTAAGATAGTTGACGCGATAGCAAGCAACAAAGCATTCTTTCTGGGTGTTACGTTTCGCTCCACACAGGGTGTCACAAGACGTATGGTCTCGATAGGCGGGAAGTATAAGAGGCGAGGTCACTGAGAGCGCGGTACTTGAGCGAGTACAAGAGCGAAGTGATCACAACCAAAACGTATGGGTATGATCGTGAACGAAGTTGACTACGTGGTAAAGCTATGTAACGACCGTGTATATATAACCGTTCAACCTTTTTGGGCTCTCTCCGGCTCCAAGGGCTCTGTAGTGGGAGCCAGGAGAGCTGACAGAGCCCGCAGCCCCCTGGGCTCTGTGGCCTCGTTTCTCAGGGTTCTGAGAGCCACTCCTGCCACGTGACCACGCCCTTAGGCTTTCACGTGTTTCGGACGTATTAACGCCGACCGGCTGTCGTCACAGCTTTGTCTGCGGCCTCATAAGAGGCCTGATTCGTAACACTGGGCTCCACATTCATTAAGCATGAGAACGACTCTGGTCATCAATGGGTATCAGAAAGCCTCTGGGAGGTACCTCGAACAATGTCATATCACATCACCGAGGATGATCCTCACAGACTCCGCCTATAGTCTAAAGAATGCAATCGAAATGACCTTTTCACAGGCGTCCTATTCTCTCCGTCCCTCCGCGGCATCGGTTTTGACATCGATGACGGACGGGTATCGACAGGGCCCGAGCGAAAGGACGCCGCGATATAACAGATCACTCAAGAGGCAAGGAGATGATCAAATGAGACATCAGTCGCGTCAGGTGAACAGCCAACCAGACGCCCGCGGGACGAGGACCAGATACCCTCATAACCCAGGGACCGTCACCTTCCGACTAGAACTAGATGCCAGGTCGAAACAATTCCCATAGAAAGTAGGCGGTGATTCTCTCCGACTGACATCGCGACGGCATCACTTGCATCCATCCTAGCATCATAGGCGCATTGCATTGAAATGGACGGGTTGTATGATATTTGAGCCCCCTAGGTGGGCGGTGCAGTATTTCCTATTAAGGAAGGTTACCCGCAAGTTGGCCGTCCCACCAGTATCTATGTACTGCAAATGAGACTCTCTTTGAGATAAAGCAGCTCCACACTCCTCCCCCTTACCCCGTACTCCGACTTTCGCAGAGTATGAGTGAGAACTGAAGTACTTCCCTTTGCAAGCGGGATTGTTGAGTTGTTAAATTGCTGAATTGCTAAACTCCACGTTGCTCATTGAAATAAAGAGCGGAAACACACCCTGTGGTAGACGAGTGCTCTCTTCTCTCCCAGAAACCCCAACACCCGACGGAGCACGGACTACCCCTTATCAGTACTGTGACTCCTCTGGCCGGACTACCCGAGACCTATGTCCTCCATGGGTGCGCATTGGATTGCGTCGTTGCACTGTCAGAGCTCCTCGGTAAGGATAAGGAGGCCGCTGTGGGAATCGCTCGGTTCGAATTGGATCTTCGTGAGGTTGAAGAATCACTGGCGATAGAAATGGATCTTCCAGAGGTTGTTGATGAATCAAATCCGGCGATGAAAATGGAGCCGGATGAGGAGGCTGCTGTGGGAATCGCTCGGGTTGAAATGGATATCCCAGAGGCTGAGGTTGACTAAACAAAGGATCTGGGTAAGGACGCTGCGGTGGGAATTGCTCAGCTTCTAAAGGCTGTAGTGGAAACTGCTCAGCAAGAAGACCCTGCGATGGAAACTGCTCATATCGCGCAGCAGGAACGTCCTGAGATGCATTGTCAAATGGCCTAAGAAGAACATCGAGGGGGACAGGACGAGCATGATGAATGCGATGACGACGTTGTTGCTCCGTCGGTGGCCCTGTTGGCTGCGGCTCATGTTGATTGATGGGTGCTGGTTGCTGCTGCATCGCGGGCATAGTTCCAAGGCTCTTGGGAACCGGGTTCCATTTGAGGCCCGTCTGTTCCTGGTAAAGATTCTTTTTCTCTCTCAACAGGCGGGCTTGGAGGTAGTTCCATGGTCTTGAGGGTGCACCTTGGTTTCGAGCGTCGACCGGAAGGTGATCAAATATTTGTTTGGCCTTCCAGCCTTCGGACTCGAACAGACGCAGCCCCGTGCCCCAGACGTGGTTCGGGTAACCGCGGCAAATCTCTGCCAGCGTCAACCCAGGAGGTATTGGCATCGTGGATGATGGGTATTTGCTCCAGGCATCACGACCCTTTCTGCCCTCTTGCACAAGAAGGTACCATCTTGTACGAGGAGTCTCCTCCACCCCAAAGAGTGCCATCAAATTGCTTCCAGCGTCAGCCCCCGTGCCAATCACGACAGGTTGGAAGGAGATCGGGTGGTCGAGCGGCAGCCTGATGTGGCGATTTGATCGGGTGAACTCTGGGAGAGCATCACTTGCGTTGAGAGGTTGGCCGGCTGGCGGTTGCTGTTGGAAAGGTGGGATGTGTGAGGCGGTGGCAATGCCTTGGTCGACTGGTTGCACGACGTCCAAATCTCCGTCGTATCCCGTCATATCCATGAAATCGAGCATGTCATCGTTCTCATCTGAAATTGGATCAGATGCGCCTTGAGCGTCGGGAGGAGGCCAGGTGAAGAAGCTATAGTTGCTCTCCATGGTGATGGTTCATGAGAGAATTCTCAAAGACTGCCAGAGAGAACGGCTTGCCAACTATTTATCGAGTGATGAGGGTAAGATGAACCGATCTGTGAGTGCAATTTGAAACTGTGCAGGAGAAGGTACAAGTCACTGCTGAATGACTCGTGCCAAGCGGAAGGTGGTGGTGTATGGTGCAGTGTATGCAGGAGTGAAGTCGTAGCCCTCACCAACACGTTACTGCTCGTGCTGAAATGGCATGCATGTCAAGTCAAAAGGCATAGTCCTCGAGAAGAGAGGATCTGCTTTTATGTTGACTAGCACCGCCACTTGACAAACTGCACCGGAATGACGGACAATTGTCTCAGGTTGTCACTCTCGCTCGCCAAACAGAAGCCTGTTGATGGCAACAGCAGACGGACTAAGAGGGCTTTGTAGTCCATCTACTTACAGCAGGACGCAATCGTTCTTTCCGTTGCAGTCACTATTGCGGACATCCCCCAATATCTACGACCAACAACCACAGCGCCGCACTTACCCACAGTTTCCCATATCTTAGTACGTTGGGCTCATGCGACGGGATCAATGGTACAAGAACGTGTACCGATATTGAGTCTTCACTGAGACAATATTATTTATGCCGCGAGTGAGTGAGTGTGTCATTGCTGGCGGAATATGACAATGCTGTGACCACACTTGTCGTCCTGGAACCCCCATCAGGCAAAGTGGCGCAGACACCCTTGCACAGGGGTGCTGTTGCTTCACCTGTCCTCATGTGTTCAGCAGATCACGTTCTGGCCCCGAGAGACACCTGTTTTCAGTGTGTCCTGATCCATGCATACCCTTCCAAAGATCTGCAATGGTAGAAAAAACACTTCACTTTTGGTCAGTTCTGATTGATGCGTTGCCACTCGCATGTGCGTGCTAGGGTAGACAGATACATCTAAATGAGGACGTGTCTTCAAAGTCAGCGCATTGCAGGTCGACAGGGTTACAAGCGCAGTTAACGTTCTCCCGTGCGGTCGTCCAAATAGGATGCAGAGTCTTAGCTGGACATGCCATGTGGATGACTTGTTTTTGGGAAAAGCTTCATTGTTTGGACTCACTCGTGCACATAGATATACTCTTCCCGTGGTGTGATTCTCAAACAATGTGTGAGTCCTTTTGGAAACTTGAATGATGGTGCCGCTGCCCGAGAGAGATCACTGTATTCCGTTCACGGATGAAGAAGATACCTAGGTAGATGAGCTCTGTCGCAATGCCAGGCTATGACTTTGAAGATGTTCAGAAGGCAGAAAGGGTTCACAAGAAATGATACAATGGTAGGTTTCAAAACTGTCACTCCATGATATGGAACAATAGAACATCAAGCACATCCTTCAGTCCTTCAGCCGGATTGAGATGTTTGTTTTTCTTTTTGTGAGCACTGTGGACAGATTCTTCTTCGAAGATCCATCGAAGACCGTCAATCAGCAGAAAGAGAAAGCAAATACTTCTCACCCTCCGTCGTCAATATGTTGTCCCCTTGCGTTGCCTTGTCTTGCGTCTGTTGAGATAGCGCCGAGACAACACCAACAACCCCAACACCAACTTGCCAGCACAACATTTGACAAAACTCAAACTCGAACAGTTCTCTCTGATTCCTGAAGCTTGAAAGAATCATTTCTGACTTACATGTTCTTGGGAGTGGGCCCCGATCTCATATGATATACCCCTAGACCCACAATTAACATCCCTTCGATACCCTTCCCGCGTGGCCGATGTCGTTCATGGCTCGTTTCTTACCGACTGAAAAGTTGAAATCTTAGCTTTCTTTTCGGGGACAAAGTTGGTCATATCTCGTTATGGAGTGCTCGACTATCTGGACCATTAGGGCAAACAAAAGTCAACCTAAGGATAATGTCACTTCTTCGAAAACGTACAGAACACGCCGATCTGTCCACCTCCTCGTGCTTCCCATTCTTCATTCGCGTCCTCCAACGCCACCTTGGACGAAAAATTCGCTGGCAATTTGTGTTCGTCTCCAAGGTCAAAGGAAAAACAAGCCGAGCCAGAAGACCTATCGCACGAGTTCAACATCTCAGATACCAAAATTTCCGTCACGACAATTCATCCTTTACCTTTGCCATGCTTCTCCTGATATGGTCCTTCCTTCACATCGTCTCGAGACCGGAAATCACACAGGCTCAGTGTCAAAAGGGATTCCTAGTTCCTTCACGGATCTCGGACCAAAACTTGCAACCATTCCGGGTCCGTCTCAAGGATCGCCACCCCGTCGACGAGGATGGGTGTGATTTCGATGGTCTGACCACTTCGTCCATCGAAGTCATCGAAAAATTCCATACCTCGTGGCTGTATGGTCTCGGTGGGGGCCATCATGACGAAACTCCCAGTCATGGTGCCGTCGACATCGGTCGCCCACATGTCCGGAGTGATCTCGGTCCAGTCCTGGACCGGCTCTGATCTGAAGTGCTCCGCATGCGCCATTTCGATGAGCTGACTCGGCCATAACCTGTATTCCACAAATGTCAGCTCAACAGGGCCAGCTCTATCCTTGGGGGGGAGGGTGGAGGGACTGGATGGTTGGATCGACTTACCCGCAAAAGTGTCCAGTCTGTGCCACGCAAGGTGCATGGGAGGTTGCTTGACGGGTCAAGCTGGGTTCTGCAGGAACCTCCGGCGGGTAGTTGGAGGCCGTCCTTCCTTGGACGGTTGCTGCCTGATGACCAGCCGGAGCAGCCCTGTCGACGTTGTACAGATCGCCTCGCTCAGCGTTGACCTCGAATATCGCAGCTTTAGAGGCCATCGCCGCGGCCAGTTGCTCCGACACGCTCCAGTCCGGCGCAATGGCCTGCTGGTGCTGGTGCTGTTCGACCGTGTTGTTGCCCCGGCTGTGAGTAATGCCTTTGCCCGGCGAAAGGGCAGGGATCTCACCAACGGCGTTCCAGACGTGATCGATGACGTGGAACACGAGTCCATAGTGATGGCTTTCAGGGTTGACCCAATGGCAATTGCCGACGTGGTGGGCGTGATGCTTCAGGATCTCCGAGACGGTCTGACGCTCCTCCATTATCTCGCTCGTGGCATGCTTGCGCTCCGAGACCCACTGATTGATCCTGGGGTCGGAGGAGGCACCATTGTCAGCAATGTCAACGACCGCTGGTGATTGGTGATTGTTCGTGTTGTGCTGCTGTAAGGCACTAGAATCTGTCGCCGCCGCCCTCCGCTCCATGACCGCATCAATCTTCTTCTCAACCCAAAGCAAGTACGCCGCGCAGGTCCAGATGGCTTTGTGCTTGAAAAAGGTCTCGGTCGCGGCGTTGACGGGAATGCTGAGCATGGAAAGCGCCCAACGGCGGCGCTGCTCCTTGCTGTACGCAGAACAGAATGGATCGGCTTTGATGATGGTCTCGCAGTAGGAGATCTGCTCCATGAAGCGAAGGCCCATGAACTTTGTGAAGATGTCTAGCTCTGGGTCAGGCTCAGCGAGCTTGTCCAAGGTGGCGGCACCGCCATCAACAGCCTCATCAGGCGCCGGAAAAGCAGACTGGGCGAGCTCGTCAATGGTCTCCATGGTCCTGTACCGGTCGCGAAGTCTCGGGGACTGTCTGGTTCCGGTAGGGGACTGCCATTTTTGCAACCCGAGGTCCGGCAGGAACCTTTGCTGCATCGTCGACTTGCCGTACTTTTCGCTGCCGTCCTTCATGGCCGGTCGAAGCTTTGGGGCTTGCATAAGAGCTCTGTACTTGTCCATGCTCATCCGGCGCACTTGGGCCGCCATTCGCTTGAACAGGAAGTTGTTTTTGTTGCACGCAGTACGGGCCTTTGCCACGCCGTGGGAACGAAACTCTGCTTTGGCATGTTCCGTGATGTGCTTCCATATGTCGTTGGCCGACCAGCGCCACTGGATGAAGGCCTCCAGATAACTGCCGCGGATGTGGTTGGGGTATCTCTCGCAGATTTCCTGCAGGGAGGCGTGGACGGGAATGGGATCGTCGAATCTGGGATACGACGTCAGCTCCGCCCATACCAGTGGTTCGTTGTCATCTCTTCTGTTGTACCAGTACAGTCCCCATCTATACTCTTGCGGACCTCGTGGTCCCCACTGCCGGGTCGGTCTATCGACCTCGATGCTGCTGCTTGACGCATCGGCCTGATCGTTGTTTGTTGACATCCTCTTTGGTAAGCAGGGCTTGTGTGGAGACAAAGATGGCTGACGATATGCTCATACTAAGGGGGAGATCGCAGTCTGGATCGCGGCCTCGTCAATGGACACTTCCGAGGCAAGCGAATGGTCAGATAATTCCAGGACCAGTTACGTCCGGATTTGCGGTTGTCCTAGGAACGAGTGAGCAAGGAGAGCCTGGTTCTGCAGATGACTTGGTTTTTGAAGTCTGAGACTTGCGGTTGAATGTGCTGCTTCACGTTGAATACTGCACTTCGAGTCAGCTTGCCTTTGGAGTTCAAAACGATTGGAGTCACTATTGATTGCTTCAGAATTGCAGCTTGATTGCAAGTTAGCTCAAAAATCCGCCTTTGGACTCTAATGCTTGCTGCTTGGAATCCGAAGGGCTGATTCGTTGCGGAAGTTCGAGCTCAAGTCGTTTCAACTGCCTTTGGAGTTTCGAATCAAAAGCATCAGGGTCCAGAGACGGGTTTTTCGATATTGTGGGCTTTTCAAAAGTTCACGAGCTGCTTCAGGCTGGTGTTGAGGCTTCGAGTCCGAGAGGATATCCGCGACAACGGGGCTTGCGCCAAGCGAGCATTTGATAGTTTACCAGCTGGCGCAACTGTTCTACCAAATGCCCCAATTTGATAATTCCTGGATAAAGAGTCAGCTCAAAGTCCAAGTCGTCAAGGCTCAGGTGAAGAAATACCTCGGAGCGGTAGCAAAAGCAAAACCTGCACGAAATTCAGCTCTCTTGGCCCTTGAGATCTATTCCTGGCTATTTTGGCTGTTAGGATAAGGAGATGTCTTTGAATCTCCAGGGGACTTGCAACGTGGTCAATGACAGAGAACAGACAATGTCGGAAATCGAGATAGCCTTGACTTGGCGCAATAGTTCCCCAATGTGGCCAATGACAGAAAAAGACAACGTTAGGTGTACTGTGACTATACCTTCTGAATGCAGAAGATGGTTGTCAAGGGACAGCTGACTTGGTACCTCTACCAAACGCCTGTGCGTGTGTTATGGCTCGATGACGAAATGACACCTTGCAGATTGATCTGGTATCAGTATAGTGAGCTGACCGATGGCACCCACGAGACACGTTGAAGATATCAAGAGGGCGAGTCACGTTGGGCTTGGTGCCTGGAGCTGGTGTCTGTGTGGTGAGCTCAACAATGAAGCGACGCAGTGGAAATATGACGATGATGGCAATGGTGTTGTTGATGATGAGGATGACGATGATGGCAACCAAGTCCCAATGGGCTAGGTGCCTTTGATCAGGTGTGAGAGTCGAGTGTCCGTGTCAGGTAGGACGTGTGGCGTCTGAGATATATTGATTGTCTTGGATGAGGTCTTGGGTGATGAGAAAAAGAGAACATGGGCTGTTGCGATGAGTGGTCAATGTTAGAAGTGTACGAAAAGATGATGAAGAAAAGAAAAATACTTTGGGATGTTGAAGCCGACTTTATACCTCTCAAGATCTCATATCCTTGGGTTGCTTTCCTGGTTAGTCAAGGTCCTCCATCAGACCAGACATGAACTTTCCCCTTTCACACAAGCGGAACTCGAAGCTCTAAGCTCTCATCACATTTCTGCCTTGGTCGATAAAGGGATCGCCGGGTCACCCCCACCTAGCTATTGAATGTTAGCTCTGGTTCGAATGATGCCTCGGTCCAGAAGGGGAAAGGACTGAAGACTTCCATCAACATCCATTCCTTATCACCCCGCCGGCATACTATGATGTATAACTTTCATTGGCCTCGAATACATGGTGACGGCCTCAGTGATGGCCTTCTCAGGTCACAATCGACGTACTTGGGGCCAAAGGATGGTGACAAGGGAGCTGCCATCCTCAATGCATCCATGCATGAACAGAACAGAAGAGCAGAGAGACAAGTTCTCCTCCTTCTCCTCCTCCTCCTCCTCCTCGTTGACCATCATGCGACCGCCACACTTGCCGATCCGCAACTTGGATCAGATGAGCTGCCGTTACTCTCACCATCTAACCCGAGAGATCTCCGAAGGTGGTGGTATGAACTTTGTGACGGGGAAGAGAGCCAGTTATCATGTCGACAACGTCCGTTGACCTCAATGTGGCCGCCTCCGTTCTCAACTAGTAACTGGATCAGACAATCACGTCGTCATGGTCGTATGCCCAGGCCTCGTCCTTCATCCGTTCCCCAAAGGGGCCAGTTGTGCGTGCGGCATCACCTCGAGAACCCGCATGTTCACGAGCACCATGTACGAAAAGCAAAAGCATATCACCATCCTTTGGCCACCAGGTTGCAGAATTTGGCGTCGTTGTCAGCAATCAACTCGAGTTTAGACATTGTTACATCGCCACCCGACCAGTCACAGGTCAACCTCGCCCCAATCAATAGTCGGCGCTGGCCGCATATGGGACAAGGGAGCCTCGTGCCGCATGGTCGACCACTATTGCGGCCGTCGGTGCGGCACAGTGACTAACGAAATATCGGTCCGAACATGGCATGGTCCTGGGTCGATAGTTCTGTACTCGACCACCTCAACGATCCCTCCACGACATCGACACCATCATCGAGCCGATGGCACGTACAGAAGAGAGTCGGCGCAATGATTGATTGTCCGGCCGTTGTCGTGGCCGTCCACACTCCAGATAGGCTATACTGGCCACACATCACAGCACGACACCACCACCCAAGTTCGTTATTCCCAGAGCAAGGACTTGTAACCGAGCTTCCTTCACGACGCCTCCTCGACACCATCAACCGGACGGAAATGAGAGCCATTGCCACATACACATGCATGCACACGCACACACACACACACACAAGTGTATTCTGCGGAACAAGCAGAAGGAATGTCTGCGGCATACCCTGCCTTTCACCACCATCACCATGGTCGATGTCCATGCGGCCATATCCCACCCCCCATTTCGAGAATTGGCCATCCAGGAGAAGAAGCGTAGGGGCTAAATCATTGTTCATCACACATCGACCTTTGCAAAGGCCGTCGAACTCCTTTTTCCCCATTACCTCTCCGAGGCGCTTTTCCTCTTCTCTTCATGCGGCCACTGTGGCCAATATCACATACGACAACCGGGGGAAGGCGGTCTAGCTAGACCCCAACGGGTTCCGAACATGGGGCGGCTTTTGTGTGGCACCTTTGGAAGCTGTGCATGATGCCATCCAAAAAGTCGTGGACCTCCCATGCGAGCCCAGCGCCACCGCCCATCCCGTCACTCATCCGCCTAGTCGACTCTCGGAAGGAGAACGGCATTGCAGTTGAAGGACCTTGCGGCCTAACTGACTCGTACTCTCCCCACGCACGCGCAAAAACGCCCCGAAGCAAAATTGTCGCCGACCGCTCATGTGACCACCCCATTCACACCATCTCAGCCCGTCGGTCCAAATTGACGCCGTCACACTGGAAGAGTGCAGGTTTATGGGGGCCTTACTCTTTCCACCCTCTCCCCCAACGCAAAGGGCAAAAGGGGACGGTGGGCAAAAAAAGGGGAATCGCCGGTAGGGGACCGGGCCTGCCCGCGCGGGGCACATCGATCAAGGTTGGATGAGTCTATTGTGGTTGGAGTGTTGGTGTGTGTCCCGCGATCGATCGTCTTCGCTCTTCCTTTTCGGTCTCGGGATAGGTATGTGCGTGCGTGTGTGTGTGTGTGCTTGTGCCTGTGCCTGTGCACATTGGACTTTTGGCCCCCTACTCGTAGGAAAAAGAACCCCAATCATCAAAAAGAAAGTCGTCTCTACGCGCCCTTGGGCATTAAAAGGGAGGGCGCTTCCTCGACGTTGGTCAAACGTCCGCTCGATTCAAGCTTAGCGGCCCTACCCCTGTCAAATACCTGGCCTAGGCGAACGAATCATCTTCGCGTTGGTACTAACGGTGGCGGTAGTCTCCGTGTGTGGCTCAGCACACTCAACAGCAGACGACGGAGAAAAGAATGCACAAACTGGCATCTCTGCACCAACCTCATCCCTTTGCAGCAACTACACATCTGTCCGGGCTTATACGGAGTACCAACCAGCTATACGAAAAGTACCAAGTGCGCCACCATCAACCGGATGTGCATAATTGTTGGCTTCGAATGTCTTCCTTTGAGATTGGTCGGGTTTCCTATCTAGCCTGAGAGAAGGCCTGGCTCTCTGTTGAGAGCTTGAGTAAACCCACAATACCCTGCCACCAGCTCGTCTTCAATTTGCTCTTTGAATCATTGTCCCTGTATCCGCCCGTCGGCTCAAGCTAACCCTCTCAAAACGTTCCGCCCACCGGCAATGTTTCCGAATCTTCTTCGGATCACCCCGCCCTCACTCCTTCTTGATAGGCTTCTTAGGCGCCCTCGGGTTGAGATCCAGGTTCCCGGGGTTACTCTTGCCAAAGTACTCCGTGCCATTGTTGAAGCAGCGGACCATCTTGGGCGCGTGCAGCAGGCTGGTCAATGATGGAATTCCCATTTTCCTCCATCGACTGATCAGCCTCTTGTGGAGGGCATTGGCACCTTGACCGGGGAACACTTGATTCCACGCCTGGCAGACCTCGGGAGAAAAGCTCTTGTAGATGTCACCCCCGGTCCAGAAGTACTGCGTGAACGCATCCAACACACTTGGAACCAGGGTGTGATTGGGGTACTTGGTGACAATGAGCTCCAAGGTCCAGTCTGCTGGCAACGGGTCCTTGCTGGACGGGAACCCGGGTAGCTCTCTCGAGTTGCCAGGCGCCTCAAGACGTTGTCTCTTTGCGGCAGTTGTCTCTTCTGTGTTGGCCACCGGGGGGTTCAGACCCTCAATCTCGTCGTCATCGTTGCCCTTTCTCTTTTGAAGGTTCACTCCTCTAGTGACACCTCGCTCCGCGGCAGGAGCGCGAGGCAGGTTTCCGCCGACGTTGGTGATATCGTTCCGTCGGCCAACGTTTATGGCTTGCCATGTATTGAGATATCCATTGATACGATGATTGGCGTTTGAGATGGCAGGAGCCTGACTGACATTGCGGCTACGTGTTGCTGGATCAACTTGACGAGAAGAAGGAACCTGATCGTATCTAGATGACCGACTGTTTGCCACAGGTGTCCCCATGGTGTTGAAGGGTGCTTGCGGTAGTTGTGCGAGGAAATCCCCGTTGGCCTCTGTCTGAGCATCATGGTCGGACGTATTGTTTGAGACACCGGGTCCCACGGGTGGACTTTGTGGGATAGGCATGTTGCTGACACCTATTACAGGAATGGTATGGCCTTGATGATCTTGATTGTTTTGCACAATCGACAGTCTTCCCTGTTGTGTAGGCATTTGAACAAGCTCGCAGTGACCTAGAAGATCACGATTTCTTCGGCTCATGGATGATGTTTGTGGTACGGACATGTTCCTTACACCTCTTTCGGAAATGAATCGATAGCCTTGATGGTCTTGATTGCTTTGTCCCATCCGCAATCTTTGTGGTTCACGCAGAATGTTGCTTGTGGGTCGAGTGACAGGATTGGCAAGACCAGAGGAGGAGCTACGTCGGTCATGGTTGAGTAAGTCGTCAAAGGATGGATAAGGGGGAAGCCCAAACTTTCTCGTCACGGCTATCACACGCACAATCTGAAGTCAGCGACCAGAGCCCCAGGTGAGAGAGGGGGGCTTGATCAGCACACTTACCGTGATCGATCTGATTTAGGGCGTTGATGTTGTTCGAGACGAACTCGATGAAGGCCGAATCATCGTTGGAACCTGCCATGTTGAAACTGAATTTGAAAATGAACCTGGAGTGTCCTTGAGCCTCTCCGATGGTGTTGCAAAGGTAAATGAGGGTTTGTGGTGGGTGACTCGTAATCGAAGATGTGGATAGGACGCAGAATGATACCGAAATGCCTCTGAGGATTAGGGGGGTGTGATTGATGTTATCAGAGGGGTGGACAGGGATCAGAAGGATACCTGAATGTCAAGGTAAGTAGTATGAATGGTGTTTCGAAGTCTTGGAGACCAAGAACGAAGCCAAAAGCTGTGTTGGGAAGCGGTTGCTTGAACGTGGCAGACTGGCAAATTGATCTCGCAGGTTGTTGATGACGGTGAAGATGTATGTTGTGACGATATCAAAATACAGGGAGTGCAGAGATGTTGGTTAGGAGCCATCTGGGGAAGTCAGGGTATTCACTGGTCTTCCAGACCAGCGAGGCTGAGCACTTGATACCTCACACTATCTAGGTGCTTAAAGGGCTGAATTACCAGGCAGGGATTGAACAACCAGGTTCTACTACTGCATATGCCTACAAGATTCACGACCGAGACACTCACAGGCCAAGGGCGACTGAAGCAAACCACCTTTGATGATGATTTCGTGGCAACGCTGATACCTTTGCAGCATGTTTCGGCTCGAACAAAAGATAATCCTCGAACGATTGATCCTCCTCCTTTCTCTGCCTTCACGGGAACCTCCCTTTGTCGAGCCGAAACAAAGCGTCTGGAAACATTGTCTTTTTCCCCTTCCTTTTGTCTAGTTGAAACAAAGACTCTCGATCCCACAGATGTGATGCTGTGCCGGTTGCTGATTGACAAAACCCCTGACACCGAAAACGCCCTACCTCTACGGCACCCATACATCTTCCGCACCGAGACCATCCACAGGGCGATAGCGTCGTGCTTGGAGTCGAACGTGCTGTATCAAGTGGAACAACATCAGGAACCGCTGCGAGCACTTCTGCACGAACACGTACAGGAACTGCGGCGGGGAGTCATAATTTTGAAGCTAAACCTGAAAATCCACGACCCTGAACAGCGACTCGTCCCGCTTCGAGTATACGAACAACGTTGGGAGCGTCCCCTTTGAACGTGCACATGCGGCTCAAGTTGTTGTAATCGGGCGTGTGCCAGACCATATATCACACTGGGACTCGACTTCAACAAACCACGACGATGACGACATGAACCAAGTTCATGAAAACACATGGTCAGGAAGAAAGATTGACCTCTTGGATATGGTCGAGAACTGTACCCGCGGACGCAAACCTGTACAGGGATTTGGTAGATGTCACGAAGAACCCAGGGAGAAAGAGGTCCGATTCGGTAGTTAGATCATGTCAATTGCAGAGTAGATGATGGTGACCACCGGGTGATGACGAGAAATACTATATGCCACATAATAGGCTCTCTGTAGTAATTCTGGTTATTCGACACAAAGCCGAGGTCATGACTACCGATGCTCGCTCGAGTCCTTCTTCATATTTGTAGATCCATGTTGTAAAAGTAATCTATACGAGGTCTCCTGGCGCTGCCTAAACTCTCGGCCTCGAGGACGATTAGTGCTAGCACTGTCGAGCCCATTTTGACCGCTAAGGTTGATGTAGCCACCACTTGTCTACCACATCCGTCACGTTGATTCCTTCCCATGTCGTCGACCAGGGTCGGCGCGCCAGTGTCACCAGGAGATGACTCCTCAATAGGCGGAGACGCGAGAGCGAGATTGAGCAACGCCTCAGCCTCACAATCTCGCTGAGTACTTGACAGAGATAGACATCTTCAGGGTGTTGTAGTTGTTCTTTGAGCCTCACATAGGTAGGAAAGAGGCAATCGATCTCAGGTATAGAACCTACCGTCAAAAAAGCATCTCTCCGTGTTGACCACCATGGAATCAACATCAATACCCTCGGTTGACTCATCTCGATCCCCGTCTTCCTTCACGCTCCAATCAATCCCGATATCCCGCCACGTACCTAAAAAACACAGATGAGGCGGAGGCGAAGTTTCAAGAGTCATCTCCTGCTAACACTGCGGTAGGCATTGTGGGTCCTCGGTGTGTGCCGCTGTTCTCGCCTCCTCCTCTTTCGTGTATGCCGGTCAGGTTGGTGGGCATGTGTGATGATTCTCACGGTCAAAAGAAGTGCGACTTCTCGGCCCTGGTCATGGACATATGTACAAGGGCCCTCGTTATCATCACAGTCAAGGTTCATGTCGTCGTTTGATCCAGAGAACCACCTACCTTCCGCGTGTCCAGACGCGTCTCCGTTGACATCGATGGTCCAACAGTCGTCTGATCGATCAAAGCTCTCGGATGCGGATTGCGGGCACAGTCCACGAAGACCCTGCAAGGAGTTGCCATCGATCATGAAGACGGCTTTTTGGACACCCCTACCGCTGGCAGCACGGAACTGCTCAAACTGCTGAATTGCCACATGTAATAACACAGAATACAGCAAAGTTATCTGCGACCTTGGGATTGCCTTACCTAGTACTCCATAAGTATAGTATCTACCATCCTAGACGGGTTACAACAAGATTACTACGAGTTACTTGTATCTCTTGGGATGGGCGATAGGTATTACGCCCATGGCTGAACTTCCTAGTGAGGCAACTCCTCCGTAAGCCCAAGGCCATAAGTCATGTGACACCGCACCCTATGGGCTTTCATGCCTATAAGCCTCCTTGATACAGTATCAACTAAGCTTTTAGGCCTAAACAGTTAGGTCTCAGCTTTTCCCTTATAGGCGATTACCCTACTCCGTATAAGACAACCTAATATTTTGTCAAATCGCGCAACGTGAACTAATCATTTTCATCGCGACAACTGGCCCTATATGCAAAAAACCATACAGCTAGAAGCTCGTCCCCATCTAATTTACTAGAACTCTATTTTTCGTCGGTATCATCATAGGGTATGGGCTCCTACATCAAAAGGATCACAGAGAATAGGCCACATGGGTGGCTAAGATGGGCAGAGTTGGGGCCCTGGGCATACCCCAGAGTACTCGGGGTACTTGCCTAAATAAACGCAGAGGTGGTTGGGCGTGATACCTGTCGCCCTTGGGATGAACTCGCGATTTGGCTCACTGGAAAACTGCGCCCTCGACATCCCGGCTGACGACGGCATTTCATGTTTGATGGAAACACACCACCTCCCTCTGGATCGTAGCCCATCTTCCAACGTTGCCAAAACTCCCTCGACGGGTGCGCCCTCACCGGCCTCTATCAACGACACCTACCTACGTCGTCTCCTGGTCCTGCTCGCCGTCCGCCTTCTCCGGCTCTCCCAGAAGCGCTCCGTCCTCCGACTTTATCCCTGGCTTTGCATCAAATATGGCGAATCTCGGGAGCTCTCAGAGGCACGGACCCTTCAGTTTGTCCGACAACATACGTCGATCCCAACTCCGAAGGTGTACTGCGCTTTCGAACGGAAAGGAATCACGTACATTGTAATGAAGAGACTCCGCGGGAGAAGCCTCGCGGTCAGCTGGAAGAACTTATCGGATTCGTCCAGGGGAAAGATCCTGCACCGTCTACGAGAGTTGGTGCTCGAAATGCGATCCGTCCCAGCTCCGGGCAATGAAATAGCTGGTGTAGACGGAGGAACACTATGGGACTGCAGGTTACCGTGCGGACTGGAGCGTTTTGGTCCATTCGCCGACAACGATGATTTCCACCGATTCCTTCGGAACGGCGTCGACGAGGCCCCACCTGGATACCCAGATATCACAGAAATGATCCAACTGCAAAAGCAGGAATGGGGTTCGCCCGTTTTAACTCATGGTGACTTGAGCAGCTTGAACATCATGGTACATAAAGGGGACATAACAGGTATCATTGATTGGGAAACATCTGGTTGGTGGCCACCCTACTGGGAGTATACAACTGCGCACCAAGTCAATCCAAGGAACATGTTTTGGGCCGAACATATTGACCAATTCTTGGACCCTTGGCCTGAAGCTCTCAAAATGGAGAAGATTAGGCAGAGATGGTGGGGAGATTTCTGAACGCCATGTCCTTCTCAACCTGCTCTCCATCTTAGACAATTATCTCCTTCCGCACCAGAAGGTCATACGTTGGGGCTCTGTCCGGATCAAATTTCGCAGATGAAAAGCGGCCGTCCGCTTTCTTTTGGTTACAGTAGTCCATGGCAGTTTTGCGAATAGTATCCCACACAAGGACACATGTTCCGAGAGCCTTTTTGTCCTTGCTGACACGTTCTAGGGCTTCCTTCAGCCAGAAAACGCAATTCCAACCGTCCGTGCCGTCCCTCACAGGGGTTTGGCGCAAGATCGCATCAAGTCGAGCTGAATCGTCAACCTTGCCAATCAAAACCCGCACCAGGAGCATGCTTGTTGGCCGTAGTGATACGGATTTTTTCTCAAACTCCCAACGTACGCAGTCCGAAGTGACCTTTTCTTTTGCATGGTATCGTACACCTTTTTTCTCTCGTGTTTCGACCTTGGGGCCTACCATCAAAGCCCAGTGATAGCTGTACTTGGTACGGAGTAATTACTCAACAATCTCTCAGAAATTTACCAAAATATTTGGACTGCACTTACGTGTCTTCAAGCCCTTGCATTTTAGGCTGACCTCCTCTCGCAAACAGACAAACATATAATCGGTCTTTATTAGACATGACTGTTTCGATCACGTCGATTGCCCTCTACTATCAGTGAAATATCTTCAATGGTGGGTTGTAGGTAAAGAGTTCGTTGGGAGAAGTCGTTTGCACAGTGTAGGTCATGCTACAATGGCAGAAGGACCGAAGGGCTTATCCTTAAGAGGGCTGCTGACGCCTGATGTGTTGTTCCAAACTTGCCCGGATAGTGGCTCTAATACGGTTTACCGTAAGAATGTTTGACAGAACAGAAGATCTGAGAATGGGGGCGCACTCCCCAAAAGGCAGGTGTCCTTTTGTAGAGAAGGGTCAACGCTGATGCAGGTCGGCCAAAGTGGTGGCCCAGATACTGTACAACGCAATGCGAGAGCACATGATCATTTTGAGAGAAGTGGTTCTCGTCTTTTTGCTTGATTTTAATTGTAGGATAAATATGGGATTACGTCACAGTGTTTATCTCGTGTGTGTCATCGTTGACACTCTCTTCGGCTCTGAAAAGTCAAGTCGAATTCCTAACGCTCGAGGAAACCAGAAGAAAAGAAACGAGGCTTGATTAAATATGCTGCAGTTACCAAGTATTTTTTTCATATCCGGATCTTCCAAATCGTGAGAGTTCCATTGCGATTCGAGAGTAACCAAGTGCCTACTTTAGAAGTCAGAGGGGCTACTCCGTAACAATAAGAGCTATCTATCTACCTACGTGATACTCCGTAGGGAGTACGAGTATAGGAAAGCCATACAGATACTGTTGTACGAAGTACTCTTTGCTGAATCCAATACCTCTTCCAACTCTCTATGACCCCCTGGATTGCTCAAACATTGATGGTCAAAATTGTCAGGACTCTCTTGGAAAACTCCGTAGTCCTCGCATCGTTGTCAGAGATACTCCGTACAGTACTTCTTACATCGCTTTTCAGGCTACAGAGTAGTCCAGTACCAGATCGCTGATCGCCAGTGCCTACAACTCCGTAAAAAGCTTACCTAAACCTACCCAGAGACTGTATTTGTACCATGTAAAAGTGGCTTGGATGTCTTGTAACGGTTTCATCACTAAAAGCTCGGATCCCTTTGCTACTCGTCGAATGACAAGGAGCTTCCTTTGGATTGGCAATTCCCTTCTGCGCATCTCCTCACGAGACACCTTCATTTTTTGAGTCCCATGCGCCATCTGTTTTGTTCGATGTTCGATATTCGATAACCATGTCCTCAACTCGACGACAACAACAACAGCAACGGCGATAAAAAGCCACCGTCGTCAACCATATATATACATCTCAATATATCATCACGCTGTGTTGCTTGTTTGCGCGCTCCACTACCTGGACATAAAACGACCTGGTGCCGTGAGGACCTTTTCGCTGGCCGAGGTTTCTCAAACACCACCACGATACGAGACTTTGCTGTATTTAATGTCTCTGGCTTCTCTTGTTTTTCCTGTTCTCTGGCTCGTTCGCTCGTTTCTTCGTCACCGCGCATCCCTAGACGCCGTCAGCCATCATGGGTAACCCGGCGCATCGCAAAATCAAGCAACGCGAGGGTGCCACTTCGACCTCGGCAACTCCCAACGGCGCCAGCGACAACAACGAAAGTCCAACATCATCATCATCGTCATCCGATCCCATGATGCGCCGGCAGTCTCCCGCACGGCGCACTCTGTCGCGCATCTCGACCACCTCCAGCTTGCCGTACAAGGTGTACAAACGGCGGTTTTTTGGCCTGGCGCAACTCGCGCTCCTCAACATTGTCGTGTCGTGGGACTGGATCGCGTTTGCGCCCGTCTCGTCGACGTCGGCGCAGTACTTCAACACGTCCGAGACCAACATCAACTGGGTGTCGACGGCGTTCCTGTTTGCGTTTTGCGTCACCACGCCCGCCACGTTTTGGGTGCTGCACAAACACGGGCCCAAAGCCGCCATCGTCACCTCCGCGGCGTTGCTGCTCGTGGGCAACTGGGTCAAATACGGTGCGACCCGGGCCAACAACTTTGCCGGCGTCATGGTCGGGCAGTTGATCATCGGGTTCGCGCAACCCTTTGTGCTAGCCTCGCCCACCTCCTACAGCAACCTCTGGTTCAGCGCGGCGGGACGCACGACTGCCACTGCTCTCGCGTCCCTCGCCAACCCGTTTGGCGCCGCGCTCGGTCAACTCATCTCGCCCTTTTGGGCCCACAAGCCGTCCGACATCCCCAACATGGTTTTGTACATCAGCATCATCTCGTCGGTGGCGTGCGTGCCGGCCTTTTTCATCCCCGCGAAACCACCAACGCCGCCTTCGGCGGGCAGCAACACCGACCACATGGACCGCGCGTCTCTCACGCATGACCTGAAGACACTCGTCCACAGCGTCGAGTTCTACCTCATGTTTATTCCGTTCATTGTGTATGTCGGCTTCTTCAACGCCTTTTCCAGCCTCCTCAATCAGATCCTAGAGCCGTACGGGTTCAGCGAGACGGACGCCGGGATCGCAGGCGCCATTCTCATCGTCGTTGGTCTCGTGTGCGCCGCCGTCTCGTCGCCCATCATCGACCGCTACAAGTTTTACCTGTGGTACATCCGATGCGCCGTCCCGTTTTTGGCTGTGGGGTATTTGATCATCATCTGGGCCCCGCAGACGCACTCGTTGGCCTACGTCGACGTGGTCTGCGCGATTTTGGGGGCTGCCAGCTTCGGTCTGGTGCCCGTCGTGCTCGAGTTCCTCGTCGAGACGCACTACCCTCTCGGTCCCGAGCTGGGGAGCAGTCTTTGCTGGTGCGGCGGGCAAATCTTGGGAGGCATCTTCATTGTCATTATGAACGCGTGCAAGGACGACAGTAAAGGCGCGAGTCCGCCTTCCAACATGAAGCGTGCATTGATCTTCCAGGCGGTGCTAGCAATCGCCGTCACTCCCTTGCCTTTGTGTCTGGGTCTGTTTGGACGTCGTGCGAGGGTGAGGAGGTTGAGGTGGGAAGCTGATCAAAATCCCGAAGGTGGTGGTCACGTCGAGCAGATTGTCTCGGTGCAAGAGGGGGATGAACAACCTCAGCATGTCGAGGTCGAACCGACCATGCCGGCGAGGGGTGTATGACATGATATGATATTTGTGACGTGACACACTTGTCACCGCCTTTTGCTGTTGGGACACGGTCAACGTATGACAGAATGAGCGGAAAGAGATTGGAGAGGACGATAGGTATTTCGCACATCCACCTCTGCATTACGCACAAGGCTACCTGAATAATTTAGTCCGATTTACTGTCCTTGTTAGTGTTTTGGTCCTCGTCATCCTCACTGTCCTTAAGAATGTCTCTTGACTTACCCGCATGTGGTCGGTTACCATTCAACTCATATTGAAACCAAAGGAATGGGACGAGAGGTTAGGAGGGGACATCACTGATATTTACCTGGTAAGGTAGCCTCGAGAGTGATGCAGAGGTTGGTGTGCGTTGCGTGGCACCTATCGCCATTGCATAGGTATATGTACATGCCTTGACTAGGTAAGTGAACATCACAACGAGTGTTTTGTGCCAGCACCGTTACTGTCACGTGGTTGCCCCGGAAGAATTGACAATGATGTACGGAGTAAGTCACTCGCTGTTTCCTCCGAGCCATCTGGAAAGGTACGATTCGCAAGCCTAACAAGCACGAACACGAACGGCGTCACGAACACCACCATAAGACTACCACCAGCGCCATGTGCATGCTCAACTCCGATCCACGTTTTCCTTTTCCGGACGGGTCGACCCTGCACAGCAACGGGGAGTCGACCAATATAACCGAGAATGGGTGGACGATCACGCACAATTTTGAAGAAAAGGAACGAGGATCAGACCAAGGTGGAGGACAACAACTGCATGACGGTGATGATGCCCGACATGCCTACGAGTACGTCCGGTATCGCGACGATGGTCAGGCCTATGTACGAGCTCCCCGACGCAACCCAGTCATTGACCAGATTCAAGCAGGTCGATATTGTCCTGACCCAACAATCTGTTCCAACGATGAACGCCCACGGCCTTGAGGTGGCTCTTTTATTACCTGGAAGGTCAGCTTGCCAATGGCATTGTAGAAGAGAAGGTAGATAGGAAATAGATATTATCCTGATGACAGACTTGTCTCTACACCGTTCATTCTCGATGTGTAGTTTTGGCACGTAGATACTCGTAAGTCTGTCGCTAAGAAAGGTTCTTCTGGTTCAGTTGCAGATATTTTGTTCAATGATTTCTCTTTTGTTTTGCAGTAGTTTATGGATCGTTCGGGTGTTGGAGACGAGGTCATATATGTCAGACATGTCTAGCGGAAGAACTCTCCATCTTTGTGCCAGATGGTATGCGTTTTCTAGTCATGAAGATGTTGAGTGTAATACTGTGCGCCGCGGAAAAATGGTCCTACAGTAACAGCCTCCGAAAGAGGGTTTTTGGGAGGGGGGGAGAAGCTGGTATTTCTCAGGACCTCACGACAATAGATGTCTCATGGACGAAAATCACTATTGGTACACGAGGAACAAGAACTAGTGTGGAGGGCTGCGCGACTCAGTGACTGACCGAATCTATCTTCTCTCACCCATCGTTTCGAGCAGTGCAATAGGACGAGACAATTTTGAGTGTGTATATATGTGTATATATATGTATATGTGTATAAGTGTGTGTGTGTGTGTGTGTGTGTGTGTGTGTGATGTTTGTCTGGTTTTCTAGGGCTCGTCAGATGGTGCATACGGTAAATATATCTGGAAGTTTTCGAGTTTCAGCGAGTTTCAGCGAGTTCCGGGGTAATTCGAGTGCTCACGGTGAGTAATAATAACAGTAGAGAGAAAGAAAGAGAGAGAGAGAGAGAGAGAGAGAGAGAGTTACTTGTCACATGTTGTGCTTTGATTGCTTGTTCCATGTCTCATTACAGAGTATCAATTAATTTACTGAGAATGTGATGGTCGGTCTTCCACTCGCATCAAGTCAATTTTCTGCCATCAGTACTGCACATTTTCAAGTTTGCACCAGCACCAAGTCTCCCTTTGATGATGAGTAGTTCTCCGTCTCCCTCTGTTTGACTTATCATTTGTTAAGAGGCAATACATACGGCAACCAAAGCTACATACGACTGTTTGGATAGCTAGCCCAATGCTTTCTAGACCCCAACACCAACTCTTTTTTTTTTGTAAAAGTCCAACCCGCCGTTGTTATTCATTCTTTGCCAATCCCATATCTGTCGACGCGAGGTTTAAAATTGTAGAATGTCATCTGAAAAGGAATGCCGCCGGAGTTTTCACTCACTCACTCACTCTCTCTTTTCATGAGATGCCCGGAATATTCATATCTCCGCCTCCACGCAGGCAACTTCTGAATTCAGGCGGCATCCGCTTAAGCATGTCGGACTCGTACTCGGTCCACATCTTTCTCTTCTTCTTCTCCTCCTCATCCTCCTCGTCCTCGTCCTCGTCCTCGCTGTCGCTGTCGCTGTCGCTGTCACTCACGTCCATGACCGACGCTCTCTGGAACCACACCAAGCCGGGGAAACCAATCTCCCGTTCAAAGTCCAGACCCATCCGCTTGATGTTCGGCCGATAGTGCCACTCGGGGTCGACGACTTCGGTGGGGGGGACGTCCGATCCCGGGCCACCACCGACCGGGTCATAACTCGTCGAGGCCTCGACGCGGATGCAATCGACCTTCTTTCGACCTTGGGTCCGGACGGCCACGAACTTGGTCATGGTCCCCTCGTGGCGGTCACAGTCGCAGTAGCCACAAGGCTCGAGCGTCAGCGTGAACGGCTCGGTCCGGTCGTGTGCGATCAGTTGGAGCGTCGTGGCTTCGATGGGCCGCCGGGTGGCTGCCGCCGCGCCATTTCCTGCTTCTGCTCCTGCTGCTGCTGCTGCTGCTGGTCGTGGCCTCGAACGAAGAGGATGCGTCTGAATGGTGCTGAGCCAGATGTCACCGTACGCCTTGTTTCGAAATCGGCCCGTGTAATCTGTTAGTGGGAATGGTGTCGTCGTGGTAGACTGCCATGATGGGTTGCTGCTGCTGCTGCTGTTGTTGTTGTCGTCTGCAACGTCGGGATCATTGAGCAAATGTCCAACGCACGACGTTCGTGCTTCTTCTTTCACTTGCTCCAATGAAAGGCCATCTAGCGGGCGGGCATTCGCGATCGCCTTTTGCAGAGGCTCCCAGTGGCCGAGCGAGGCGTGTGGGACGCCGAGGGATCGGTCGATGAGCTCCATGCACAGGACCTCCGCCACGTCCTCGGCGCCGGCACTGTTGCCGAAGATGACGATCCCGAACGGCTCCTCGACGTCGGGCACGAGCATTGCGCGGCCCGTGCGACCGTCTTGGTACAAGACGCGACGCCCACGGTACTCTCGGACGTTCCAGCCGAGGGAGAAGGCGTCGTGGCCCGAGTGGGGGCGTTGTCTGGCGTTGTTGTTCTTCGTGCGCGGCTCCATGAGGGCCGCATACATCTCGGGGCACTCGAAGAGCGCGGGGTCGCGGGCGAGGTTGGCACGCAGCCACCTGGCATAGTCCTCGGTCGAGCTCTGCATCATGCTGGCGCCTTGACATTCCGGCTTGTCGGGGGTGTCCTCCGGTGTGAAGGTGGAGGTGTTGCACAGCCACGCGTATTGCCCGGCGCGGCGTTGCCGTTTGGCGGCGGGCACGGCGTCGGGCTGGACATACGTCGACTTCATTCCGAGCGGTTCGAGGACGTTCGCGGTCAGGTACGACGCGAACTTCTCCCCTGAGACAGCTTCGATCAAGAACGACGCCGTCGTGTACATCGGGTTGCTGTAGGCGTCCCGTCTGGTCCCGGGCGTCAGGTGACAAACTTTTGCCGCGACCGAGATGGGGGTGTCTGGCTTCCTCGCCGTCCAATCCATCAGGCTGAACGCATGGTTCGGGATGCCGGTGTTGTGACTCAGGAGGTCCTGAACCGTGGCCTCGACCTCGTTTTGGAGGCGAAAGGCGGGGAGGATGCTTCGAACGGGAGTGGTCCATTCCAGGCGGCCCTTGGCAACCAGTGTCGCCGCGGCAGCAGCAGTCAGGCACTTGCTGGCCGATGAGGACTCGAAGATGGTCCGAGATGTCACTCCTCGGCGGCCCTCGATGTCGGCTCGGCCGAACCCTTTGGAAACGGTCTTTTCGGCGGTGGTCGTCGAGACGCTGATGCCCGGGACGTGGAATGTGTTCATGAGATGTTCCGCACGGCCTTCAAATTCGTTCGTGAGGATGTAGTCCATGTCGAATCTTGACGTGGCTTTCAGTGGTGCTGAAAAGGAAGACAAAAAACAACAGCAGTGAAGAGGCAATGTAGGATGAATAAGGGTGGCGTAGGTGACGCTCAGTAACGATGCAATGTAGTATCGAGTCAGCTGTACTGAACTGATGGAGGTGGCTTTTATGAGGATCTGTGACAATGAGTGTGAGCGGAACGTGTTGGGCGCTCGAGCGAAAAAGTCAGGCGATTTCGAGAGTTCTTTCCGAGCTGATGGTTCTGGACATGACCCTGGGGGCACCCGGCCTACTTATTTACCTTGACATTAACAGGATGGACCGACTTTTCGGACGTGATGCTCGAGGAGATGCCCAAACCCCCAGCCAGCCCTTGGACTCTTCTGACGCAGAAACAAGGTCGCACCCCTGCTGGGCCCTGGCGACTCATTTCCTGTCCGCCTCAGAGATGTGCGCCACCGTCGTCAAGACTCGAGAGCTTTCGACTGGCGAGTCGACGACCACGGAATATCCTGCATGAAATACGAGATGTCGGTGCCTCACGACGACTTCTCGCATTTGAAGCCAAAACCGAACGCGTTAGCCCCGTGCTAGGGGTGTGATAAGGCTGGGGGACGGGGACAGGGACTTCGACGCTGCTGGGGATCGCAAGACAAGGCACTTGTACTCCGTATTGGACCACGTACTATTAATCCATGTGCCTTGGTGCATCAAACCTGACTTTCCACTTGACCCCCGAATAAGCAAGCCACTGATGTGCCAAACGGCGTTTTCGACGGATCCTATCAGGATCGACGGCGAGGCGGACTAGCCCTTCCGGCCGTTTGAGTCCACGCGAAACCCAGGCGAGCGCCGGTAATCCAGGCCACCTTTTCAGAGTGCCGGATACGGATAAGTTCGGTCACTCATAAAGTGAAAGGCCTGAAAACGTGGGAGTACTCCATTGTAAACAAGATACAGTGCGTTATAGAGCTTGTAGATTCAGCGGGAAACTGGGACGGCAGAGAGTCTTCGATGTACGGTGTAGGGCGTGGGGCTCGATGCATGCCCTCCCGGCCGTCTTGCTGCCCGATACCCAAGAGAGTCGCTTTTGATTGGTTCACGGTGACAGAGCGAATTCGCCTCACTCTATGTCTCTCCCCATGTCGATTGTTCATCCCAAGCACGTACTGTATGTACGGAGTACCGGGGAAGAGGTGTTAGCGTCCGGGTAGCATCAATCTCTCAAGGGCGATCTCAAATTAGGGATAGTCTTGCACGCGCCCTCGCCAGGGGGTGAGGAGCAGGATCTGGGCTTTGGATGTCTTGAGGCTGGGCGGGCGATGCTCGTATCGTACCTCTCTGCACCTCGTTACGAAACCCCGAGGCCAACATTCGCCGTTCCCCTCTTGCCACCCTCCTAATTCGTCTCTTCTTGCGTCGATGGCAGCAGGGTTTTAGAGAGCGGTGTGCTTGCCCCCATCGAGATCGGGGGGCGGCGAGTCATCGTGAGGTATCACAGACAAAGTTCGGCTCATGAAGAAGCGAAGACCACCGGGGCCGGCAGCAGGACGCGCTCAATCAACCACATCCTGGCCGATCCTGCACAGCAGGAAGGCTCTACAAATGTCTCACTTCGGACCCTCGAAAGTCGGCGTCAACGTGGCTTTTCTCGTATAGGCGTGTAGGGGGTATTTTTTGAAGCTGATTTACGGAGGGGCCTACACGGCGTGATATCACCTGTCGCAGCCACGTCGAAATGAAGTTCCCACTCCTCCCGGAAACGTGTCGCGTGTGTGACCCCAGTGAAACGAAGCACGGGAGAGAGAAAGAGCCACTCAGAGAGCCAACACTCGGGATGTCTCTACGAGGACGAGGTACGCCGGTTTCAACAGAGATTGGCGTCTCTAGGGCACGCCTGAGCAGCCGTAATTTCCAGGTGAAAATACATGACTCCGACGACAGCCTGAGAGGTTCACATTGGTGCCTGGGGGCTTTATCAAGAGAGGGCAAGTTTGCAACAATCAAGTCTGCGGGACGGTCCGTTTGATTGGAAGACCACCGTAAGTAGTTCTGGGTACTCCGTAGAGCTACGCCGTATCGTGTCATCGCATTTCTACCAACTCGTCCTTCCCAAGGAGCGAGGCCATGGGATCATCACCGGCCACTCGATTCCTCTTGTACGAGTCGAGTTCCTCTTCTGAGATGCCCGACTGGAGTTCTTGGAGGGTTCGCTTTTTCGCCTTTTGCGGTGCTGATTTCACCTTTGTCGACGGCGCAGACGCATTGTCGTTGTCGTTGTCGTTGTTGTCGTGCGTATGTTCGTTTCCCCAGCGCTCCGTATCATGATTCTCTTGCGCTTCAGCTTCAGCTTGAGCTTGCTCCTCCCCGGCCACATTACCCTCTAACAGGAGCGTCTCGCCGGTCCTTCGACCTCGAGCCTCCTCGAACGCCAGCAGGCCTGCTTCGCCCGTACAATAACTGTTCCTGACGGTGCTGTGGCAGCACGCGTAGCCCCACGTGAAGTCGTGCCACCAGCTGCCCCAGACGCTGGTGTGGTTGTTTACGAAGACATCTTCGGAGTATTTGGATTTGGGCGTCGTTCGTTCTTGGCCCTTGACGTGTCCCGACTCGTCGTACTCGACGTAGCGCTCGGAAGACAAGACCTGGGGCATCTTCTTGGACTGCGACGAGGCCTTGATGTGCTCGTCGCCGCCGTATCTGTCGAGCAGGGCCTTGCGAGCGGCAGCCTTCTTCTCGGCCGATTCTTGTGTCTGCTTCTTCCGGAGGATCTCACCCTCGGTCGGGTTCGCCTGGAGATGGAGTTTCTTCATGGTCGAGGCGCCGCCCCCGGACGTTTCTTGTGTTTCCCACGCGTAGCGCTGGGCTCGTTCGAACTCGGCGGCGTCGTCGGGGGCGGGGCGTACGAAGCCGTCTGAGACGTCAACCTCGCCGTCGTTGGACAGTTCAGGTGCCGCCGACTTGTCCATCGTCCGCGTCTTGGGGTCGTATCTGGCGGATTCCAAGTCTAGGTTCTTTAGGTAGTTGGCCGTGTCTTCGCGCAGGCGCAATTGCCGCGTCGAAGTGGGTTGTGAACGACCCATGTCCGTCTCTTCATCGTATTTCGCATCTGCGTCATCGGCTTCGGCTCCGACGTCGACGTCGGAATTTGGCTTTGTCTCGTCGGGATGGTTGGCGTTTCTCTTGAGCGCTTCGAGATCTTCGTACTCCTGTACCACTGCGGCGTACTCGCGCGGGTCGTAGCCGTTCCATCGGTCTCGTTTGGCGTCCCAGCCCAGTTTTACGTCTTCTACCACTTCGTCCGCTTGTATGTCACTCCCTGTCCAGCGCGCGCCGGTCTTGCGAGGGCGAGAGAGGCATTCTTTCGTCTTGTGCGTCATGGCACCGCAGTTTTCGCAGGCGCCTTTGCGGAATTTCGTGGCGGCCGGCCCGGCCTTGCGCCCACGGTCGTACCATTTTGCTGTGTCGAGGGTATCTTTGGGCGCGGACTGTAGACGCTGATGTTCGAGGTAATCGGCGTCCGAGCTCGTCTCTGCCCAGAAAGGTCGCTTGGAAATGAAGGAGGGAATGTATTCGTTGCGAGACTGGTTGGGGCCAGCCTGGGCTTTGTTGGACGACATTATGATTGTGACAGTAGAAACGTAGGAGATGTAGTGCGCTTGATAAGTGAGGCAGGCATGAAATGAGAAGAGGTCATAAAAGGTCGTGGTGCTGTTGGTGCTGTTGGTGTTGATGATGTCGATGGTGATGATGTACAGGATGAGAATAAAATAAACTCGTCAATGAAAGGCAAAAGTCACAACTCCGTATCCGCCAATCATTTCCCCGCAACTTTTGACCAGCAGCAATTTAGCAGTGCACAAGTAATACCCAGAGTGTTCTGATTACTATATACTCGCACCAGGCGGCCAACTCCATATTACTTATGACTTGCAGAAGCACTCTCACGTAGGAATATGAAAAAAGCCCAGCGAGTTGGAAGCTGAAGACAATCGGGGCATTGAAGGTATCTCGAAAGGTGGTTGGATGGGCGCGGTTCAACGTTGATGTGTTGAGTGCTTCTCAATATAGCTGACCTAGTACAGGAAGAAACGGCCTAGGTTTCTGTGGTTGTTCTAGTGCGACCTCGTGCGACCTCTGTTAGGAGTGTTACGGATCAGATTGTCAACTACTAGCTGAAAACCAAGACCTTCATTTGACAATCTCGAGCAAATTTACGCAGCGTGCGTCTTATCCAATCATTATCCAATCAGTTCTGGGTGCATATAGACCATTCTTGCTAGACCGTGGCTCCTCCGCTGATTGTGACCATTTGCCCTGTTTTGCATAGTCAGAAGAGATTGCCAGACAGTACTGAAGCAATGAGGGTACACACCATTGATCCATCCAGCCTGTGGGTGAACCAAGAATCTCACGACATTTGAGATGTCTTCCGGGAGCCCGCAGTGATCCAAGGGAGTCAGCTTTCGGGTTTCAGCTTCAATAACCTCGGGCGGCGTATCTTTTGTACCTCCAGGGATGTACTTCCAGGCGTTCTCATGGAACATGTTGGTCTTTGTTCCACCGGAACGATTCCATTGACTGTTAACTTTCTCCGGCCAGCTTCCAGTGCGAACGACCTAACGAAGCCCTCTATGGCTGCTTTGGATGCCGTGTAGACTGAATGGTTCTTTATTCCGGTCGCTCGGGCAGAAATCGAACTCATGAAGAGGAGCGTCGGCCCCTCTGTATTTTGGTCAGCACATTGCTCGGAAGTAGGGTTTCTCCTCGACACGAGAAACGTCGGCTTTGATTGCGACTGCCTCCACACCCATTTCCTGGATGTCTGTGACAAGACTGTTTGCTTGCTCAGCGCTTGAGGCATAGTTGACAATTATATTTGCTCCAGTTGAAGCTAAACCCAGAGCTATGGCTGCTCCTATGCCCCGGGACGCTCCCGTGATCAGAGCCACTTTTCCGTCCAGTCGGAGCTCGCTTTTGCTGGTCGCCATGTTGAACAGGTGCAGTCTGTGTGATGGGACTCGTTGCAATAACTTCTCTGGTCACCCTTGGGGGTCCGGGAGCATTTTTGAACAGCTAGGTACTCTCCGAAGCCACTAGTCCAACCTCGATTTATACGATCCGTCCTTCCGTTCCTGCCAGATATTGTTGTGGCCTGCCGTTGTACGCTCCAACCCCCCTTCAGACCGGGCAATGATGTCGATAACAGATGCCATGGGGCAATCGGTGTCTCACTATCCGAACCCGGTGTGACGCAACAAGACGCAATGATCAATTTACCTATGAGCACACTGGCCAGAAAGAAAAGCGGACGGAAGCGCAATCGGACTAGGAGTCTGGTCAGTCAGCTTCGTCGCGACCTCGCCATTCGTGAGATGCCGAAGCTGACAAAGAGTCGAACCACATGTTGAGTTGCGGGCCTACCGGAGCATGTTATCGCATCGCCACATCAACTCGACCTAGCAGGTCACGCCCTTCCATCAAGGCTTTTGTGGCGATGATGCTTCGAAACATGCCCTCGCTTCCGGGGTGCGGACAGCCGTGCTTGATGGCATTCCAGCGCCTCTCAGGACCGAAGTTTGTGCGCATGGCGATTAGTGGAGGGGATCAAAAACAGACATTACGGTAGACCAGGTCGTTTGGGCGTACATTTCAGGCATGCTCCGTCCAACCGACCGGGCTCTGAACTGATCAGTCAGCTCGAGGAGACATTGCAGATAGGGCCAAACCTTGATAGTCAGAAGCAAGCCGTGAAATTATCATATGATAGCGGGTTGGGTCATATTTTTAGCCTTTAATAACAACTATATGTAGGGACTTGGTATAGCCAAGTCCTGTCAAGTTCTGGATCGCCAAGGTCACAGTTATTATAATAACGTCAACATGACAGAGATAATTGTCCTCACCTGCGCCTCCGGTAGGGCATGCAGTCCCATCATCCCGCTCCTCTACGAAGAATCAAGGTACGAGCTTCGGCTGGTCGTACATTCGCAGTCTTCTCGGGACCGTCTTAAGAATAGATACCCCAAGGCCGAAGTCGTTCAGGCAGACTTTGGCATTTGGGCCGATTGCGCCAACGTGGTTGCCGGAGCCAGCACTGTGTACTACGTTGGGCCCCCATTTGACCCTGGAGAGACACATTTTGGGATAAACATGGTCGATGCTGCCGTTACCGAGTCAAAAAAGCCCGGGTCACGTTTCGCTCATTTTGTATTCAGCTCCGCCGTCCATCCTGAGTTGACCAAGATGCTCCATCATGACCGGAAACGATACGTCGAGGAGTACCTCACCGAGTCCATGCTACCCTACACCATTTTACAACCGAGCAACTTCACCGACCTCTCCATGGGGCCACTGATCGCACAAAAGGACGCGACCAAAATAACGCACCGGGCGCTGTTCAACCCCGAGACGGCATTCTCGTTCACGACTCTCCTGGACTACGCCGAAGCCTCGGTCAGGGTGATTCGAGAAAGGTCCAGGCATTTCTACGCCACATATCAGACCGTGAGTACGCTGCCGATGAAGTACATCGACTACCTCAAGTCGGTCGCGGAGGTGTTGGGGAAAGAGCTCGAGGTCCAGGTGGTCGCGTTTGAACAGAGTGTGGAAATGATGTCTGAAGGCTCGTTTGGAACCAGCGACGCCCCACAAATCAACAAGGACGGTCCGGAGCGGATGCTCCTGTATTACAATACCAGAGGACTGTACAGCAATCCGAACATATTGGAGTGGCTGATCGGGAGACCTGGGACCACGCCGGCCCAACTGGCGAGACAGATCCTTGATTCCGAAGGCTGAGCACCCAATAACAGTTTGGGAATCGGGTGTGGCATGCAAGGCCAGTCCAAGGACATTTTTCATACGTGCTGGCAATATTGGAGAACCGACTTAGTACCTCAGCCAAACGTATTGATGCGCCCGCAACTGGATGCCTGATGATCGCAACTCGATATCATGGCCACCGACAAGATCGTAGGCGGTCGGAGGCATGCCCATGAATCTGTGTCGACCGACCCATTGTGGGTCATCGGAGAAGTTACACAAACACAAGACGTTCGAGTGCGGTCCTGGCCTTTGATATCCGAGCACCGCAGGGTTGCCGGTGTAGAACCCAATTGCCCTTCCGCCTGCAATTTCTTCCGTGGTCTTGCGTAGTTGGATCAGATGTTTCATGCCAGAAAACAATCTCCCAGCTGTCGTGTCGGGATCGTGTCGCTCGTTGTAACGCTGCTCAGGGTACCAAGGTCGATTGACCCAACGAGAGTCGTCCATCTTGGCCGGGTCATTTAGGTATGAGTAGTCATTCAATTGACCGACTTCGTCACCCAGATAGATGAGAGGGATACCCCCGGTGCTCATGGCAACGGAATAGGCCAGAAGGATACGCTCCAGTGCGCCATCCTGACCAGACTCGAGACCTGCCAGAGATGCGGTAGTGCCGGATATCCGACAGTCGCCCGTCCGAGGATTGTCTTGGAACGGGACGCCTCTGGCAAATGAGCCAGGATGCCTGTTGACAAAGAAAGCATTCAAAAATTTACGATGATTACCACCTTCCTTTCCAAGCTCCAACGCGTCACTGTCGGAAAACGTCCAGCCGATATCGTCGTGGCTGCGCACATAATTGACCCACGCGCAACCCCTTGCAATGTTGTGTCTGCGTTCGATAGCTTGTGTGAGCATGGAAGCATCTCGTGTCGCCAAAGCCTCCCACGTCAACGCCATTTGAAGAGGATTGTAACTGAGCTGACATTCGTAGCGATCGATGTACTGTACGACAAAATCGGGGTGTACAATGGCTTCCGACTTGAACAACACCGAAGGGGCCGCGATCCTACAGAGGGCATTGAAAGCTCGAAGGAGCTTGTGGACCTCTGGGAGGTTCTCACAGTCTGTGTTCATTTGTTTCCACATAAACGCCACGGCGTCCATGCGAAAGAAGTCCACTCCGATGTTGGCCAGGTAAAGCATTTCTTCGGCCATGGCACGGAAGACGGTCGGATTAGAGTAATTTAGGTCCCACTGGAAGTGATAGAATGTGCTCCAGACGTATCGACCGTCAGGTAACTGTATAAAGGAGCCGGGGTGATCGTCGGGAAAAATCTCTCGCGTCGAGCGCTCAAAGGCACTTGGAACATTCCGATCAGGAAATATCCAATACATGGCCGAATGTTCCTGGTCGCCCTCGGCGGCTTTCCTTGCCCATCTGTGCTCGTTGGAGGTGTGATTGAAGACCAGATCAAGCACTAGGCTTATCCCGGCTTTGCGAAGTTCTGTTGCAAGTGCTTTGAGCTGGTGGATATCTCCAAGGGCCGGCTCGACATCTCGATAGCTAGAAACAGCGTAGCCTCCATCGTTGAGCGGCCTTGGAGACTCGAAGAGGGGCATGAGGTGCAGATACGTCAAGCCAAGTTCTTGAAAGTATGGGATTTTTGCTCTGATGCCGTCCAGGTTCTTCGCGTATCTGTCGACGTAGCAAACACCGCCCAGCATCTGGTTGGAAAGGTACCATTCTGGATCGAGTTCTCGCGCCTTGTCCAATTTCTGCAGCTCGGGATCCCTCTCCATCCACGATTTGCCACACATCAACATTAGATCAACGAGTTGGTCAAGACAATCGTGGCGGTATCCGTACAATTCTGCAAAGATGGCGAAGACGGTGACAAAGTTCATATCCAGGCGACCGTAGAATGCTTCCTCTGCGAGAATTGAGCTCCCAACATCAGTCTTCCGTAGCTCCTGGAGAACATAGGCCTTTGCAGCCCGAGCTTGCTGCTCGGTAGAGAGAAGGTTTGACATGCTGGAAAGACCACCTTGGTCGTCGAGATGTTGCAAGGATCTTACGGTTCAGGTAGAGTATCAATGCTTATGATGACTGCCGGCTGGAGCGCCGAAAGAAATCAAGGACCTTCTCAGGTTTTGGTGCAACAAAGGTTCAACCGTCTTCGTATTTGAAAATCAATGCCGACTTCAGGGATCTTAGGGTATTAGCAAAACAACCTGGGGGCGTCAAGTCCTGAGATGTTAGTGTTGAAAAGAGGAAGAACATTAGCCACGGAGAAAACGAAAGATCGAGGAAAGTATTTCAAGCAGAATAGACAGATTGACACAGCAATTAGATCCACGTCTGAGAATATCTCGGGTCACCAATCGGTGGATGCGAAGCACGTAGTTGTTGATCGGCTCGCGTAGCTAACTTCGACTTCGCCCAAAAAGAGCTTGAGTTTCTCCGTGCAAGTTGTGCGGGGTGCATGAGCATGACTGGAGAACGCACGCCTCATCGCCAAAAGCATCTCGACCCTACGGCCAGCTGCACAAGAATGCGCTTGGGCTAGCAAAGCTTTCCTGTGTCTGTCCGGGCCAGAAATGGAAGCGAGGTGGCTTCTGGAGGTTGACCATGTGATCCTCGCCCGTATTCTCGGCCCGATATGCGTCAAAGAGCACAGACTTTCTCCTCGCCGGCACAAGTTTCTTCGTGTCGAAACTTATGATTCAATGGGGAGATTACCAAGATTTCGACACTCTGATCTCGTTCGGGAGTATCAGCCTGTGATTAGCTAGATTCATCAATTTTGGGATTTCGTATAATGATCTTTACTGACACGGCTTTGATTTGGCGTTGTTTTATGGAAGCTGCGCTGATTACTCAGCGGCAGCCTTGCTCTGACCGTTAGAGTCACGTGCCCACCATCCGTCTAACAGTTATGTTACGTACTGTAGTCACAGAGAGAGAGACAGAGGACTACTGTACTGCCGGTACTACCGGTCGTAGGAGATCTTGAGCCTACTCGTATTCCGTAAACCCATACCTGGAGCGATTCATACGAGTGCCCGAAACACAAATTATGTAGACGATTTTGTTAGTCTCCGCATGCCTTGTGGTTCACCCTACGTCACCCATTGGTTCCCGCCTTCTTTGCCTGTTGTTGACGCAGACAAGACGCAGATACTCTCAACCCATCTCGCGATTCCACCCCCAGCATCCTCTCAAGACTTATCCCAGCCTCTTGTCAGCACTTAATTCCTTGTTCCTGCTGTCGATTCTGCCCGACATACATTCGTTTCAGACAAGAAGAAAAGAGAAAACAATTCCCCAATGGTTGCGAGCGTTCGCCTGCAACGTCCCTGCTTCTCCATGCCTGGCTAATCAATGGGTTCCTTGCAATGGTTTTTGGGTGTATATCTCTTCGGCGGTCTAACATTCGTTCCATTCCTCCTCGGCCTCCTCCTCATTCATGCCTACCTCACCTTACCTCCTCCGAACGTCGAACACGATCCTCCCATCCAGGATCCCGCCCTTCTGGCCCGTCCCGAAGATGACAAGATAGCTTTCAAGAGCGAGACCGATACTCTGGTCGACAAATTCCATCGGCAACATGATTCCGACGTCGCCGCGGGGTACTTCGCCGTATGTAGAGAATACGTCCCCGGTGGCGTCAATGGCAAGCCTCCCGACAAGCTTAGTCCGGCGGGAGAGGTGGTTGCTCAGGAGTCTCCGAGTGTCTACCAGACAATGTACCGGAGTATCTTTGACCGCTCGCAAAAGCCTACGATAGAGCCGAACAAGGATGCGGCGGGGAAGACGGCCAAGAACGCCAACAACGTCTTCTATGTGGTGTTGAGACATGGCCATCTCATGCTGTACGATGACATACAACAGCTGGAAGTGCGCTACGTGATCTCTTTGGAGTACCATGACGTCGATATCTATGGAGGGGGAGAAGAGTTGCCAGAAGGGGAATTGTGGATCAAACGACATGCCATACGACTACGGAGGAAGAAAACAAGAGCCGGTGATACACCCAAATCGCTACCCTTCTTCCTGTTTAGCGAGAGCCTGTCAGAGAAGGAGGATTTTTATTTTGCATTACTCAAGAATCAGGAAAAGACGGTCGGCGAAGACTTGCCTGTGGCGCAAGAATTCGATGTTCAACATATTGTCAACTTGGTCCAGAAGCTGCACTCATCCGAGGAGCAGTTGCAGACGAGGTGGCTCAATGCCATGATCGGTCGCCTGTTTCTAGCCATGTACAAGACACCAGAGCTGGAAAATTTCATCCGGACCAAGCTGACCAAAAAGATCTCCCGGGTCAAGAAGCCAAATTTCATCACCAAGCTAGCTTTGCAAAAGATCGATACAGGCACCGGTGCGCCCTTCATCACGAACCCTCGGCTGAAGGATCTGACTGTGAATGGCGACTGCACGGTCGAGGCAGACGTGGACTATACCGGACACTTCAGGATAGAAATCGCAGCCACGGCGCGAATCGAGCTGGGCTCTCGGTTTAAACCACGAGAGGTCGACATGGTTCTGGCAGCCACGTGCAAGAAACTCCAAGGCCATGCCCTCGTCAGGTTCAAGCCGCCTCCGAGCAATCGGCTCTGGTTCAGCTTCGAAAAGATGCCGCAGTTGGATCTCGTCCTAGAACCCATCGTCAGCTCGCGCCAAATTACCTACACTTGGATTCTACGCGCAATTGAGAGTCGAATCCGGGAAGTCATTGCCGAAAGCATATGTCAGCCTTTCTGGGACGATGTCCCCTTCTTCGACACCAGGAATCAACGTTATCGTGGGGGCATTTGGCAGAGAGAAGCCACGGCTGCCACTTCAACCGAAATCCCGAACGAAGAGCCAGAAGACGAGGCTGAGGCAGGAACTTCGGGAACGAGAACGCCCGTGGAACTTGGGCAAGACGACCGTGTTATGAGCATGCCCGCACTGAGCGACGCCAAACAGAAGCCGACCCTTTCGAAGAAATCCATCGCCTCCATGAACGAATTTTTGGGCCTCAAGAGGTCGGGGTCAGAATCTCCGAACAAGGCTGATATTTCTACTCCGAGATTGATGAGATCACCATCCCTTGCCAGCGCTGCAAACCCTACCGTGACTGCTGATCACGCCGATGTCAACAGTCCGACTCGAGGATCCGACGCCAGTGCCAAGAAGGACAGCGTCGCGAACTTTTTGAAGGATTTATCCAATAGATCGACATCTGAGACCCCATCGCCGCCGGAATCGCAAGCTGGATCACCGCCCGTCGAGTCCTCAATGGCAGCCGCAATGAGAGAAAAGGAACGCAGCGCGAGCAACGCGTCAAACCTCTCAGTAGAAATTCCAATGTCGGAAGAATTCGCCCCGACTCCCATGTCTACTTCAGCCGGAAGAAGCTCAACGATGTCAAGTCGGAATTCGACGAATTCTGGCAATACAATTGATGTGACTGAAGAAAGGCCTAGGTCGGCGGGGCAATCGACCAAACCAAAGACCTTTGCACAAGGAGTCAGATCCATGACCAATGCGGACAGAAAGCAAGCTCTCGCATCTGTCAACGCTGCGGCTGCGGCGGCTCAAAAATGGGGATGGGGCGTGCTGGCAAGGAATCGACAGCGGGAAAACCAAGCTGCTGGCGAGAAAGAGAACAACAACCCCAGTGTTCCTCCAACTCCGCGAGAGCCCATGGGTCGTGGAAGACCCTTACCCCCTCCTGGAACGCCGCTCCCTCCACCTGAGAAACCCAGGAATAGCTTCATCGCTCCGAAAAGAAAACCAGTGCCTCCTCCGCTACTGCCACAGCGCCGTGGAACCAATGGCTCGATTGTGACGTCGCCCAAACCAGCGCAAAAGCCACCGCTTCCGGAACGGCGAAAACGACAAAGCTCGTTGCTGGCGAATGTTGAGGCTGAAGACGAGGTTTTGGTGGTAGAGGCTCCCACAGAATCTGCACCGTCAAGTCCCACGGCGGATGAACATCACGATGAATTCTTCGGCCACGGCGAGCCATCAGAAAGTCAGGGAGTCGTCGTCAAACCGGCGCTCCCCGAGCGACCTCACGATGTGATTCAGCAGGCGATGGATGAGGATGATAGCAAGAAAGAAGAATTGCACAGGCAGGAACTCGGCGCGTATACCTGATACCTTGTTATTGTAGAAGCAAGTCAGAGGTTTATATAGCTTGTATCTCAGGTGACAGGTATCTGCATTGATATTCGTGCAAGCAACCCTCTGGTAGGTACCTAGGTAGGTATGTCTAGCATCATTTCATCCCTGTCGATACAGACGGGGTACATGTCCTTCTGTTGACAAATTCCGTCAAAAGCTTACCCATGTACGATCTCGCAGAGGGTCTTATGCGTAAGACGCCGGGCAAGAATCTCGATCTGCGTAAGGCAGAAGTGTGTAAAATTTCCGGCCACCAACAGTCACGATCGGTGAAGCTTTGCGAGCAAAATACTTTGAAGAGACGAGCGGAGCTTCGGTGGCTGGGCATCGATGGCCCTGCCTCAAAGTGTGCTCTCCGAGATCATACGAACGGGGGTCGGCCTAGTAGATTTGCAAGACAATGAACAGAAGTTTTCAACCTGACAGGTTGTCGCAGGTCACGACTCTGCATTTGAAATGATAGAATTCAAGTACGAAGGAGGGCTAACTTGGTGTTGAGCGTTGCCTTCGATTTGAGCATAGCCACCAAGTATGTACATAGTAAGTTCATGGCCCTCAGCGCCAGGTAAGGCGACCAAACCCTTTGGGGTATATAGCCTGATATCCGGTAGTGCTAAGGCGGCCAATCACGCACAGGTGTGAGCCTGGTAGCATTCCTGTACTCCGTACAGTAAGCAGGCTTCCCCTTTATCGCTGAGTACAAGCTCCCACCCTGGTTCTGACTCATTTTCCTTTCGAACCTAGTACAATACTGACAAACCATTGCGGGAGGTGATAGGTTACACTCTCGCATACCTGTTAGTTGCGTGTAGTGTGTACCAGTGTCACTGGAATCCATGCCAGCGGAAGCCTTTTCCAACCCTGTCGATATAAGTCAGGCAAGGTGCATTTTGCTATTACATCGACCATTCCTGAGAGGCAGAAAAAACTTGTCGATGGGGAATTGTACTCGTTAAAACCCATGATTCTCGATTTGCCTCCGGGCAAAACAGGATAATGGATCACTGACCACGACACGGGAGGCGTCTAGCAAAGGGAGACTACCAGCAGGCAGTCACTCAAAATTGTCTGGAGAAACGCGCAACAGTCAAAGTAGGGAGAAGTATAGCTTCATGCGCAATGCAGATCTGGGTGTTACGCACTATCGCCTAACTGCCCTCGCCTGTCTGCCTGTTTTTCCGAGATTCTAACCATCTACCCAAATCTATTCGCCTTGGGACCTTTGACAACTCCTTCTCCCATCTTCAACAATCCCTTCCGATCATCACCACCACCGTCATCCATGTCTATGCCCATAGTGGCGGTTTCCAACAACGCATCTGCAAGGTAAGCACCGGAAAATTTGAATCGAGCGTAACCGTCGTCTTTGTCGTCGTCAACCTCGTCAGTCTCTCTGGCTGTCAATCCGGGGTACGTTTGCTTCAATTCAGGACCCTGGACGACATTCATGTACGCCGCGATTCCACCTCCCTGCCACAACTTGGCGAACGAATCGGCGGCCCTTCTCTGACCCTGCAGCGCCCAAATGGGTTGAACGTGCCAGACAATGCCATATTTCTTGGAACTCTCCCACGGAAACTCCTTGACTTGTTCGGCCGACCAACCAGCCCCTAGCCAGTTGTAGCCTCCCGTGTAGCCGAACCCAAACTTTCGGTCCGGGTGCACGGCGCGGACGGCCGTGTGGAAGGCATCAATGTCCGAAGGGACCGGGTAGTCCATGCGTGCCCAAGTCACCTCGCCGAGTTTGGCGGCGAGCAGGGCCCGAGAGACCACGGCGTCGACGGTCGGTGCGAATCGGTACGAGCCCTCTGGGGTGCGGCCGAGGTCCCAGTCGAAGAGGAGGGTCGAGTAAAGCTCGTGGCCGAGGTGCTGCGCGGCCAAGGCACGTCGAGCGGTCAGCGACAACGGAGGTGCAGTTGGCGAAGAAGAAAGGGAAGACTTGACGGCGGCCTTGTACGCAGCGACACCCTCGGGATTGCCGGATCCGTGCGCGGCGACTGCGTCGTCAAACGTCTTCAACTCGGCCGACGCGATCCAGTCCTTCTGGGCCTGCGCGTAGTCGGACCCGGATGCGAGCGCCCTGGAGAGAACAGACGTGAGGGGCTCGACAGGCTTCGTGGCACCCAGGACGTACGCGTGGTCGCGAGGGTCCATCACCGAGGTAATGTAACTCGAATGATCCGTGTCACATCGGCACATCAAGATCTGGCAAAGTCCCCAAAAGTTAGCACTGCGTACAATGATGCGAACGGGAACAAGGGGCATCCGTACCGTTTCAGCGCCCATGATGTCGATCTGCATGCGGGCAGCCGTCAGTCGCGACAGATATTCGCTCGTGGGGATGACTGTTCGTCCTTCGCCCGTCGTGAATTTCTTTGCTCCTGTGGGAAAAGAAGAGGGTCAATACTCCAAGTTGATGGTCTTTTCGAAGACGAGACAGAACTCAGTCTTACCGATTGCCAGATCGTCGAGATGAAACATGGCAACACCGGCCTCCACAAAGGCTCGAGTCATCTTCATGGTATGGGTCAGTCCACCAAAGCCCATGTCTCCATCGGCGACAATCGGGGTCAAAAAGTCCCAGTTGTCGAGTCCCTCGCGCTCCGACTTGGGATACAAGAAGCGAAACTGTCGCTGTCGTTGGTCCTGCCACTGCTGAGACCGGAAGATCTTGTTGACTGTCGCCGGAACCGTATCCCAAGGGTAATCCGCGTGGTCCATGCCAGGTTGGCTGACTTGAGAATAGCCGCACAAAGCTCCGGAGACGTAGACGGTCTTTGCCGCGGTGAGCGAAACATGTCAGGCTCATGTACGTCTTTGCGACCCTTCAAACGATATCGAACTCACCTGTTGGTGCTTCGCCATCACACCTGCCTGGAGGGGATCCGTACAGCCAAAGGTCAACTCGGCCGTTCCATTCTTCTGGTGCTCGGTCATCTGGTCCCAGAGTTTCAGGGCCATGTCACTTGACGCATACTTTTGTTTGATGGAGCTGCGTAACGCCGCGATGCGCTCGGCTGGGTATGGTCTGTCCTGTTCCATCAGCATATTACCAGCACACAGCGGTTTCGAGATGGGATGACGGGTCGGAGATGTACCGCTTCAATTGTCGTTGTTTGGCGCTTGATTGCCACCATTGTTTGATCTCATTGACTTCTGCATCGAAGGCTGCCTGTTCGGCATCGAGAGTTGTATTGATTTTTGGCATCGTTGTGATCGTTGGTATGTTGGTACGGTAGTATATGTCGTGTCAAAGACTCACACAAAGAGATCAAAATAGAAATAAGGGGCTTACTCTTCAGTATGATAAGATTCACACTGTCAAAAAACTCACAAAATGAAATAAGAAATGGCTCGCAGGGAGGAAATACTAGGGAACGGTTTCCTTCTCCAGTGGAAAGATAGCTAGCCACCAATCATGGGTTGCTAAGACCTCACCGTTGAATATGGCCCTAGGGACAATGCATCGCATAACAGGGTCGCACTACGGAAAGCGAGTGCGCGTCCGACGAATTCCATCTCAACGGCCTCAAACGGACACGCATCCGAGGAAAGACTTGTAATCGCACGTTGAAGAGACGATCCACATGATTTGTATGAGCGAGAAAAGGAAATGATAAGCCTCTTTGGGGAGGATCATTTAGAGTCCTTGATTCGGTTCAAGAGGGAAATGCAGTTGGAGGATGATGGTCGTTCAGCGACCGAGAAAAGCGGTTCGACGGCGGCGGATTATTTGGTCCGTGTCGACCAGCTAAATTTCCATCGGGCGGCACTAGGACTTTCGACAGTCCGACGACGATGATCGGGGATCTCGATCTCCCAAACTCCGTTCATGTCGGCATCCTCTGTCATGTCAACACCGCACGAGAGCAGCAGTGGTCGATTTCTTCAGTGATGCTCTTTGCGCAATCGATCGCGGTCATACATCCGACGCGTTGGCTACGACCATGGAGTTCAGCTACACGTCCATCCGGGGGCGTGTCGACATGATCCGTTCTAACCGATCACGCTCCAATCCGCTTCAACGATCTTTGCAGAATGTCCGAGAAACATCTCAAAGTACGCAGAGGTAAGTAGAGAAATCTCGTTGCTTTTGTTCTCGTGTGGCTTCGGTTCAATGAGGGGATGGTACTGGTTCTCGTCCAACAGCTGCTTCCTTCGACTCGACGAGAGAGTGTGACAGCGGTTCGTACAAACCAGCTGCTCCCTTTCTTCTTCGGCCCATTGAAGATCACCATCGTTGCTTTGGTGCTTGTGCGGCTTCGATTCGTCGAGAGAGGCCATACCGATTCTCACCCACCAGCTTCTCCCATCGACTCGGCGAGCGAGGAATCGCGGTGCTCATACACCGACTGCTTCCATTGCTCTCCAGCTCATTGAGTGGCATCACTCTTTCAATTCGGGCAGGGTGAATCCTGCCTTACCGTATCCGACATCTGCAATACTATCATGGTGGTAGAGACTTCCAACACCGCTGCCCTGGCACATATCGATCTTCAGAAAGGATGGCCCACTCCGCGTTTGTTACCCAGAGGATCATTACTCGAGGCTGCCGAGGCGACACTGTCAGACCCGAAACGTGCCACAGAAGCCATGCTCTATGGTCCCAACATAGGTGATCCGGCTCTGCGTAAAGAATGTGCCGAGTGGCTCTCTCGCCTGTATCGATCGCGGTCGCCACCAGCCGGGACGGTGAATGTCGACAACAGCAGCAGCACCACCACCACGTCTGTACCTATATCTCCTGAGAGGATCTGCATCACGGCGGGCGCCTCGGGCAACCTGGCCTGTATCATGGCGGCTTTCTCGGACCCGGTGTATACACGTCGAGTCTGGATGGTCGAGCCCACATACTTCCTCGCGTGCACCGTATTTGATGATGCAGGATTCCAGGGTCGTCTCGTCGGTGTCCCTGAAGATGCCGACGGGATGGATGTGGATCGTCTGCGAAGCATGATCGAGGTTGTGGATGGTGAGGAGAAGAGCAAACAAGGTGCATCATGCGTAAAGGCGACCGCGAATGGTGAGCAAGATATCAAACAGGATAGATCATGGGCAGATGGGACTGTGGCTGGTGTGAAAGAGATCGAACAAGCTCCATCGTTGGCAAGTTTTAAACGATCACCACAATATCCCAAGCTCTACCGACACATCATTTATCTTGTCCCGACATTCAGCAATCCCAGCTCCAAGACGTACCCTTTGGAGCGAAGAGAGGCTCTCGTCCGACTCGCCCGAGAAAAGGACGCGCTCCTCATCACGGATGACTGTTACGACTTTTTGTCATGGAGCGTCGAGACCCGGCTGGCCCAAACAAATGGCAGTTCTCTCGGTGCTTCTCCTACTCTTTTCCCGCCACCTACGAACGGCAGCAGCAGCAGCAGCAGCAACTCTTCCAGGACTTATCCTCCTCCTCCCCCTCCACCGAGGCTTGTGGACGTGGATTCTTCCTTGCCGGGCGGCAACCTCGAATGGGGCAACGCGGTCAGTAATGGATCGTTTTCGAAGGTGGTCGGACCAGGTATGAGGTGCGGGTGGGCAGAGGCGACACCAAAGTTCATTTTGAGACTTAACCGTGTGTCAGTATTTGGCTCCCGTTTCATGAATGAGTAAAAAGGGGGCGTGCTGACTTTGTGATGGCAGTGGCGCGACATTGTCGGGAGGCGCTCCAGGACAGTTCTCTTCGACACTCATTGAGCACCTTCTTCGGACGGGAGCCCTCGAGGGACACATTCGAAACGTTCTCATTCCTTTGTACCAGCACCGCTCCGCCATCCTTCGACAAGCCATCCACGAGTATCTGGAACCGTTGGGTGTCAAGATCGACACGGGTGCATCGTACAAGGTCGACGGTCCCGACCGGACGGGGGAGGAGAAGGAGGAGGAGGAGGTTTTTGGGGGCTTCTTCCTCTACATCTTGTTTCCAGAGGGCATTCGATCAGACGAGGTTGCCAGGATCGCACTCGACGAGTACAACCTCCGCATCTTATCGTCCGGGATGATGGCGGTACGGGGGAGCAAGACCAGTTGTTGCTGCCGCGAGTGGGAACGTGAGCGATTAAGCAGAGGGACGAGGTTATGTTGGGCGTGGCACGAGGAAGAACAGCTCGTAGAAGGCGTCCAGAGAATAGCGCGCGTGTTGAAGGAGAAAATGATGTGTACCGTATCGTCGTCACCAGTCAAGTAGTAGAAAGGCGCTATATACCGACGCTGCTGCGCTGCTGGTTCTGACCAAGAATCCTGAATATCGGAATCTCCTCAAATCATGAGGTACTGTTTGATGAAGACAACCAAGTCTAAAGGACTAGGACCTACTCCGTACTTGGTACAAGGAGTGCCGCGCACGAATGCCAGAATAGCTTATGGTGAGTGCTCGAGCGCAGGCAAATCAGGCACGAGTGCTAATTGGGTCACGCAGCGAGCGGCCGGGCGATTGACACTTGGATCAAGTACCTCGTAAAACAGTGGACAATCTCCATCAATCTTTTGCTCGATAAAGCGCCGTGTAGGTCCGACCCTCCCGATGATAAGATCCGGTCGATACTTGTCACACTCCATACGAGCATGTGAAAAATGTTGGTGAGGGGATCAATCATGATATCAACAATCAGTTAGTACGAGTTGGTACTGGCCAAGTCTAGTATGATGAAGGACTTGTCATATTACAGTCTTTACAACTCTTGGCGCATAAAGCACCACACAGTGATGAGGCTGAAAACCATGTGCTCGCTTTGTGACACTGGGGAAAGATTTGGGGACATGATCGACATGGGCCGTTGCGAGCGAACGCAGCAGGTTCGTAGCAGATATATGAAATCTTTGAGGTGCCGCCCAATAGATGTGTAGCCCCAGAGCCTGAGACAAAATGGCAAATGATGTTGCGATGATGTAGCTTTGTCGGTTAACTTTCCTATTTCGGACCGGTCTTCGGCTGTCTACGCCTCGCGAACTTCCCGTAGGAACCCCCTTCACCACTCACCACCCACGTAGCCAGATAACACTGACATCTTTTCTCTTCCTGACGGCCCGTAACAGCACAGTGTGTTGGTGAGCCGCCCGTGCATGCGTCAAATGCCCTTCCTCATTCCTTACACCTCCAAACTTGATTACACCGCGATCGAAAACAACTGCTGATGCAGACGGCTTCCTGCAAACGGAAGTTTCCTCTTGACCCTCCTCCACCTCAGGAACATCCTCACAAAAGGCTTTCGCTCGGTAGCCCTCGCTCGTGGGAAGAGGAATTCTTCGCCAATTCCCCGGGCATCCCAGACTGGATTTGGGCGTCGGATGTCGACAGAGAGCCTCTGCGGTTCCATGAGACTCTGTTGGAACTAGTTCGCCCGTTTAACCATCCTGTGCCAGACGCGCCTGCGCAAGTATGGCTTGCACGAGGAGAAACCGGGTTCTATGCTGTAAAATTGGTTGGTACCCCTTGTCCTTCATTCCAGAAAGCACCTTGGCTGAATATGCTATAGTTTAAGCCATACGCGGATGACGATGCAAAAGCACAAGCAGCACGCCTTTCCGATCCCAAGCCGAGCCTACAGAAAGTACGACATGATTTCAGTCCCTTCGCCCTAGAAACGAGGGCTTATGAGCGGATCCGAAAATTCTGCCCTGCATCTCAACAATCTTTCTTCCGGCGATATCATGGAACCATCGAAATCCCCGCCTCTCCTCTCGGACGCTCCTCAGTCCGGACTTCGCGTCGCCAAGGCATCGTGTTCGATGTCCTGACGATTGGACTTGAAGGTCGGCGTCTTCATTCAGCGGGTGTCGTCGATGACTCTGCACCGCATGCTGAAGCATTACGCACTGAGCTCGCGAAACTGGATGTATCTCCGTTTGAGAAGAAGTGGTATTCAAGTGTACTGAATGATCGTCTGAGAATGGCAATGTCCGCCCATGCGCTTGGCGTACTTCATGGCGACATCAAGCCCGATTGTTTTGGTCTGCCAAACTCGCCGCACGACATCGCTCTACACGACTTCAGTCGAGCCTACACTTTCACTCGAGAACGACCCTACGCGATGAACGGCATACTCCGGTTACGAACGTTCAAACATGCCGTGGAGGTTGAACGTCGCAACATTCGAAGTTGTGTTCTTGAAATGTAAGAAGGATTCTGGTGCGATATCTCAATCTTTGATACTGACAACCTTCAAGGGCAAAATCCGCTCATCTATTCAATCATTTCAGACGACTGCTAGGGTTGACGGAGGAGGACACCCGTACTGTGCTGTCTTCTGCCATTCCTCGTAGTCTATTGGCGACCGAGCTTCCGCTCATTGTTCTGTCTGTGGGGATGACAGATGATGGTTTGTTCTCTTGATATTGTTCTCTAGGTCTATTGGCTAATGCTCTGCAGGGCCATTCTTCCCTTCGCTTTCCTCAGTACTACCATTTTTAGAACCAGCATCATCCGGACGGCCAGCCGCATGGACAACAACCGTAGCGAATCATCTCGAACACTTTGTCTCAGCATCTTGTTCCGAAGTGAAAGACAGCGGTGTTGCGTCAATGGGCAGTAAGATGGTGTCTCTTGTCGCTTTCACGGGTACTGTTATCGAGCAACTTAGCCTTCTTTGCCCCAGACAGCTGACGACACACCCGGCCGCAACGTCTACCCTCGCACTTTTGCCGAGTGCTTGGCTTGAAAACTTGGACACTCGAATTTTTTCCTGGGCCCTTTTCTGCTGTTCCTCGCTCTCAGGGGATGCGAGGCAGGTGAGAGTGATGGATAGGGAACAACTCTATGCTGAAATGAAACGATGTCATTAATCGGTGGTGTTCTCAATACCGACTTTGTTAGCTCCTTCGAATCGCCGGCTGCATTGGAAGTTCCCATTATCCAACGCTCACGGCTTCTTCAACTTCCCCCCAGACGATTTCTCATGGCTATCGTCTGGCCTCTTCCGTTTCTCCTTGCCCTGAACTTTCACATCGATATCGAATGACTCATAGTGATGGGACAGTTCTCGGCTTTCACTTGCCAGCCGAATTATAAAGTAAAGAGCGATGTTAATAGTCTCCTCCGAGCTTCCATGATCCCACGGGACTATCTTCACCTCTAATGCAGCCACATCCTCATCTTGTGGCTTTGGTCGGAATGACATCGCGCTAAATGAGTCCGAAACGTCCGACACGTTGGTACTGGTGGACGTGTCCGACCGCACTCGTCGATGGCTTTCCGGCATGGTCTGCCTCGGTGGCCTGGAGGCCCTTTGTTTGGACGCCGGGGGTGAAAGTTTCACCCGGACAAGGACAACAAACTCGTCTGTCAGGATGAATCCATATCGCGTGCCGTATACGGTACAATAGTGCTGGATTTGTTCAAAGGGTCGGACCAAGTGAGCATCGGGCTGTTCCTCGTAGTCGCCATCACCTACCAAGCGCATCGCACGTCCAACGTCCCAGCCCACCTTGGTGTCCCCGCAGACGAGTGCTTGACAGATGCGACTTGGAGAGGTGTAATGGATGTTGGACTCCCCAGCACCCCAATCGGGTCGAACACCAGGATATGCGATGATTCGCGATCCGGCAGAGAGAAACAATGACCCAGGAAGAGCGCGAGATACCATGTTGATATTTGTGCTCCCAAGGAGCATGGTCAGTGCTGTTTCGTCGTGAATAACGCCATGGGCAGCTTCCTCGGCGGCCTCCACAGTGCTGGTCAGCCTTGTGTCTGCGTCTAGAGACTGGCGATATCGCTTGGTGAGGCTCGCGTGGTCAAAGTCCTCCCATCGTTTGATTGCCTCGACTGGGGCCCATCCTTCATTCTGAGTATATGTAGGCGATGCTGAAATATGGACCACCAATTGTGCGTTAGGCTGGGTCAGGTAATCGAAAAGAGTCTGGACCATCTTCCACTGTAGACCATGAAAGCATTTGGCAATAAGAGGCCGGGTCACGGTTTTGAGCGATTGTATCTACAGATTACTTGTAGTTTTGTGTGCGACGATCTCCCATGTCGAGAGTAGGGACGCATCACTCGCACCGAGTTCAACATTACACACATTTTGGTGAGGTTGTCGGCCTCGAATGGATACTGGCTACTACATTGTCCCCGGGGGGGGGTAAAGGAGGGGGGAAGGGTGGGAGATCCATCGTCGACTCGCTTCAAGTCGTTTGCTGCAGTTTTCCGCCCTTTCTTTGTGCCCAATTGGGGAAGAATGTCAATCCTGCCCCCCCCTCCTCTCGTCTCGAATTCCTTTGGGTGTAAGTTGATCAAGAGGGAAGTCGTCAATTGACGTGAGCAGTCGCATTGTATATTATACGACATTTTGGGCGCTTGTCGAGTCAGTCCGGGCATACAACCATCACTGGGCTTTGAGAATTAGGCTCCGAGGTCGAAAAGGTCAGAGGAAAAAGGTGTACACGATACCACACAAAAGAGAAGGCGACTTCAGATTGCGAACGTTGATAAGTTTGAGAAGAAGATCCGTGTCACTCCGACCGACAAGTATGCTCTTAGTACTCTGTATCTCTTAGATAGACAAGGCATTCCTCGCACTACTATACAGAGGAAACTGAAAGAGAATAATGCCGGACAGCTATGACAAAACCCAACAGGGTCTGGGATCAAGTTTCCACCCAGCCCGGCTTCTCCGAGGGAGTGAAAGGTTGAGATGAGAGAGAGAGAGAGAGAGAGAGAGAGAGAGCCTCACGCGGAACCGCTATGGCAAGAAACTGCAGCATAAGACTTGCTCGTAATGAAAGCTGATGGAGCCCGTGCAGGATAGTTCTTGACAACCACAAATGGGACGAGATGAGTTGATCCAGTACGGCTTCTCCGAGGTGGGAAGCCATACGGAACCGCTATGACAAGGAAACATAGGGTTGAGATGATGCCACAACTGTGGGACTTACTTGTTGAGGAAGCTGAGAGAGTTGTAGGAAGGGATGGCCGTACGGAACCGCTATGAACAGGACAAGACAGGTATGATCCTACTCAATACGGCTTCTCCAGGGGGGAAACCCAAGCGGAACCGCTGTGGCAATGACTTTGAACTGCAAGACTTCCTTGTCGAGGAAGCTGAGATAGTCGTGCAGGACAAGAATCAAAGACTGTGTGACGCTTCGCTGTAAGAGTTGCCAATAGAGGAAGCTGAGACAGTCGTGCAGGAGACAGTCAAAGTTGCTACAGTGAGTCTACTCAGTGACGGCTTCTCAGAGGAGAGAAAGGCTGAGATGAGAGGGACATCGACAAGTAAGCCTTACCCGTAGAGGAAGCTGGGAGAGTCGTGACAGGACAAGGACGAACGAACTTTGTACCTTCGTGCCCGTAGAGGAAACCGACATGAACAGTGGCCAGGCGGAACCGCTTTGACAAGGATAAGAGAGCTGTCGGCATACTCCGTAATCACTTGCCTACAGAGTAAGCTGCTACACCTACCTGTAAAGGAAGCTGGTAGAATCGTGCAAGGTGTACGTGACAGAATGAAAGAGGTGGAGGTTTCTCCTCTGTCATCCTGACCCGCAGAGGAAGTTGAGATCCGAGCCATGCGGGACCGCTGCGACACAAACGTTCTGCGCCGGATGACTCACTCGTAAAGGAACCTGAGAGGTCTTGCTTGGAGAGGAGACCAAGATGAGAGAGCTGAATGATTTTGCGCCGTAGTCTCTTACTCGTAAGGGAAACTGAAAGAGCCGTGCAGGGCATGCGTGCAGGATGATGGCCCTAGGATCGTCTGCTCCGCAAGACTTGCTTGTGGAGGGAACCGAGAATGAGCGAGCGACAGCGGGACGGTGATGACAGACACCAATGGCTGGATGAATCTGCTTCTCCTTGGAGGAAAGCTTGGAATGAGGGAAGCATGCGAGGCCATCATGACGAACAAGGACAAGATCCCTGGATGACTGCAGCCCTTGCAGCAGGTGACCAGCGGCTGCTGATTCAGATGATTCTGCTTCTGCGACGGGGGAAGCTGAGAGCCTGAGAGAGGCATGCGGAACCGCTGTGACAAGCAAAGAAGGAAGGGCTGAGTGATCCCACCCCTATCCCTTGCAGCGAGCGTACGGGGACACTGATGGCAGGGTTGCCTGGTTGGTTTGACATCCTCGCAGCAACTGCTGTTTCGTGCGAGAAAAATTCCGATGAGATAGCCATACAGGATGACCATGACAAGGATCAGAGCATCGCAGCTGGTTGCTTCCACTCCATAACCATCCGTCCTGTAGGTTGGCGTACTGTGACAATGATGTAGCGCTGCATGTTCGTTTCACTCCTCCCATATGCGGCTTCTCCGAAGAGAAAAGCTGGGATGAGAGGGCCATGCGGAACCGCTGCGGCGCGAGACCAAACGGCTACATCATTCTACCACCAACCTTTGCGGCGAGCGTACGGCGACACTGATGTAGGGATGCCTGGCTGCTTCATCTCTCCTGCATGCGGCTTCTCCGTGATGGAAAGCTGCCACGAAAAAGTCTAGAGTCTCGTCGCAGATACGTCGCAAGGGGGAAGAGAGCTGGATTATTCTCTCCCCACAAGACTTGCTCGTATGTGACGACAAGACCGAAAAAAAGAGCTGCTGGTGATCCTTCTCCGTACGGCTTCTCCGTCTGGTAGAAGAACTGACAGAGGAGCAAACATTGGATGACGTGGTACCTAGACGTACCGTGACAGGGACGAGAGTGGCGCATGACTCTTGTCGATGAAGCTTGCTCGTACAGGGAAACTGACATGAGAGACATGCAGGTCGTATCCGTAGGTGACGATGATGTAGGGCTGCCTGATTCATTCTCCTCCTCCTCCTCCTCCTCCTCCTCCTCTTCTTCTTCTTCTGGTCACTCGCTTCTCCTTGGAGGAAAGTTGAGACGAGACTTCCGGCCTGGTTCTCAAAGAGGGCGCGTACCGTAAAGAATGATGGGAGGAGCTGGATTTACTCCGTGGTTGCATCCTTTGCATGCATCTCGGCGCGCAGTTTGACAGGTCCATTTCCACCTCTCACAGTCTGTACCATTGTTTTCCAGTAAGCACTACTCGAAGTGCGAATTGCGACCAGCTGAATTGTGCCGTCCGGAGCCCCTGAAAGCCTCCCACAGAGATTTACCCTAGTCCGAGATTGCTGCATCCTTTGTGAAATTCGACTTGACTCTTTCAGAAGGTATTTACAAAAACACACCTTGTAATTTTTGCGTCAACCTTGCCGCAGCATCTCAGCTTTGCGTAGCTTGTTTTTGCCGCGGCGCGCAATCCAGTGTCAATGCAACGCAGTACATATCGACTTCTTGAAGGTATTAGGACTGTTCAACAATGAACAGCAAACAGTGCAGGGTAGATCAATCTGCGTCTTGAATGTGGGAAATGCACGGAGTAAATAGTTTTGGCAACCAGCGATCCAGCAATTTGGGGAGTACAATTTCATCAGTTGTGCACGCTACTACAAGTGTAGTGTCCGTACAAGTAAAATCGTTTCCTGACTGTAGAATCCCTGCTATCTGGACACTGGGTCGTGGATGTGTGTTGTGTCATGTGCTGGTAGAATGCACTACTTGCCCAAAGCAGTCAATTTCAGTTTTTCGTCGACCAACATTTCGGAAGAAAGATCCGAAGTTCTCCTTACTCCGTCCGAGCACTGACTGTCCTCTGCTTCTTCCTCCTCCTCTTCTTCATCTTCCTCCTCCTCGTCTTCCTCCCACTGGCCTTCTTCGGATCTTTACACACCATCGGTGTCTGTGCTCTCCCGCTCTGAAGTTACCAGATCTCAACCGTTTTCTCCCATGGGACCAGTACAGCCTGATCTTCACAATACCAAACATTACCGACCCTCATTACAAGTGCCCACCGAGGTGTTTTCCGGTCTTTTTGTCTGGCCCCGACATGTGAGAACGCCACTGTCTCATGTTCTTTCACAGACTCTGTATGCACTGGCACTTATTTTTTGTCAATTCTTTCCCTCCTTCTTTTTGAGTCCGGGGTCCCTGTTACCTCCCAATCTAGTATATGTCCCCCGTGTTCCTCCTCCCTTCCTGCGAATTTCTTCCCATATAGAGTAGTCTTCTCTCATGCGCCTTGGGCACAACACACCAGCGTCTCCTCACCAGGTTTTTCTTCTTTATTTCCTTCCCACAGAAGAATTTTCATTGTTTACTTTCTATCATGGCGTCCGAAAGACCGATCGCTCCAAGACTCCCTCATTTGTGGATACCACCAGCTGCACTCGAGAAACTCCCCCCCCGTCCCACTCCGCTTCCACGTCGCCTGGCGCTCGCCGAAGCTCTAGAGAGTCTCGATCTTCCCCGCGCGATCATTCCTTGTGCCCCATGCGAAAAGAATGGCAACGCGTGTTACTTTTGCCCGGAACGGACCACCAAATGTACCAGTTGCATCCGCGCAGAACGGCAATGCATCGGCCGGTTCGACATGGAAAGGTTCAGGTGCATTCTGGGTCAAAAACGATGCCTCCAGGACAGATCTCATGAACTACTCACAGTCCTCAATCGTTTCCGTGATGCCGCCATCAAGGCCCAGGCGGAGCTGTTAAAGGCCGAGATGGCATCGAACGAGCACCCCTCCAAGGGCTCAAGGCGGCTCACTCTCTGCCGTGGCGTGGCCATCAATGCCCAGAGAGACTTGTCGAGGGCCGAGGCGGATTACAACAGCATCCAAATGGGCATGTCAGCGCTGGATGACACCAGCCGCACGATGCTCTTAAGAGACATGCAAAGCCTGGGTGTTCTTTACGGCGAGCCGCCTCTCAACGCCGGCACCCCCGATCAGAATTTCGCTTGGATGTTTGTCCCAGGTCAGGAGTCCTTTTGCCCTGTGACAAACCCCCTCGCGCCGGCCGCTGTTGTTGGGGGAGCAGCAGTGCCATTGTTGTACCAGTCCTCAAATCCAGCGGGGGGGTTTCCTCCGGCTTTAGATACCACGGCCGTTCCTGGTGCAGCCCCTGCAGGCGGGTCACCGGCAGGGCCAGGGGGTGAGGTCCCAGGTGGTCAATTGCCATCTGACCTCACACACACCGGTCTTGCCGGAGAGGCAGCAGGACCGTCAAAAGGCTCGACATCGCCGGCTATTTACTACACCCCTACAAGCTCTGCCGGGAAGCAGAGTCTCTTGTCGTCGTCCCCAGCTGCCGACATTACGCCTGATGGTCTTGTCGGAAACCAGCAAGCTCCTCCATCGCCGCCGGCTGTGTCGTACCCCACGCCCCAATGCTTTGCCGACCATCAACACCTCTTCTCGTTGCCGGCTCCGGACTCATCATCGTGGGCTGCCAATACCACGCCGGAAATTTCTGCCGAACAGCAACGTCTTTCGTTGTCATCGTGGCGCACCAGCCTCATACACGAGGGCTTTGTCCAGCAGCAAAGTCTCTCGTCGTCATCGGCTGCCAATCTCACGCACAATGCTTCGGTCGAAGAGCAGGCAAGCCCCTTGCCGCCATCGCCGATTGTGTCGTACCCAACACCGCAAAGCTTTGCCGACCATCAACTCCTCTTCTCGTTGCCGGCTCCAGACCGCAGGACCAGTACTCCTGCCAAACGGCGGAAGGCCAATAAGTCAGCTTTGCAGACCCAAACCCCGATGTCTGGTGCTTCCGCAAATTGGCGCCACGCCCAATCTTCTGGAACGGGCTCCCGGCCGCAGAGTTCACGACCAGAACAAAAACGACGACAAAAAGAGGTCCGATGAGTCGGCAAGAGGTATGAAACTGGGTGTACATTAGGAACTTAGATATGTATCATAATTAATCAAGTAATCCTTTTAAAAGTAATCAATCAGTATGAAACTGTCACATAACAGCCTACCTGGTAGGCAGTTATTCGTAACAAACGTGCGGACTGCACAATTTCCTCAACGGGGGCTCGATCGGGGTTTCGCGACGTCGGTGCGAGGCTGTCGATTGATCCCGATTGAGCGAGGGTGGATGCGGAGGTATGCTGGGATCCTGACAGAGAGATGCTTTGGCTGCAACAAAAGAATAAGTAGACCTGCTGACTTCCCAAAGTTCTGAACTACAGTAAAGTTGATGCTGTTCTACCGATGCTGCTCTGGCCTAGTCAAATAATGGTGAGAGATAATAACTGGCTGTTGCGCTATTTAGTAATACCGAGAGAGTTACTAGACGACTGACTACCGTTCTGCTGCCAAGGGGTAAATGACTGACTGGCTGGCTGACTGCTGGTACAAACCACTGGTATGTAACCGTAGTTTACTGCTGACACCAACCAGTTCCTCTAAAAACGAACATGCTGGTACGGACGGTGATTGTTACGAGTTGGTGACTTGTTTCGTAGGTTGCAACCTCAGGTTGTTTTGGGCCCGGCTGCGCAACAAATCAAAATTGTAAACACGAAAAACGAGTGTGAATGAAGATCATGGTTCACCAATAAAACGCTGAGAGTGACAGGAAGCTAGTACCCCCCCAATACATTTTGGAGTTTTGCTGCAGCAAAAAAGTGGGATTTGACCATCATAGGAGGGAAACTAATGACCACAACGGTAGACTGGTGGCCTATTACGATCTCGCAACAATACGAATCTCGTCGACGGAAATCACCAACACGAGGACCTATTGTTGGTCAAGGTGGTCCTCCAGCGCAGGTGTCTCGTCCGACTTTGAGAAGAGCTTGCTTGATGACCGCGATGAGCGTGTCCAAGGTGGGAGAGTAATTTTTCGAGCGTCCATACGCCTGATCTATGCGATCTGTCAAAGCCAGCATCGCCTGCCCGACCGAAGACGAGTCCAGCTTGCCCGAAGGTCTGGCGATGTGAAGGATGAGTAGGACGGTAAGTTGTCTGACACATTGTAAGTATGGAACGACGGAACGCGTCGCTGGGAAGCTGCACTCACGTTGACATCCAACTGTACGTGTCGATGCACGAGAATAGATTGAGGTTGTCGAGGACGGTCGAGTAGCGGTAGGCCGCGTCGGCGCAAGTACCGGAACCGTACAGGTACTCGGTGGCGGCGTCGGGATTGTGTTGGGCGTACTGCAGAGCGGGTAGCCACACCAGAAATCGCGTCTCGTAGAACAAGGCTCTCAACGAGGCCTTTTCGGGAGACAAGACCTGCCCCGAACCCTCGGTGTCTTCCCAGCTGTCCCCCCTTAGCATGAGCCTGGTGCCGACGAGCTCGGCTTCCAATCTCGCCATCTCATCCCAGTCAGGGACGTGATGGACATCTGGATTCAAAGGGTAACTCGTGGACAAGACCTTCATTTGTTGTCGTCTGAGCCGAATTCGATGGTTGAAATGCCGACAGACTTCCTTGGCGGCTTCCGGGGCGATTCCGATCGAGGTGTCCCCGGGCAACTCGGGACGCTCCCAGGTCCAAAATCCGACGTTGCACAGAGGGAAAAACTCCCCCACGATCTGTGAGTGGATGACCCTGTGAAGGTCCAGGCAGGTCCAGTACGCAAAAAGTCTGAGGTTCTTTTCCTCCTCGTCGACCTCCGGCCGGTGCGTCATTGAAATTTCAAGTGCGAGGCACGCACTCTCCAAGCATCTTATGCCAGAGTTTATCTCCAACACGTGGCACATGTAAATGGTGGCCAGCAGTTTTGCTTGGACGGAGAAGATGGAACAGCCGCCGGGCTCCCTCGCGAGGATCCGTAGTGCCTTGTCGACGGACTCCCTCCCCGGCGTCGACAGTGAACCTGGCGAGAGACCGTGCTCGTGTAGCTGGCCGAGAGCGATGACGAGAAGCGCGAGTGCGTAATGGAGATTGTATTGTGGGCGGTTGTGTGCTGTTTTTGCAAAGAACGCGAAGGAGTTGCAGGCCAGACGGAGCTTTTCGAAGTTCAGGAATGGGTAAACCGGGAATGTTCTCTGCCGATATACCTCGACGTAATGCGAGATGTCTCTGGTACTCAGGGGAGGGGTCTCCGACGGTTCCTTTTTGTCCGATGATCCCTCCACTTCCGTGATCATGACCAACTCGTCGTCTCTGTTACCAAGAGGTTGGTCCGCTTGTGATATTGCTCCAAAGGCGGGCCAGCGTAACACTTGATCGACGAGGGTCATTTTCTGATGACGACGTTGCTCACCCTCTGTCGCCGTCATGGCTGGTTTTTCATGTGAAGGTGTGCTTCCCTCTTCGACCGTTGCAAGTCCGGACATGTCGAAGGGCAATCCAGAAGGAGGGGGTTTGCAAGTTCAAGCAGACTCAAAGGGGTGGCGAATATCTGGATCGTGCAAGAGGGTCGTCGAATCAAAGGGGGCCAGAAAGGTTCACAGCGCAATGTATCGGCAACCCTTTACTGATCGAAGACAATCCGGAGTGATGGGTGGCATAGATGCATACTCGGAGGAGAACCAGGTAGAGTAGTGCGACTTGTAACAAAGATCGAGAAAATATGGAGCCAACACCTTTTATAGCTGGGAATCATCTGGGTCGGCTAGATTCGACGAACTTTTCTCCTTCCCAGGGATGGTTTCTGTCGCACGGGCCTCGTCCAAGTCGCCACTCGCAATCGGGCTCGAATGGTCGAGGGAATGAGGTACCTGTGTTGTGCGTAGCATAGCGCCTCGAGGCGTTTGAAACCGATCCAATCAGGATTGCCATGCTATTGGGCTCAATGTTCTTGACAGGCCAAGACTAGTGAGTGTTCGGAGTTGCAAAGGGACTTCTCCTGCAGCCTGACTGTCAAAGAGTTACGAGCTCGTTCGTCCTGGACTGCAACGTAGAAGGGTTGACCCTATGGTGAGACCGGGACAAGGGCTGGCCCTGCAAGGAGTGGGACAAGGGCCGATCCTACGAACAAGGGATGATCGGCCGGTGCGCCACGGGCTCGCAACGGCACTGCCCTTGCAAGTCTCCGAGGTTCCACTCTATCATATCAGGATCCTGGTCATGTGACTAATGCGGCCTCCTTGTTGCACTAGTCCTCTCCGGGAAGTGCCTCGCCCTGCGCACGTGCAATACTGTGCTGCGGCCTCAACAACACCTAGTTTAGACCTCCTACGTGCCAAATTCTGTCATTTCAAACGCATAGTTCGTGACATATCAGTTCTAGGAGCCATCAAGGTGATATCCTTTACGGACTACAAGTGCAGGGTGAAGCTCCTCTCGGCACGACCTCTACGACGCCTTCTATCCTTTCTGTTTCCATCCGTTGAAACTCATCAATCAACTGACTGCCCATCTTGTTTCTATGATTTGGTGAGATTCTGCTCGCCTCTTTTCTACTACATGTGAGGTTTCTAACCACCTCAGGCAGTTTCTACTAATCACAAGCTAAGGCTTCGAAGAAAGAAGGATAGAATCAGATGCTTGTTTGAATCAATTGGACATTAATTTGAGTCCCTCAAGTTGCTTAAGCAACACATGTCCTTTCCTCTCGTCTCGACCGTCAATCCGACTTTTCTCCCAAGCCGCATATCTGCTCATTGGTCAAGATTATCTACTCGTATGGACAATGTTTCATTGGAAACAGAACGCCTGGATAGGTCACATGGACGTGTCGTTGTCGTAGCACCTTCGTCGAGAAGTCATTCCACAGATGATGAATCACCCATGAGCTAGTCTTGCTTGTTGACCTTTCTCGCACGCGCCTTGATAGGGGACCGATATGGTTCGCCCGGGCGCATTCTTCTGGCCGGCTTGTATTCATCCTCAGGCATAGACTCTTGTTGTTGCTCTTCGTCGTCACTCGGCCCACTGGAAACCGAATTGGCTGGCGACGAAGGGCACTCGGCGTCTTTGGGGCGAACTCCAAAGCGATTCTTTCCGACGCTGTTGTGGTAGGCCTCTGCGCGCTTGATGACTTTGCATATTTCTTCGGACGTGATGATTATGATCTCGTTTCGTAGTGAGTCGTGCAACAACTCAGGAGGCGCCATTTCTGCCATTGGGATTCCCAGTTGCGCACCGGGGACAGGCTCGGCGTTCGTGTCTCGTATGACCTGGGGCACCGACGTCAGTGTCTCTTTCGGCACGCTGTGGACAGAGGTGCGCCTGTTACGTACCTGATCAACCCGTTCGGGTGTTAGAGAACCGTCGATGACACGGGGCCTCCACACCGTCAGGTCCACCCGTGAGCCTCTGTGGAATTTTACGGTCACGACCTGACGGATCTCTCCTTTCCCCGCCATGACGAGACGACGTGCCTTCCTCTCGAGGTCCTCGGCCGTTTGTGAATTTCCCACCTCCACGACCAGGGCCGGCTGTTCCGCGTCGAGGCACATGATCTGCTCATCCGGCATGAGCACGTCGCCCTGGTCAGACTTGATGTCCGACGCTTTCAGCTGTTCAAATGGGCACTCCACTTGGCATTTGGCGTAGAGCTGTTCGATTCTTTCCTGGATGAGACGGCCGACCCGTGAACCGACAACCTCGTGCTTGCGGTGCGGCATATGGAGGATCACTTCCTGGGTGTCTGGGAAGTAATCGTATCTGTGTGTGTGTATATAAAATGTCAGTTTTTGGGCGGACGGGCCATCCGGAAAAGGACTCGAATTCTCCGTACCGCACACTTTCCTGCCAATGCAGCTTCTGCTCGTACTCTCCGGTGAGTCTGGCAAAATCTTCTGAACTCAGACGATATCGTGAACGATCGACCTTTTTGTGTGCAAGCCGGCGCTCAAGCTGGTGGACAAGTACCTGCAATTCGGAAGTCGTTGTGTTCAAGTTAAGAGGGTCTTGAGGGCGAGAGTCTGAGCAGTCACTGTTGGCAGCGGCCACCCTAAGCGGGTCCGTATCTCCTCTGAGGGTCGTCATCGTGAGGTCTTGCGAGATCTTCTCCATACTGGCTCATTGATGATGGCAAGGGCGAGAGAAAAAGAACACGTTCTGAGTTTGAGGAAAGTTGTGAATTGTGCATCACAACAAAGGGTTTTAAAACTACAGGGAAAACTACAGGGAAAACTAGGGCTATACCTCGGCATCTACCATGAACCATTCATATCCTAAAGGATTATTGTGGTAGGTATGGCGAGGAAGTGATTCATTGAGTCGCACTGACAAGCTCAATCAAAGGGGCAAGAGCAGTAACAGCTCTAAGACATTCATTCACTTGTTTGGGAGATCCGAAGGCAGTGAGGTCAAACACCGCGCTGCCTGAACGTGTACGCAACAAACATATTCAAAATAACTTGATCATCATTGAATAGCTACCTGACTCGTATCTTTGCTTTCGCGCATCTCAATTTGCGCCAGTGACAAGTGTGCAACGGAAATGAGGTACTCCCCTTCTGGAGCTACGCTACTGCTCCTCCTCCTCCGCGGCCCAGTTTCTCGCTTGCCCACATCATCAACCTACGACCAAGCATCACAAGACCATCACGCGAGCGTAGTGAGATATGCATCGGCAGTATCGAAGGCCTGCTGAGGTAGCGCACTCGCTGGGTAGTTGCCACACGAGACAATCTCGTTCATATTCAAAGTAATAGGCCGTTTATTCACAACACCCAAGTCCCATCTTCATTTTGACCCACGGCTCCGATTCTCTCACATGAAGTTATCATTCTGAGAAACCGAAGACAAATTTTGACAACTCTCAGCTGCTACAATTCCAATCTACACTATTGAATCATCTGTGGAGAATTGGTTAGAGATGCACACAATCTGAACGAAATTGTCCAGCTAATAGACTGTCGTCAGTGGCTTGCAACCTACAACATGGAGGAAGAACAGAAAATCAAACAAGACTTAGCCAAAGCTTTATCGGACCAGAAAACCACACAACAGCTGTCTTCTTCCGGTGACACGGCCAAAGCGAAAAGAGCCCAGAATAAGAGAGAGAGAGAAGAAAGCGAGAGAATAGGTTGAAGAGGAGAAGGCCAAGCAGGATCACAAGTAGGCTATAGAATGATAATCTCAGTTCTCTAAGCTGTTATCTTCTTCAAAAGCTTGCCGTAATCGTACGTCGTATTCGAGCTTATCCTTGATCCTTGTTCGGACGATGTCCTCAGCATCCGGGTGCCAGTAACGAGCCGCAGCTCTCGTAATATCGGATGCAAACATCGGCTCAATATGATTCAAAAAGACCCCATACAGTCCCGTTAAAGAATCCAAGGCTCGGAAATACCAGATGCGACCTGTTGCCCAGTTCTCGCGAAAAGTGTTGGCCACCGAGATTGAGCAAGGATGCAATGATTGCTTCTCCTCCTCTTCTAATATGAAGAAAAACTTGTCCAGCGCGATTTTGAGATCTGTCAACTTTTCATTAACCAAACAGTCAATTGCCTGACCGGTCAACCATAGAGGGGGCCTGAGCATTCCAATCGGTCTGGAGCAGACCCATTCTAGATCAATGATTGATTTGATATGCCAGTCGTCATCGACGAAGATATTGCTTTGATGAAGGTCCGTGAGGGTTACATAAAACGGTCCAGAACGTGAGTCGGGGGTGACAAAATCAGGCAAGCAGGCGCGCATCAAAGTTAGGGCCTCCATTTGGTCAACAGCATCATCTCTCGAGATGACAGAATTGGGCTGATGTCGAATTCGGTTGTCGTGATATTTGAAGAGATCCAGAATATATGGCTCGACCGTACCGTAAGTGTAATTACGGTTCACAACGGGTGGGCAACTGTCGTTTTCTGCTTCGGGAATGATGATAGATAATGGTCGGTTAGCAAGACTGACGACGCCATCATTGTCTATTGTCAACGAGCCTATATGAGATAATGGCCTTCTGGTCAAAGACAACAAAATCCGGGATAAATCTCGAAAGAAATTCGTCATTCGCTTCGAATCACTAGAAAGTGTGTCCCATGTTGTTGAAAGCATACGGCCTTCCTCATCTTCAATGAAATCCATCAGTAGGTAGCCAACAGTGAGTGGAAGATCCGGTCGTTTACGACGGATGTAGGGAGAGCAGACCGGTTGTCGAAATAACCGTCGTAGGGTGTTCTGTATGACCGAGAGGCATCGCAGATACCATGGAGTGTTCTTACGCGCCGTGAACTGAACCTCCACCGTTAGCCACATTACGGAGACCATACTGAAAGACTGCGCGCACATGTAAGTGATTACCGATTCCGAAGCCCCATAAGTACGGGATCGGTATTTCAGGGCAATTCTGTTGCATCCAGATATATGTGGCTGCTTCGGATCGCACCTTCTCATCCATGTTTCCAGGATTTGATGATTCTCCCAATTTGTATGGGAGTGGGAATCGGATCATGACCCGATTCTTTGGACGTCTATTCCAGTTACAAATATACACCGGGATGCAGACATTGAAAGTCCCATGCCTCCATTCCGAAAAGTCGCCTAATCGACAGGATTGATCAGACTTTAGTCCAAGGTGACAAGCGACAATTTCTTTTATTTCGTCTCGTTTCTGGAATAGTTGGAGGAAAAAGTCGATTCGCTTGGACGGATAGGACAGTTGTAAGAGAATATTGCTTTCATCTTCGCGGGCCGATTCGTAAGAAATCGATCTTTGAAGGAGATTCTTTTTCCGAGTGATTCGAGAGTTGAGGCGAGATGCCATGCCCGTGAAGTGTAGCTAAGAATCGTTTGAACAGAGTTGAAACTTGAGTCTCATCCAAGAAAAAAGAAAACGAGAAACGATGTGGAATAATTTTTTGGAAGCAAGGAATTAACAATAGCGACGGAGGAAAATGAGACCATTAATTGAAAGACAGGGATGAGACAGCTGTAGCAGCACTTGGCCCACGTGACCTCACGTGACCCTGGACTAGCCAGGAACACTTTGGTTGCCCCTGACTCTACGCAGCCTGTCTCGTGATATCACGTGAACCACCGTATTCCAGAAATGGGGTCGACTCGATGCTCTCCTGGTAAACGCTGGAATAGTCGAGAGTATCTTTCGCCAGGCAAGAGTACCGTCGATTCCCGGCAGTCTTCAAACCCACAAATAACTACTTTGTAAAAGGAGTTGACAAACTTCCTCAGACACTACTGTGGAGCGACGGAATGCAATGAGTTATTTAGTAATTGTTCTGGTCACTCAACACCGCGGAAACCTATCTGCATCCGACTTTTATCGTTTTGTAATATTGTCCCTTGGCCCTGTCTAGATACAGGCCATCTCGCTCTCCAACCCACCAAGTCTTTTATGCCATGGATTTCTATTGATCATGGCACTATTACTTCCGGTGCGTCATGATACTGGCATAAAGCTCGTGCGCCAATTTGGTGGCACTGAACGGGTTCTGACCCGTGATCAGTCGGCCGTCTTTGGCCACGACCACCTTCTCGCCCCAGTCCTGCTCCGCCTTGACGAAGCGACCACCGCTCTTCTTGTTCAGCTCGTCTTCCAGCATGAATGGCATGAACTTGGAATAATCAATACTATCCTCTTCGGCGTTCGAAAAGCCGGTGACTTCGGCCCCGTCGATCAGCCATCCGCCGTCGGAGAGCTTGACGTTCACCAACGCAGCTGGACCGTGGCAGACTGCGCTGACGATCCGACCGGACTCATAGAACTCAGCGACGAGAGCCTGACTATCCTTGTTGGTGGCCAGATCCAGCATCGGACCGTGACCGCCCACGAAGTAAATGGCGTCGAAATCTTTGGCGTGGCCCAGGAAAGAGGACAATTTGACAGTGTTTTCCCAGAGAGTAGACTGGTTGGCGAGAAAGTCTTGGGCGATCTGATCGCCGGCAAACATGCCCACCGAGTTGGGATCCACGGGGACCTTGCCGCCGTTGGTCGACGCGATCGTCAAGTCGACCTTCTCATGAAGAACATGCCACGGGTGGGCAAACTCTGGCTGCATACGAGTCAGTGTTATGCCTGTTGAATAATTCGGAAGTTTCGAACTCCAACGAACCCCAACATACCAGATACCAGCCAGTCTTCTTCTCATTATTTGGCAAGTCGACCGCCGAGGAGAGCACAACGAGGACTTTGGGCTTTTGGTCAGACATTGTATCGGCAAGTTGGCGAAGTCTTTTTCCTTGGTAGTGTCGAGTCCGAAGCAGATTGTGTAGTTGGTATTTTGCTTTCCCAAGGTGGAATCTCCCTGAAGTGAACTGCTTTGCCAATGTTTTGATACTCTTCTCATGGATGAGAATTTCAGCTCCTATTTGTATCCATTCGATTGCCCCTTGATACTTCGATGTGGCGAAGTCTTAGCCACCATTGTATCACACGATGACCAGTTTATCTCCATTTCCCAGCGTTGTCGCACCACATGTCAAAAGTGGACTGCCTCATCGACGAGGGTTCTAACGTTTCCCGAGACCTACAGGATGCGGTATAGTTTCCACGCTGTTTGGGCCTTTTTGCAAATTGTGATTACAAAGAACGCTCGCAGGGCTGAAATGGAAAGGTAGACTTCCACGCTAAGTCAAGTCTTTACTCGATGCTCGCACCGACTGGGACTTCGAGGAGTCTAAGCAAGGAGAAAAGGACTTCAACGGGGTAGTGAGAGATAACCAACAACACAGTAGACAGCATGTCTGGAGCTCGCTTGCGTCGCTAAGGCCGTCTAGAAGAGTAGCCTACTGTGGAGGGGGGGGGTGGGTGGGGTGTCTGCGGACTATGGCCGCGGGCCATGACCGCATTGGCCAACCTCTATCACAAGTACGTCATGATAAAGCCCAGTCGTAAAGCAGCAGTTGCAAAGTTCCGCAGGCGCGCAAAGGCGGCAAGGGGCTAACATTGCCAACCGGCGTTTCTATGATCTGTAGCCCAACATGAACACCACTTTACTCGGTGGCGAGTCTTGAAACCTTGGCCTACAGTCCTCAAATCAGTTGTGATCTACTGGAGCATGATGGTGCTTCAGCGGCAGTCCCCATCGTTCTTGAAAGATTTCTCATACGATAATAGGATGAGAAATTTGGCAACTCTCCAGCAGCCCTTGACCACGCTGAATGTACTCCACGTGGGTTTCATTCTGTCGTCTCTCCCCGCCTCTTGTCTAGTCTTCACAAGCATGAAACCTGGCGATGGGTAGTGTTCATTAATCCAAACCACTGAAGTACGTGTCGAACTCTACAACAAAACGCATTTTTCCTACCTCGTGGGCTATAACGCTTCGAGCTGTCCCCTTCCATCAGCCATAGACTTTGCCTCTCTACTGCAACCTTCGAAGGCGATAGTTTCAAGGATATTATCCGGCGCTAGGGATCATGTCATGTTGGTGCAACTGACATCGGCGTGGACGATATTTCTATTGTGCATATGCTGATATCCTTCTGCGGCATGCTTCAGCCAAGGGAGTTTAGTCTGAAGCGGGATACGATTCGCTTCAGGGTGCTGACATATCGACCGAAGTATGCCAGCTGCGGTCGATCTGTGCCACCAAGTCGCGTAGTCGCTAAGCATTGAGTGCTGAATAAATACCATAGTCGAGATTCTCTAGCAATTGTGCGAGCGACAGTACTGTGATGTGCAGAACCGGCGTCACCCTAATGTACACATAAATACTGAAAAGATAGGTTGGTCTACGCAACAATTTAGGAGCAATCGTGGAAATAACCGCTTACATTGGATTTATGAAGTACATCGTGAATTGGATCCTTTTGTGTAAATAAATACCAATTTGGCATTGGACGAAATCATACAGCGCCAAATGGACCGCGTCGACAGCGTGATCGTGGCTTTTCACATAATGTGGATTTTCGCTAGGAAACTGCACCCTTTGAAATCTTTGACGTGGAGAGTTGCCACGGACATGCTTGCTGGGGGCCACTAGTAGCGTGAGTATTTTATCAATTTCACTCGGGATCCCCTAGCTAACAGTAGGTACAGATGATGATGACGCCGCGAAGGGGAAACGCCGGATCGAGGAGGGCGTCAGGCATCTAATGTCGGATGGGTCGGCCTATGGTCAATTGTTACATGTCCTCTGACGAACGCCATGCTCTTTCCTCATCCTGGCCTGAATTTGCTGTTCAGCGCAACATACTGCATGATTGGGAAATTCGAGAGGAAAGAAGACAGCGCATGGCTATGCATCAACCCAAGATCTAATCAAGATGCGTCCACATCGTCAAGCTCAGCGACATCTGTCTCGTCGTCTTCACCCTCCCACCTCGAGATGACCAACCAACGAACCTTCATGGCCGTCTTGGCCTCTTTCTTCTCGATTTTGTCGTGCTCTTTATATGCATCGCGCATCTCCTTTGCTACCTCTTTGTCCCTTTCAAACGTTTCCTTTTCAATGCTCCGGTCCCGCTTGCGGCTATCCTTTTCAAACTCGAGCACGATCTCGTCGCGCTTTCGCGGGTCGCGCACTTTATCCAGCTTGCGCTCCATTTTGACACGCTCCTTCTCCACCTTCTGAATGCGCTTCTCGATCTTCTTGTCGGCTTCACACCGCTTCTTGTCGGCTTCGCGGCTTTTTTCGTCGTATTTCTTGTCGGCTTCGCGGCGCGCTTTGGCGATCTTTTTGCTTTGGGAGCGCGCTAATCTCTCGGATTGTGCGGCGCTCATTTTCCGGAGGAAATTGTCGGGCATAACGGGAGGGGGGACATCGAGGTCAAGAGGCATGACATAGCCTTCTAGAGCGCGGACCCGTCGCATGCGAGGGTCGTCAGCACAAATATTGAACGGCTGTGTCGTCGGTTCGTCGAGTGCGCTGGCAGCCGCAGAGCTGTCAATGTCGGCAAGAGTGTCCATGGGTGGGAGCTGCAGACCGTCGTGGGGATACTTGACCTTCTCCATCATGTTCTTGGTCGACATGACGCTGACATGAAGCCCGCTTGGGTGGAAGAGTTGTCCATTCTGGATTTTGATGTACGATCGAGTTCGAACATATGAAGTTGCAGCACTCGTCAATCCCGAGGTAAGCTGCAGTCCCATGCCGGCCCACTGCACCGGAGGTATACCGTGGGCAAAAGTCATGACCATGCCGGACATGCCAAGACCTTGGAAAATAGGATGGGCGATGAACGCTTCGTTGAGGCCATCGACAAAGGCCAGGAATGCTTCCTGTTCGATGCCATGACTGGCAAGCTCCGCGACGTAAGCTCTCACAAATGGCGAAAAGAAGGCGCCCCGGAAAGACTTTGAAGTTTCTATGCACAATATAAGATTTTATTTCGGCTCCAGGGATGAGAAAGACACTTACGAGGGATCACACAAGGCAGTGGTAGTTGCAGGCGATCCTCGGATTGCCGAGGAGGTGCTGACTTCTTCTGCGCCATGGCAAGATTGCTCGTTGACTAATTCTCGGCTGCGGCCCTATCGATAGGTTGTTCATGTCATTTAATTGAATAAGTAAGGGACGACAGGGCTAAGCTTGAGCGTGACTTGGATGTCGTCCCCGCCCCGTCGCGTCACTCCAGACACCGCCATAATGTCATGGAGGACCCATAACATAGTGACGCAGGTCGAAGATTACATCCAAAAGCGGGTCAGGCGCTCCATATTCGCCACCACAAAGGCTAACCGTAGCCAGACTGTCCAGGTGTACTCCAGGGTTCGTGGAATTCACCCTGTCCAGTTTAGCACCCTAAGCGTGAGCCGCCCGAGGACGTATTCATACTCATGCTTATCATACTGGCTTATCATACTAGCGCATGCCTCGAAACTCTACTTATCTCCATGGTCTTCCCTACCAATACGATTCTCTTTTGAGCGCTAGCGGCTACATAGTAAAGCTTAAAACATTACAGCGAGGATAAGATAGTAATGCTTATGTTAATGTATATATATAAGTGAAGATATCACAAATTACTCGCGCTAACTATAGTAAATCACTAACTATACTTTTTAAATTATTATCATATGAGAAATAAGAGTTTCTTTTTTTAAGGACTTCCATATCTTTAGCGATTAAAGTATCTAAGAAATATTAAATTAAAGTATAGCGAATAATAATATAATCTTAAATAACCAAAAATTTAATTTAATGGTTAATAATAGTAATTAATAATGAAATTATTTTGGTGAATATCGTATCTGAGAATTTTTATCTGGTCGGTGTGGTACTACTTTGTTGGGTATTCTTCGGTGACGAAGTGCTAAAGTATGGTCTACATACTCATCGGAAGCTATTGAAAGCCACCTACCAAAAATGATCCTGTGTCGGTGAGTTAGGAAGGCTTGAAATGCAAGGGCTTTGGACGCCAGCCTTTCTCTAAGGCTGGCCACTGCTCGAATCGATCTGCACTGGCCTTTCTGCGTGCGTGGTGACTTGGATTCTCGACTCTTTGTTGAATGGCTCCTGATTCGGTCGATCCTGAAGACCCATGCAGCACGATTGGAGTATGAATCAACAGGAGAGGCGATGATCAACCGCTCGCTAGATACTCCAAGGCCGGATGGTGGAGATCAGCCACGGGAAAGCCTCAACTCACCGCAAAATAACAAAGCTTCAACGCTGAAAGGTTCCAGTTTAGGCTGACTGGCGACAGCCACATCCCGCAGTACCCTTGCCGAGCTGAAGTCCCTAGCCGAGGCTCATCATTTGCAGTTCCGCCAGCCGCGAAAACTCAATACAAGGAGGTGAAGCTCCACACCACACATTACATCCGCAGTCGAAGTGAAAGTGATCCTATACGCTTGGTAACTGGTCTAGGCAGTCCAAACCATCTACTAGTCAGTCCAATCGTCCCTTTCAAATGTTCGGTTATTGGATCTCTTTGTCTTATTGCAGTCCAAATGTGAAAGTACGACGCGTCGTTAGCGTTGTATTTACGTAGATACTGCGGGGGGCGCTCCGCAAGATTGCCATGATCAACTTGTTATCGTGATTCGTGATCTTCAATCACGATATCGTAGGCGATCTGGATTATTCCGGTCAGGAGCTGGGTAATCACGATTGTTGAGCCTGTCTACTTACCATTTGCCTAAAGAGTGTGTGTGGAAGTATCAGTTCGAGGTAAATTGCTACTTTTCATGTGTTCATAGCAATGCGGCTGAATGATCCGCGCGGCATATTGCTTCCGCGGTAACTCGTATGCGGAGTGACAGC